AAAAATATTTAAATGCAATGGTATCAAATATTATAACAATAATTACTACAATAATAATCCTTATTATTACATGCAAAAAAATTAAAATTGATACTTTGTTACAATGAGACAAAATATATTATCGAATCTATGACCTGAGAGGCTCATTCAAATGACTGAAGAGTTTCTTAAATAAATAATTAAGACAAATTTGTATTGTTAATTACAGATAGCAATCATCAAAAAGATTAAATGGAGAAAATTTAAAAAAAATTCGTGGCAACTATTTCGACTAAATCATTGCCTCGCGCATATTTAGAATCACAAACCAATAACATTGTTTACAAATTACACTTTTCTCATTTAAAGCCCAGAATAAAAATTAAACAGAAAATGTAGTTCATAAAATTCTTTTCGTCCTTTGGATATCTTTAGTTCTTCGGCTTCAATTCCATACCTAAATTATCGAAAAATTAATTGATAATTCTGGATCTTTAGATTAAAATTTAATAATTTACTTTGAATTTTAAATATCGAAACATTTAGTAACAGCAAGATAGTAAATGAAATGAAATGAAATTAGTTTTGTTAGCCTGGGACTTGCGTCCGTTTAGAACAAATTATAAATGCATAATAAATAAAACAGGAACTACTGAGTTATGTATAACATTTTTTTTTTAAAATCAAAATTTATATTTAAAAAAAAATGTATTGTGGTAATGCCTCTACCCAGAAGGGTCATCAGCATTTATTATATTTCTACATTCAGTGATAAAACTTAATTTCTTTCAAGAATTTTATAAGAGATTTGACACCAGTTTCTGTGTCTTCTAGGACTTCTTGTATATTGAAACTCATCTTCAGTTTTTTTCTTATTGGTGCGTACTGCTGGCATTCTGAATTGTTATTGAAGCACCACCCAGGTAGGCGCTTCCAGACCGCGGAGAGATATCCATATGAGAATTCACATTGGCCGATCCTGAGGCGGTGCAATATTATTTTCTCTCGTCTTGATCTCCAGTTGCTAGTGCTCCATTTTGAGCCGTTTTCTTTCATCCGGGGTAGTTTCGAAGGGCAGCTCCTCCAGGTCTCATTCTACTGGATCACCAACGAAAATTTTAACTTCCTTACCCAATCTTCCCGTGGGATACAGTTCAAGATTTTTATTTCACTGCTAATTGTATTTTTTTTAATAAAGTGATATTACTTGTAATCAGATAATGAGCACCATAATCTTTTTTTTGGGGGAGGGGAGGGGCTGGGTTTAACATTTTTTTCTGTACATTTTAGTTTTCAGTTTATTATATTTATTTATTTTTGAGGGAGGGGAGGAGGGAGGATATTACTGTGTTATTTAATGTATATACCATTCAGCATTAAACTACTATATTCAGAAGATGAAGTTTTAGTTAACATTCTGATAAATGCATAGATATCCTAATGCTCTCACTGTCTCAGGAAATGTATTGTTATTAATTTTTTTTTTGTCAAAACATTTTTTGTAACGTGAAATACCATTGGAAGTAGTTCAATCTCCGATATGATAATATTGTCTACGAATTTCAGTTAGCATCGCGTTTTTTTAAATGGAATATTCACAATAATGGGGGCGAAAAAAAAACAGAATGCAAAGATTTTTTTTTAATCATCCAAATTTATTTAACTAATACATTTATAAGTATAATATATATGTACGAAGATACACTATGGAGTTTTTCCTTGCACTGCCTGTGAGCATATTAAGGAAATCAAAAATAATAAGATAACAATAATCTAATAAAAAAATAAAAATAAAAATGGAAGAGGACTAGGACAGTAGAAATTAATGAAGATTTATTTATTCAGTGAGTTTTGGATGGAATGGAACCATCATTAAAATAGTTTACTTCTTATTGCTAGCCAAATTACCTCAAGCTACTTTCTGACCTTCGATGTTTCCTTGTGTCAAATTAAAGTGATAAACTGAGCAATTAATATTGGATTTGGTTCACTATATTTATGTTTTATTTGTTTGTATTTTATTGCATGTTCATCTTACGTCAGGCAGATAAATATCGAGAGAAAAATACCATATATACAGTGGCTCACAGTAAAATTGATACATCCTGTAAAAAAATATTTCAATTGTTACCCCAAATAAACAAAACCAGAAACTCTTCAACATATTTATTTATAATCTCATTTTTAATATGTAAACACACAGTAAAATTAAAATATTCAGCTGTTATTAAATTAATTTAATTTTTAAAAAATTAATTTTAAAAAACTGGATACTTTTATCTCACAGTCAAAATGATACACCTCACCACTAGCGGATGCAGGATTTAATTTTGGGGAGGCTTCAGCCCGAAGATTTTTTATATATATATATATATATATATATATATATATATATATATATATATATATATATATATAATGATAATTAATTTGAAAAAAAAAAAAGAAATAAACTAACTACCCATATGACATGGTGTTTTAGTGATTCTTGAAGTCCTATTAAATGTAATTACACGAACGATAATAGTTTAGGAGACAGTTTTTAATATATTTTTCTATAAAACATGGTTTTATTTTATCATTTTGGGGGGGGTTTCAGCCCGAAAGTCCTCCCCCCCCCGTAAATCCGCCTGTGCACCTCACTTCTAATTATTTTTTAAATATTATTAATTTAGTTCAACATCTTGTAGGCAAGCTATTATTCTCTACAACTCCTTTCAGTCTGTTTGTAATGAAGTCCACCAAGTTTTTAGTGATCTTGGGCTAAGCCTGTTCCATTAGATATTTTTTAAATCTTCTTTGCTAGAAATTTCGTGTCTTCTAACTTCTACCTCCAATTTTGCCCACAGGTGTTCTTTCACATTAAGATCTGGTTACTATGATGGTTTTTTATAACTTTGTGGCAGTTATAAAGTAGGAATTCCGTAAATAACATGGCAGAGTGTTTGGAGTCATTATTGGAGTCATTGCATTGTGGTTGAGAGTAGAAATGGCTTTCTTCTTAAACAATTTAGGGAGTGGGGTAGATCAGTGGTAGGGTACTGCCAATGCTAAAGTTCTCAGGTTCGAACCCCGGCTCATGACAGAAAATTTATTTATCTGTTTCATTGGCCGTGGGACGACCCTGGGTCGAAAGATCCTCCTGGGGCACACCCAGCCTCCTCTATAATGTGGGTACCCTTAATTAACTAATATACAATTTCGTTATATTACTCTAATGGTTAATATTTAAAAATTCTAACGAATAACTATTGATAGTAATTTTTTATGATTGTTATTATTGCATATTTGAGATTAGTGCTAACAGCTTTGCAAAATGAATTAGTGTGTTTATAATTGTAATAGTATTATAAGTTCTTTCATACTGAGTTATCTATTCACTTAATTTGTGACGCATAACCTTCCATCATTTCACTAGCTCTGGCACAATCGGTTGTCAATGATAATTGTTTGTTGAAAGGGATGTGGACTTTGGTTCTTCTATGCATCGAACCAGAATTTGATTTAACCATTACCAGAATATGGATCTTGTTGATAAGTCGACCCTCATCTTAACAACGTACATTCGATTTTAAAAACAAAAGCAATTTTGCTCTAAATGGCTCATGTAAATGCTGTTCCGTGAATCTTAAATCCTCCGCTCCTTTGTTGGCGAACTACGACAATACAACTAGATTGCATCTCCTAAAAGAGACTCGAATAGAAAAAAAAAAGCTTGGAGGAACAAGTGGCAGAACAGACATCATTGTGAAAAGTGCTCTGAATATTTATGAAAAAGATTATATAATGTTAGGCTAGCGAGCGGGAAGACACCTGTCCGGGAGGACTTTTATGGACCGTCGCTGCTCCAGAATTTGTAGGGCGGCCTTCCCGAACATAGGACATGAATTATGTATGAGGGGAAAGACATGACAGGGATCCTGGGGTAGTTCATTTTACATTGTGTAAGTGAAGAAGCTTGTCCTTTATGATAACAATAAATCTTCATCGGAATAATCCATTTGGTTTGGTAGGGCAGGTAATAGTTTTAGGATGACATGGCCCTAACAGCTCGACTCTTACAATTAATTACTGACACAAAGTGGTTAATTATTAATCATACATAAGTACGATTTTAATCGTTTTGTTTTTATGGAAAGAAAAAGTGATGTCGCCCATTTGCTGAGACAACGTCATGGATAAATTCATCAAGGTGAATTTTAGGTTATGACAATACATCAAGTTGCAGCAGCAAAAGACAGGGATTTGTTTACCAGTTCATAATATATGTATAATTAGATTTCAGTACCCCAAACAACTTTTATGTTTGTTTTTGTTTATTTCAAATAGCTTGACTATGAAGATCGTTAATTAAGTTTTGCAGTATCGATAAAGCAGAGAATAACTTTTTTTTACCTATATTCTTCCGTACCATGGAAGATTAAAGGAAATAATTAAAGGTGTTGAAAAAGATGTATTATCTTCCATGTACGATTTAACAGTTGGTACATTTAACACAACCTTGTGTATAGTGTGATATAGATATCCATTTATAACTTGATGCAGAAGATTTATTATATATATTTGAGGATGTTTATGAAAATAAATGCAATTTGACAGTTAAAACTTAATTGAACAAGACTCTCCGTAAAATATTTATGTTTGCTGTTAAGGAAATAAATTAGTGCATTGTCTATAATTTATGACGAAGAGTGAAATTTTGAATAAGAAAAATATGTCTGTATAGAAAAATCGTCCTTGAAAATGGGCTAAGGATCCGAAACTTCGACGATGATTTATTTATTTTACGTAGACGTATCTGTATTTGGCTTTACCCCAATGCTATGCAAGTAGAGAATATTATAGATAGCTAAGTCAATTATCTTATTAGTTAATTGAAGATCTGTTGTTCCAGATATGAGATATGCTATAGTAAAAAAAGTTATGATATGCAGTCACGATGTTTAATGACTACTCATAAAGAAGCTAGGTGAACACATAATTATGTTACGCAGAAAATGAAGGCTCCCATCAGGCGCATCATGTATACCATAACGCATAGCAGACAACCCGTTGATAATGTTAAACAAATACCACACAGTACTAGAATCGATCTAGAAATTTTAAAAAGGTCTGCTTGAGATTATTTTCGCTATGCGTATTTCAAGTCTTCTAGTTGAGTAATCCTTTAAAGAAGAATCGAAAATGTATAGACATATGGGGACATTAAGTCTACGCTGGATAAGATGGACGTTTGCCAAAGGTCTTCCTGATATAAAGTTCACATATGGAACTAATGATACTATTTCATCTGGTTAAAAGATTGTAGTTCATTCGAATCCTTCTTCCATATTCGTGACTGGCCTCCATTCAATTGTTTAACTAATTACAGGGCTATGACAGCTGTGATTTGGAACTGTTGAAACGGAATCAGAGCTATCTTGATCCCCAGTCATCGCCGACAGCTATATCTGATAGACCGTCCCTCCCACGTAATTAACACGACGAAGTGTGTATCGTGCGAGTGTGTCATCACGCATGAGATGAGCATAGCGTCCGATGGCTGTCATTCGATCAGATGGACGTTCAGGTCATTAGTGTGTTTGATTGTTTGTTAACACTGTCTTCCAATGGATTTGAAAACAAAGTTTCCACCAATATACTACAATATACAATATACTTGGACACATAATCAATCGTTCCCAACTTTGCATTACAGAACTAATTTAAAAAGAAAAATTGATATTATAATGTTACTTTTTTAATATATCTGTATACATTATTTTAAGATATTTTTATGTTTATTATTGATTGCAGGACTGCCCGGAAGGTAGCACAGATTACAGAACTGAGCAGTGTGCGGCTTACAACAGCGTTGAATTCGAAGAGCAGTATTATGAGTGAGTATTTTTACAACTTATGAGTGTTTTTTGTGCAATCTAATTATTCTAATTGTGTGAATGACATCCAGGCGGTACGGAGGAACGCAAGAAAATCAAGTTAGGGAGGGGGGAGGAAGAGCCTTCTTAACTATTTCGAAACTGAGTTAGCTACAATGTTCTTAGCTTGGTTTATGTATGGCAAAAATAGTCTTGTCTGCCCCTAAATTGTGAATTCAACTAAATAATATTAAATATAATTGGACTCATTAACAAATAATAGATTTATATAACGGGCCATGTTTTTTAGCTGAAGAGAATAGTAAATTAATTTTTGTTTTTATTTTTTGCTTTTATAATACCTCCAAGGCGTCTAAAAAAAAGATGGGCTCGTGATCTACTTATATAAATATATTATCAGAGTGCTACCAATGGGTAGTTTCTCAACAAGCGTTTTCGTGTGATTCTATTATTACTGTGTGCACATTTACTGGATGTATTTTTAATTTAATACAGTTGTACAGCACAGCCTCCATAACTATTTCGAAACAGAGTTAGCTACAATGTTCTTAGCTTGGTTTATGGCAAAAGTAGTCTTGTCTGCCCCTAAATTGTGAATTAAACTGATTAATATTAAATATAATTGGACTCATTAAAATAATAGATTTCTATAACGGGCCATGTTTTTTAGATGAAGAGAATAGTAAATTTATTTATTTTATTTTTTTTTTTTTTGCTTTTATAATACCTCCAAGGCGTCTGAAAAAAAGATGGGCTCGTGATCTACTTATATAAATATATTACCAGAGTGCTACCAATGGGTAGTTTCTCAACAAGCGTTTTCATGTGATTATATTATTACTGTGCGCACATTTACTGGATGCATTTTTAATTTAATGCAGTTGTAAATATCATGAATAAATAAATAAATAATTTTTTTTAAAAATAAAATAAGACTTATTATGTAACAATTCTTCATGAACCTCAATTAAACACTTCAACAACTAGATACCACTAATACTAGTAGTACTACTATATAGAACTACTAAACAGTATAGCTTATTCCCATGTAGGTATACCTCTTACCCATTTGGTTCTTTACATATTCGCTCTTGATTTATTAACAATCTCATCAATGTTTTATTATCTAAACCAAAACCCCTAGGCTCATATTATTTTTTTCTTTTATCAATTTATTTCATATTTTATATAATTTCTTAAAATCTAACATTTATATTAGTCAATATATTACATGCGAAAGTGTATAGACACACGCAAAAAAAATCTTTTATAGTTCACAAAACTTTATTTCACTCAAAGTATAACATTGTTAATACTTGTGTGTAACATAAATAATGTTGTTATTAATGTTACAGATGCCATTATAAGACTTAAAAATTGGCGAAGTGTATTGTAGCGAAACATTTTAGGATGCAAAAATGAGAAATAAATGAAATCAAGTTTTATGAAGTATATAGGTTTCTTTTTTTTTTTTTATGTTTTCCACGAAATAGTTAAATTGTATTGACTTATTATATACCCTTATCAATTTAATATTAATAATTTTATGTGAAACTATTGTTTTTTATTTATTCAATCAAGTAAATAATAATAATATTCGAATAAATTTCGGCCGAATTTTATAAGCATTCAGTAGTAGTTTTCTTAATCTTATTAATATTTGTTTCCTATAATCTTCAAGTATTTGTTATTTATATTTATATATATTTATATTTATTATATATTTATATAGAAGTGGAATTTCTTATTACAGAAAACATATGAGATTTTATTGTAAATAATACATCATGTAGGAGTGGTATAGTTAATTACATATTAAATCTTACAAATGCGCAATGCTGAACTCACGTTAATGTTAAAGAAGCTTCCGCCATTTTGAAGTATGAATAAAGAAATATTTAAATTGTGTTATTTTTTCCTTTGATGTTTATTTTAATCAGAGGCCTGGATTATTTAAATACATTAGTTCATAAATAGCCTCTTCAGTAGGCATTTGTGGATTAAGAGCATCCAAAAAAGTACCCAAATCTGCTTTTTTTCTCTCAAGAACGAGTTGGAAGAATCAGTGGTCGCCGAAAGGTGAGGTTTTTGTCTAAGTTTTTTTGATCGCTCCAGTGCCCAATAAGCCCCTTCGGTATGCATAGCCTCACGCCTGAACAAAAAAAGATAACTTAAAAAAAAATACGTCCAGTCATTGATTACGGTCATTGAAGACTCAGTTTTCGATCAAGCTATATACGTTTTATGATATTACCCGGTATATTAACGTTATATTTTATTTTTTGATGACTAACTTAATTGTGAATTTCCTTGTTCTTATGTGACTGGAATTTCTTCTTTTTTTGGATCTTCTTTTATATATATATAAATGGGTGCCCAGAAGGGGGTTTCATGGCGCAAGTGCGCCATCAAAACTTTTAAGGGAGGCAAATTTCGACGGGGTTATGAACTTTCGGACAAAGGAACAAGGGAAAAAACGTGCAACATACCGCAGCGCAAGTGTAATGGTATATGACCTACGATTTTTTCTAATTCTACCTAATATATATAGCAGTATCACAAAATTATTCCTTCAAATTTTATTTCGAATTTTAATATGAAGTTATGAAACAAAGTTATTTTTTCCTTGTTTATTTAATTCGTTCTGGTCCTAAATTATTATGTTACAGAAATAATATTATTGATAGCTTCGCAGATTGCCACATCAAATTAAAATTGTTTCTATAATTTAATAAAGATTAAATAAACAGAACTAGATTATAAATATTTTCGAAATGAGAACTAACATGTTATCCAAATGTTTTACGACTTTTCAAGTGTCAGAGTACTTAGGTCCCATAGCCTACCTGAAATTTTCCATGCCTTTTCGAAATAAGAATTTTTTTGTAATGTGATGTTTAGTAATAGATTGATCAACTATTTATCATCCGTTTTATTTTTGTGAAATACTCTGTTAGCCAATGCTAGATTTACCTGCCTGAACGTTTAAAAAATCAAAGATTTGGTTCAATTTGTTTAATACAGTTGAATCAACTCAAAAAGGTGGCTGTTCCCTGACACATCACTTGCTGAACCCTAGTCAGTATTTTAATGATAAGCACTACTCTCCGAATAGAATTGTATTTCTCCGATTATTGTCTCCGAGTAGAACAGCAGAGAGCTACGTACTTAATCTGTGGTTTATCGGTAACAACATTATTGGATTTCAGATGTTTTTAAACACCGGTCTATCCATCTTGTTAATATTTTTCCCAAAGAAATGCCAATAAAGATTTATTAACCAACTACCAGTTTTACTCTTGACTAAAAATTAAAAAAGCATTATTTCGTATAGAACTGAATCAGTATGCCATCCCTTATTCCAGGACTAAATAAGAAAATATAATCCTTTATGTAAAGAAAATCAATTTCCTAATTTCTACAAATAAAGATCCGTTGAAATAAAAGAATTATACGATTGAATAGTTATAAAATTTATTTAGAGTAGGTTTTTAATTTGGATTATGTCGTTAGATTTGATCCGAGATGCATTACTATATACGAATGCTGATTCATATGTGTTTTATTGACTGGCATAAAAAACACCACTTCCTCATATATATGCAACTCGAGATCGTAAAAAGAATGGCCTACTTGATCATGAGTCAAGTTGATCTCATCCCAGATGTGTTGATGGGTTGATGGGTTGCCCCTTTATATGTGTTAGTTGTTGGTTGAGGAGAACGGTGACGCGCTTTAATCTTGCCAATTAACCAAACATTTTTCATCCTAATTGTACTTTAATCAATGTTAATAGACATAAATTATTGTGGTTGGCAATAATAATTGCAGCAAATTAACTCCAAATCTTAATGACTATATTAAGATGCATTTAGACCTTTCACAAACAATGGGAAACACAATTACCTAACTTAACAGCGGCATTATGGCTAAACCAAATTGCTTATTTTATTTCTGTTGATACTTAAATCAAATGAAAAATATCAACAAGAAACATAAATACAAACATATCGATTTAACCATTTATGGTCCTAATTGACTCACAGGCTGTAATGATTGCCATTTCAGATCCTTCCTGCTGTTCCACAAATTAAATTAGTATGTACCATGAATTGATTGAGAAGCTGATTTTAGAAGGCACAGATGTCGTTCTACAGTGGATACCAGGACACTGTAGTTTGAAAGGTAATGAACATGCTGGCCGCAAAAGGAGGTGCCGGAAAAGATCAGCCAGATATGCCATTCCCTTTTTTGACAGTAAAAAAGCTAATCAAAACAGTAATCATTGAAGAATTGGAACAGAAACGGCAGTTGGAGTTTAAGGAGAAGCAATGGGCTTCATTACTAGAAGAGAATGGAAGAGTACCAGTGGATCTCCCTAGAAGGCCTCACTTGTTGCACAGTTTAGGCTGAAAACCGGTCATGACTATCTCCAAAGCCATCTATACTATATTGGAGTAGTCGAAAACAGCAATATGTCCACTGTGTCAACAAGAATTCATGACTGCTCTGCATCTACTGACTTGTTCCGGACTACAGGACATTAGAAACAAAGCCAGGACAGAAGGTGAAATTTATTGGGGTGCTGGACATAGCAAAATCAAGGCATAAGAATAAAAAAAAAATTAACCGTTTATATATTTGTTTTTGAAATGTCTAAATGCACCTTTAGGTTTACTTCTGTTCTCGTTCTGTTTTATCTCATTACTGATATAATTTTCACAAATTTTTGTTACAAAGGTGTATGATTATTAAAAATTGATAACAGGCTGAAAGGTATTTTCTTTTTTACAAGAAAATCGTTTTAAGTTCAGTTGCTCTTGACAAAATTTTAAAATATTACAATTCAGTATCGAAAAAAAAAGAGACCTAGAAAGTATTGTCTTTGAAAAATAGGTAAAAGCCACCTTAACTAAGAAAATTGAATTCTTTCCAATCACACATAATGTTATGTTATCCATGCAGGACACTTATTTATATGGAATGCATATCATATGTTATTGTAGTATGTATTGCTTATTATTATTTATATACTATGCTTACTACTATTCATATTTTGTTGTGTTATTTATTGGTTGTTGTATTGCCCTACTATGTTTATTCTATGTTGTATTATATTTCATTGTTTACACTCAGACATACAGGTAGGTTTTTGGTTGTTAGAATTGTAGTCCTTGGATGTCATTGTAACCCAATGAATTATTTTTACATTAAGTTGTAAATTAATTTTATTTATTTTCAATTTTTAAAATTAATTTTAAAGATCAATTAGTATTTTTTTAAATATTTTTTTGTTATTTTATATTATTGGAATAATTATGTGATTGGAATCATATCAAAAGTAATATAAAGTTTCTGATATTGCTATTCACTGGACTGGGTCAAGAGGATAATTTCTTGCCCATATGCCTGCTTGGTAAGATCTTGCAAAGATTTTAGATAAGACGAACTAGGTTAGCCTTTAGACTCTTATCATGAAAATTCTGTTATGATATAACTTCTTTACATTCATGATATCTGTATAGTTGTTTTTTAGTTATAACAAGTACTTAATTTTTGCTTGATTCCCGCCACAGTAGCTGTTACTACTGTGACAAGTATTATACTATAGTACTATGAACTATGAATCATAGCTACTATATACAGTTTACACCTAGTCATTGGCTGCAACACTCACATTATTGGCAGTAAATTTTCATTCTGTAAATGGGCCTTTCAGCTAAAAAAAAAGAATGAATTTAAGAGAGATTGATTATTTTGCTTTATACAGGAAAATAAACATGTTAGGTGTACAATTTTAGCTTTGTTTTAATCTGTGTCGAGTTTTGAGTATTGTTTAAAAAAACCTATCAACTTCGCCATCTATGATTGTTTCACAGATAAACAATGAGTAAAGAAAATTGACTTTAGTTTTTGCTAAAGCCTATAATTATTAATTTAAAAAATTACTGTTTATAATTTTTTTTTTTAAATGCTGTTTATAGTAAAAATTAATGAAATTTATATTCATACTTATAATTTTATATTGTGAGATATACTTATTTATTATTTATTTTTTTAAACAAAGAATTTAATTTAATTTTTCACCTATCCAAGGTAGAGAAATTATTGTAATTATATATCATTTTCCTTGAAATTGAATTTAAGTACCTAATTTTTGATTATCTGAATTCCATAGCTACTTTTTAAAAATTGATTTTCTTCTGTCTCTTATTTTTGGCACCCTAATCACCAATTTCTTAACTTTTACTACTTAAAAATAAATGCTTATAAAGTTGTAGGAGAATTTTTTGATTTTATAATGAAAATACATAACCATTTAAATCACTTTGCTATTTCAGTTGGATTCCTTATACCAAAGCAGAGAACAAATGCCAGTTAAATTGTATGCCCAGAGGAGAGAGGTTCTATTACAGGCATAAAGATAAAGTTGAGGATGGTACTCTTTGCTCAGAGGACAGCTTGGATGTGTGTGTTGATGGTGTGTGTAGGGTGAGAAAATACAATAAAATATTTTTTTGTTTTTCAGAATGCAATTTTTTTTAATAATATAAAATTTTCTAATTGTCATTCATTCAATGTCTGATGTTTATATGACCATTATATTTTTTGTTGTAGCCTGTGGGATGTGACAGGTTGTTAGGGTCCACAACTAAAGAAGATGTATGCCGTGTTTGCGGTGGTGACGGTAGCTCATGCACTACAACAAACGGCATAGTAGAAGACACTGGATTTACCACAGGTAATTATATTAAACTAAACTCTTAATTGATCATAATATACGAGAAATAAAATTTTTACTTGAGAATAAAGATATGTCCACATTTGTCTGGTTCATCTTTCTTTTCAACTTTTCCTTATCTCATGACTGTCAAATGCATAATAAAAGTCTGATGATTACTTTATTTAGAAAGTACAACCATAAACTTTTTATTTTAATATAATGTTTCCCAAAGCCGAAATCTAAATGATATTGCTATTTCAATATTTAATAGAATCAGATCTAATGGTTTAATATTTATATTACTCATGATTTATATCTTATAATCTCGCACATTTCTATGACAATCATTGGAATATAAAGTATCCTCTTGAGACTGTGAATCTGTTGTTTATGACAATCAGGACGTATAGATTGATACTAATCCAGGGTGGCTAGAAAATTACTTACATATTTTAGGCAAAATGCATTTCTGCATAAGCCTTATTCCTTCCCTCATATATGTTAAATATGGAAAAAAAAAAAAAATTAAGTATCTAGTTTTGCCATAAATACTGTTACAAAAGTTGAACTTTTTTTACATCTTTGGGTATTAATTAGATAATCCTTACCTCTATCAGATTATTTTCTTTACATGTCAGGATAATAATCATAATTAGTTTGTATTTTTCTTTCGCTCAGTTAACATGGAGTGGGGTGATAAAGAAAACCAAATAGCTGTGATCTCCTTTCACAAAGTTGGAAAATGTTGATCAGAGATTTTCAACACTTTGAAACCTTTGGGTATCAGCGTTATATTTGCATTATAAATAGATATAATGAGATCCTATCTGTATGTGACAGGTCTCTCTACCTGTTCCTATACTGTAAGAATGGCAAATGCAGTGAGAACAGTGGCTGCTCGAATCACATTCAAAAATAACAAATCATGTCTCGGGAAATGGGAATCTCTGTTAGATCAATGTCTCCCATAATAAAACCTTAGGATGGGTGCATTTCGAAGAATGAAAGGACAAAGGCTAACCACTTTCCTAAAAAGAATCAGAGTGGATAGATGGAAAGTGCTCCTTGGCCGTTACTCCAATGCTCTTAGTCAAAAGATTTTGTTTAGCGATGAAAAAATGTTTACATTAATTGCCAAAATTATTATGTGTGTACACACAGCTCTAAAGAAGCCCAGAAAATCATTGGAAGAATGTAAAGAGGTCATCACCCTTCCTCAGTGATGGTTTTGTGGGGAGTTTGGTTTGATAGCAACACAAAGCACCATTTTTGTGAAAAAGGAGTTAAACAGCCGCTAAAAACTATCAGAATGATATTTTGGAACCTGTTGTCAAGCCTCTAAATGATACTCTGTTTGCTGGAAATCGGTGGGTTTTCGAGCAAAATTCTGCTCCAGCTCACAAGGTCAGGTCAACTCAGCAGGGGCTGCAAAATAACATCCCAGAGTTCATCTCTGCCTCGGATTGGCCCTCTGGAAGTCCTGATCTCAACCCACCAGATTATTAGCTTTGGTCCAAACTGGAGAGGATGTTGGCTTGCCACAGAGTGCACCCTAACTTGGCCTAATGCCTCAAACGATCTCTGGTCCGAGCAGTTGAGCGCTTTCCTCAAAAAGTGCTGCGTGCTGCTATTGTTGACTGACCATGAAAATTAAATGCCTGTATCAAGGCAAAAGGGGACATTTTGAGTAATTTCTTTTTTGTTTTACTCTCTATAGAAATACATTTTATTTTCTAATAAAGTTTTTAAAAAAAATTCATTTTTCTGTTTAAATCTGTATTTATTTCCTAGTAACAATATTTATGACAAGACTAGGTATATACTTATAGACAGCATTGAATAATAATGCCATGATTTCGTCTAAAGTCTTCATGATTCCATCTTGATAATATGTTACTTATTTAATATTTATTATATTTGGAAGTTTCTTTACAATTTTAGGTTACAATGATCTATTTCTTATTCCTGCTGGAGCTACCAACATTAAAGTTGTGGAAAAGAGACCATCAAACAATTATTTAGGTAACCATTCTTGAAGAATCTGTTTTTAATTTTAATAATTTCAACTTCTTTATTATATATGTTTTTATTTAAAGCTATTAGAAACAAGACCGGTCATTACTACTTAAATGGAGACTGGAGAATAGACTTCCCAAGAAGTTTGAAATTTGCTGGTTCCACATTCACCTACAGCCGCAAAAAACCATTTGGTATTTCTACACCTGAATCAATCACTGCTTTAGGTCCAACTAATGAAGTTATTTATGTTGTAGTAAGTAGATAATACCGTATGTACTACTAGCTTTTTTGTCATATAAAAAAAAAATTCTTGAATTAAAAATTCTTATCAATGATCAAATGTTGAATTCATTTTTTGATTATTAGTATTTTATGAATAATAATAAAACAACATTTTTTAGCTTTTATATCAAGAACGAAATCCTGGTATTGAATATACATACAGCATTCCCAAAGGTACAGTTCATGAAGTATCACGTCAGGGCTACAGGTGGCAATTCGGTGAATGGTCTGCATGCAATACAACTTGTGGCAGTGGTAATTTTTTTTTATTCAATTTATTGACTTCCTCTTCTCAGTACTTTTACTTATATGAAAATTCAACAGAGACTTCTTAAATTTTTATGAAATCCATTTTGTATGTCAACTTATAGGTTTTCAAGTGCGAGAAGTATGGTGTGCACTTCGCCATGATGCAAGTAAGGCTTCAAACGAGCTTTGTGATCCTACCACTGTGCCTGCTTCTGTTCAAAGATGCTCACTCACTTCATGCCCTCCCAAATGGACTACATCTGATTGGTCATCCTGCTCTGTTACCTGTAGCGCAAATGGAACAAAAACCAGACAGGTATTTGTGTATATAAATTTATGCAACTGTATTTTTTAAGTTTTTTAAATATATATAAGAGTGGCCGGCTGATAAAAAGGCTTTTATTAATCTTTTTTATTTTTTCTTAACAACCATCTTAGCTATTACTTTTATTTAAAATATCCAAGCTATCTCCAGTTTTAAATATATTCATATTCAATTGCTTCAGGTTTACTGTACACAAGATGACGGCTCTGGACAAACCACTCTAGTCGATGATACAGTTTGTGCAGAAGCTGGGTCTAAGCCCTCAACAACACAGGCATGTGAAGAAACTACACCTTGCCCTACCTGGCATGTTGGACCATGGAAACCAGTTAGTTTATTTTTAATATTTGCTTGCGATGGCAATTGTTTTATACCGATTTTAATTGGACTTACTATGATTTTCAAAGTATTTCAAATGGATGTGTAGTGTGACCGTTTGTGTGGAGATGGCAAGCAAAGGAGAGATGTCCACTGTTACAGTAAAATAGACAAAAGGATAGAAATCTTGGATTATTCTCAGTGTGGTGGGCTAAGGCCTGAATCCGAGAAGCCTTGTAATTTAAGACCTTGTGATGGTGTGGATTGGATTACAAGTAAATGGTCAGGGGTAATTATCTCATTACTTGTCTTTAATATTTCAAAAAATATTTACACGATTGACACACATTACAATTATTGTTCTTTTATCTAGTGCAGTGATAAATGTGGTCTTGCATTTGAAACTAGAACTGCTTATTGTGGCAGTAAAGATGGAAAACCATATCCTGATTCTATGTGCCATGAATATCGCAAGCCAAAATTAGTTCAGAATTGTACATATGTACAATGTGCAAGTCAGTGGTATGCATCCCAATGGAGTGCTGTAAGTAAAAATTATTATTTAATAAAAACTACAAATTTTTTTTATACTAATATTATTTATTAATTTTTTAACTATTATTTCTTTCTGCAGTGCTCAGCAAAATGCGGTACCGGAGTTCAAACAAGGTCAGTATTCTGTGCTACATTTGATGGTGATACTTTCAAGAAAGTTGATAATTCAAAATGTGATGCAGCAAAAAAATACGAAGAAAAACAAGAATGTAAAGTTGAAGATGAATGTAAAGGTGAATGGTTTTACGGACCTTTCTCAAGTGTAAGTTCTAGCCGACATCTTTTATCGTCATATAACATAAATAATTAAACTGTGTTGATATCATTTTGGATTTTATTATTAGTGTAGCAAACCTTGCGGTGGTGGAAGGATGACCAGAAAGATATTGTGTGTGAAAGATAATCAAACTGTTAGCATTAAAGAGTGTTCAGTCGATAATATTGAAACTGCAACCGCAGATTGCAATATGCACGCTTGTGGAGAAGGTGATAGATTTAAAAAATTCATTTATTCCATTTTTTTAAAGATTGGGTTTAATATTTCTTCTTCTCTTCTTTATAGATGAAATAATTCCTGTGGAACCAACCCAAGTCATCAGTGAGGATTATGATGAATGTGAAGGTGAAGATTATGATTATGAAATTATAACTGAAGGCAGTTATATTAAAGTCAACACCAAATTGGACTCAAGCACTGAAGATGTAAACATATTTTGGTTTTGATTTTGTTTTATTAACTTTCAACAAAACTTAATTTTTATTTTTCTTATTTCAGGGCCTTATAACCTTAACTGACAAAGAAATAAAAGAGATAACTGACATGACTGATGAAGACGAAGGTTCTGGAGGCTTCTCTGAGGATCTGATTACTATTAGTTCTGCCAAACCCACTACTGAAAGCAGCCTCAGAACTAGCCAAGTTCCAGTATCTTCCGTCCCACCTTCAACTGAGTTTGGTACTTCAGCTGGAATTAGTGAAATTCCATCTTCACCCCTTGTAACAAGTTCACCATCTTTGACAACCAGTGCTCCTGAAGTGTCTGGCTCTTCTCTTGTAACAAGTGGTTCATCAGTTGCTGCAAGCTCTAGTATTGAGCCTTATACTTCAGTTGTAACTGATATTCCTATAGTTTCTCAAAGTCCAGGAGTATCTGACATTTCTCTTGTAAGTGATGTAAATCTAGAGGTTACTAGCCCTAGTGGAAAATCTGATGTAACTGATTCATCACCTATTGCTTCATCTGAAAAGCCAGATTCAGGTTCTTCAGTTTCGATGTTAGATGAAGTCTCTTCTACTTTGAGTTCTGTGAGCAAGAGTGAAACTAGTTCAGAATTAGCAACAGATGTTACTGATTCTAGTCAGTCTGTTTCCAATGAGGATATTTCTACTACTGGAAATCCTGCATCATCTAGTGAGGGGATATCTTCTGAAATGCCTCTCAGCGATCAATCAGCTGGTGAAGGTAGCTCAGTCCCATCAGAATCTACTTCAACAGATTCCACAGATCTTGCACAAACAAGCTCTGATAGTTCTTCTCCTGAAAGCACTACGCTTGACTCAGAATCCTCTAGCTCCCCATCAACATTGAATACGTTATCTTCAGAAGATGTTACCAGTTCTTCTTCGAGTGAAGCCTCAACTGAAAACACTATTGTGGCCTCAACTGATGTGGGGATTACAGAAATCTCAGGTGGATCTAGTCCTGCATCATCAGAAGTATATGGTACATCAACTGAAAGCTTTGGAATAACTTCGAGTATTATTGGGTCATCTATATCATCTTGGTTTTCTGCTAGTTCGTCTGTATCAGAAGATGTTACAGAAACAAGTTCAGAATCTATAATCGCCAGTTCAACAGCTGGTGAATCAAGTTCTGTATCTATGGAAACAAATTCAGTAGCTACTGGTATGAGTTCCTCGGCTGTTGAGACAAGTTCGGTAGTTGCTGATATGAGTTCCTCGGCTGTTGAGACAAGTTCCATAGCTGCTGGTATGAGTTCCTCGGGTGTTGAGACAAGTTCAGTAGCTGCTGGAATGAGTTCCTTGGGTGTTGAGACAAGTTCGTTGCCAGGAGAGACAAGTTCCTTGTCTTTAGAAACTAGTCAACTACCAGTTTCATCTTCTGACCATAGTACATCTGGTCAAGAGTTAGTAGAAAGTACAACTTCTGAAATCTTGTTGTCCAGCCAGACACCAGCTACTTCATCAGGAGCTACTAGTTTGGGTGAGACATCCACAGAGGTTGAAGTTTCAGAATCTACCACTGCTGAAGTTGAAGTTTCCTCAGAGTCATCAATTAAACCATTATCCACTGCAAGTCCAAGCTCAGACAAGCCTGTAGAAAGTACTAAAGTAGAAACTACTTCCTACATAAAAGGTAAAGAATTTTTTTTTTTTCATATTACTTTATTTATTACTATTATTATCTCAAAAAAAAAGAAAAAAAAAAAAAAAAGAGGCACACCTAGAAAAATTCATAATTTTTTTTCAATTTCATTTTTAAAACAAGATAGAATGTTATTGAAATGAAAACAAATTGGCTTTATGATTTCTGCTTCACTATTCCTTCTACAATTTTTAATGCTTTTAATTAATTATTATATGTGTAGATGGTTGACTTTATAATAAATCAAAAAGAAAATTGTCTGGGGTATAAACACATCTTGGGTTATAAACTTGTTATAAAAACATCAAATAACTGTTAATTATTGTTTAATTCATTGCCAACATTTTCGACCTACATTGTAGGCTTTCATCAGTGATAAATAGTTGAATACTACCTTCCTCTCTGGTCTGGCTCATGCTTTTAATGTTGATCGAAATGATATTAAATTATTTATTAGCATTTATTTGTTAGTTTTTTTTTAGTTAGTTTACTCGATGACCATTTTTTTGTTTTAATTAATTGTTTCTCTTTGTATACAAATATTATGAGGCAAAAGTTCATAATTGAATTAATTATTGGAAATATCAAAGTTTGGAAACAATCCTGCTTAATATCTTATTTATACAAAAAAAAAATTATGTAAATTAGCAATATGGCGATTAAAATTTAATGTTCTCAATGCCTAAATAACAAATTTTTCTTCTTAATAAAATTTAAAATTTTAAAAGAGCTCAAAAAAGTCTGTTACTTCTATGTAATTCATTCAGCCCTCTTTAATTTATGAATTCTTTGATTTATATTTCTTCTTTTATATTATATTCAGTATTTATTATATTATATTTACATTTATATCTGTTATCTATATTTCAGCTGTATTTAACGTGACAACCCCAAGTTCACGTGAGAAAGCTTTAAAGAAAGAACAAAGATTGAAGAAATGTAAAAGACGGCCAAGACGTAGTAAGTGTTTCACTTCTGAATTTGGCTGTTGTCCAGACAATAAAACTCCTGCAAAAGGACCGTTTGGTCAAGGTAAAAGAATCTTTCAATACAAAAGTCATGCTTTTTAAAATATGACTATATAATTAACTAAAACATTTATTTATTTTAATTTAGATTGTCCGAGGATTGAGACATGTAAAGACACTGAGTTTGGTTGTTGCCCTGACGGTGTATCTCCAGCTAAAGGGCCCAAAGAAAAAGACTGCCCACCAACTTACTGTGAGCTATCTCTGTTTGGTTGTTGTCAAGATGGAATCACACCTGCTCTGGGTAACGAATTCTATGGATGCCCATTTGAAGAGACTACTATTTCTCTGGATTGCAGCTCTAGCGAGTAAGAAGGCTCTTGATATTTATTTATAAATCATAACTCACCTATTGAAAGTTATGTTTATAGTAATAGGAACATTTGTTTTGTGCTGAAGGATACCATACTCTCTTTAGACACCATAAAAAATCCAAATTTCTTATTTACCTGTACCACTGCAACTCATGAAGGATCTTGAGAGCAGTGGTTTGTAAGGAAGTACTGTTTCTGGGTCAACGGTTGTACAAGCACACCTTCGATCACCATATAACAACGTAGATCATGTTCAACTGCTAGGTTCCTCTTCTTAATTTATTGTTTAAAGAGGCTGTATTTTCCTCAGGATAGTCTCCAATCCAGTCATATTATACATTATATACAATAAGCCAGAATAGTCAATCCACGGTTAATGTAACAAAATGAATAGTTACCTGGGCACAGTCGGGCTTACTCACTGAACTATCCAACCCCCTCTTCCATTCATACATTTCAAACTGATCCAAATTTAATATTTATATTTTGAAATCTCAACTATGATCTGGTCCATTTATAGTAGGCACTACATAAACCTCATATTGAAATGTTTTTTTTCTTTAGATACCTGATTTTTGTTCATGTAATAAAACTTGATTATTCTTTGAAAATTCGATGATTATGAACTAATAGTCATCATTCTACTGGATCATGCAAATTTAGTTGTGAATTTTATAAATGAAATTTTTTAAATTTATAGATAAGTTGTAGTTAATATAAATTCCTTTCATGTGTTTTTGATAGATTTGGCTGTTGCCCTGATGGTATTTTGTCCGCAACTGGACCTGATAACCAAGGTTGTCCAAGCTGTAATGAAACATCTTATGGCTGCTGTCCTGATGGAATTACATCTGCATTAGGCCCTGATGGAATGGGATGCGATGATGAAGGTAATAAATGATTAAGAGAAGATGTGTTTAATTCTCTATACGCCAGAAGTTGGTAAACAATTATTTTGATCATACTGTTTTTTATTTATTTTAAGTTGTGATGAGTACTACTGAATTCCCTGAAAATGTCACTGAAATAACTTGTGAAAATTCAACATATGGTTGTTGCCAAGATGATATGACGCCAGCTTTAGGTGCTGACTTTTTAGGTTGTCTATGCAGCAAATCGCAATTCGGATGCTGTCCCGATGGTAAGAAATTATTCAAATGTATTTCATATCTAAGAAGTTATAATGTTTTACTCAATAGATGTTGATTCTTTTGGATCTCATTGTGCTTCAAAAGCAGCAGGCAAAGTCTATCACTATGTATATATAAAAAATGGCTCTATTTCCATTTGAATTGTATCAGCCTGTAGATGATTCTATGCATATTGTCAATTGTTGTTTCAGGTAACACTACAGCAACTGGACCAAACAATGAAGGTTGTCCAACGCCTCCTCCAGCATGTGCTGCTGGACCATATGGATGTTGTGACGATAACATCACTATGGCTCATGGACCGAATAAAGAAGGCTGCTGTCTTCTATTACCTTATGGATGTTGTCCTGACAATATTGTTCCTGCTCGGGGACCAAACTTCCAAGGTAATCTATAATTGAAAATATCTTAAAACTATTAGTTGAAAGCTATTAGTTGAAAGAAACGGAAAATATTTCATTAATAATAAAATTAAATTGCAGGTTGTGGTTGCGAATATTCTCCATATGGATGCTGTCCTGATAATAAGACAGCTGCTCGTGGGCCTTCAAATGAAGGTTGCGGCTGCCAGTATACAGCCCATGGCTGCTGCCCTAATAATTATACCCCAGCCGCTGGACCTGACTATCTGGGCTGTCCTTGCCACACGTTCCAGTTTGGTTGTTGCCCTGATGGGGTCACTACTGCTAGGGGTCCTCGCCATCAAGGTATCACAGATGTTCTTCAATATTTAAACTCAATAAAAATCTGTATAACTAAGATTAAAAACAAAACAAGATGGCCCATATTGCCATGGTATAAAAATAAATGCAGTAAAAACAATAATTCATAGCTGGAATGCATGATTTCTTTTACATACTTACTACTGATAAAATACTGCAAGTCATTGATATTTTGATCTTATCTATTCAGAAGTTTAAAAGTTAAATTCAAAGCTTGTTATGTTAAACAGGCATAATATCTATGTTTTTTAATGAATATGAATAGAATGTTGTTCTATACTAATTCGAACGTTAAAATTGTTTAAAGGTTGTGGATGTGAGCATACAGAATTTGGTTGTTGTTCTGATGGAAGAACTCCAGCTCCTGATGCTTCTCAAAATTGCACCTGCGCAGCCTCTAAATACGGTTGCTGCCTGGATGGAATTAAAGCTGCAGAAAATGATGATTTCGGAGGATGTGACATTAAACCAGTTCATAAAGGAGGTATTCATTGCCATGGAATTCTGATTTGTTTAAAATTTTATAACATTGTAAATTTACCTATTTTGTTTTGAATCAGAATTCTGCTCGCTACCAAAGGCTTTGGGAGAATGCCGCAATCTCACTATTAAATGGTATTTTGACATGGAATATGGTGGATGCTCTAGATTTTGGTATGGAAATTGTGGTGGCAATGGTAATAGATTTTCCAGTAATGAAGAATGTAAATCAACTTGTGTTGAAGCAAAAGGAAGAGGTAATTAACCCTGTTACTTAAATAAATTAATTTGTTTACATTTGTATTCTGTGTCCTTTAACTAAAATTTATATAAATACTTGAATAGAACTATGTTGAATTAAGAACTTCAAATGCTGGCACACAAATGTTTCGTTTGACAGACACTTCTTGGGTCCACTCCATCCTAAAATATCTGACTGTAGTCAGGGAATAAATCAGGCAGCAGTACCCATATTTTTCTTTTAGTGCTGTACAGTCGAATAAGTTTGGTTATTAGACATTTCAGAAATTGGCTTTTTCTCAAGTTTACTAGATTACAGAAAGCATTGGTTTCATTAGAAGTTTAGTTTTTTCATTAGTGTGATTTACATATCATTAAAGCATACTTAATGAAATATTCTATACCATTATTAATTTAGTTAAGAGTATAGAAATTGAATATAGAACATTAATTGATCTGTGTACAGATTACAATAACTCTCGATTTATTTTAATTGTCATATTTCTTAAATTGGTCAAGTTAAAACTTATATATTTAAAGATAATTGCTAATTTATTTAATAATTATATTTGCAGAAAGGTGTTACCTTCCCAAAATCGAAGGTCCTTGTAAGAGTTACTATCCTCGATGGTACTATGACAGAGAAAGAAAAACTTGTTCTCAATTTATTTACAGTGGCTGCCTTGGTAACACAAATCGATTTGAAACAAGAGAAGAATGTGATGAATTATGTGGAACTCAGGAATATCTTGGTATGACATAATTTTGTTGTATTACTTGATATTAAACTTTGATCACTAATAATGGTCACCTCCTAACTGTTTCTCTCTTATTACTTCGAAAACAGATGCTTGTGATCAGAAGTTGGAACCTGGACCTTGTGCAGGCAATTTCACCCGTTGGTACTTTAACAAAGAAACTCAATCATGCTCTACATTTAATTATGGAGGCTGCCAAGGGACCAAAAACAACTTCCTTACTGAATCAGCCTGTAAGATAAAATGTTTGCAACCTGGAAAAATGAAAGGTAAACTAGTTAATGGACTTGAAACTGAACATTGTTAATAACAATTAGGATAATTGCCTGTATTTAAATTAAAATCATTATAATAATTATAAATTTTAGTTTTATTTATTTCTTATTTTTTATTTGCATAAAGAATACTGATAAACTTATTTGTTTATAATAATCTTGATAATATTATGTACCCGGAAATAATAATATCAGAATAGGAAATTATTTCCTTAATAATATTTAAAGCAATTCTTATGTCACATCATTAATTAATATTTTCTTTTTAACAGTCTGTAGTCATGTGATCCCATCAATTGATTCTGTTAATATTACTGCTGTTAGGTCTAAAAAAAATTTTATTTATCCTGAAGCTTGTTGATATACTCGGATTATGGAGTTATTGGGCATTATTGTAGACCTAAATGGCTCTGTTAGTGTAGTAGTAAGAGACCAGCAATAACTTGAAAACAGGTTCCACTGTATTTAACTTGAGTGCTTATTGCTGCCATACTAATCTAATCACCAACTTTAGAACCTTATACGCTTTATTCCGCCTTTTACGAACCTTAGAACCTTTTAGAACCTTTTACGCTTTATTATACGCCTTATTCCGTTTTAATAGTTAAATAAATATTGACTTTTCTTATGAACATTTCATATATGTTTCTTAGAAAAGACTAGATCACTCTTCAGTTTTAAATGTAAAGAATACATTTAATTTAGCACCAATAAGATTAATTTTGATAAATTAATAATATTCATAATTATTTAAAGAAATTATATTTGTATCTTTTGCGTTTAATTTAATAGTTATTGGATGATTTTCATTCTCTTGCTAGTTTCCAAAAGCATAAAGTTTTTACCCACCATATTTCTTGAATAGGTTTTCATTAAATAGAAATTTTTATTAATTTTTTTCGTTATGGTTTATTTCAATATTGAAATTCAGGTTCAGTCTTTACTACTTTCCAGAAATAATAGAATTTCCCTCCAACAATTTTGTTATTCTTAAACAGTTTTGATTATAAGTTTTTTTTTTTAATGTCTTAAATTATTTTTCATATACTTTATTTAGCTTATATTTTCCTAATAAAGTACATTTGTAGCTTCTGAGATCTGCAACCTTAAAAAAGATACTGGCCCCTGCCAAAAATATAAGCGTAAATGGTACTTTGATTATAAAACCCAGAAATGCAAACAGTTTTTCTACGGTGGTTGCAAAGGAAATGAAAATCGTTTCAATACAAGAGGTGATTGTGAGTCATTTTGCTTCTCAGGTGAAAATGACATTCCCTCAATGACCCAGGGCTATAGAAGAGGTAAAAAATACGTCTCAATTGTAGATTTGCTGAGGGCAAACCCCGCTTTTGTGGCCATTTGGTTAGAATTTACTGCTTTCATAGTTACGGTTGTGGTGTAGGGCTTTAGCTTTCGATATTATTTAAGTAGTTAAAGCGTAGTATATTTAATTAGTTTTGTAATGCTTAATGATGTCTATGTTAGTAGATTTTATATATATTATTTTGAAGGATGAGGTAAGTTATTGCTAATTGTGATTATGTATAGATTAAATTTATTAATAAACTTTTTAGCTTTCAAACTTTATTATTTATCAAATAGATATCTTCTTATTGATATAATAATACTCTCACTAATCTTCCAGATGTCATATAGCCTTCCGATAGTAGCCTCCTTACTGATAAAAATAATGTTAGATATTGTATCACAGTAATCTAAGGTCGTTAGAGGTTTAAAAGAAAAAGAATAATTTTTTTAAATATATGAACAAAAAATGAAACTTATAAATGTGACATTATTAACATCATGAATTGACATTATGAACACATTAATACAGTATATAACTGTGATTTATAATATAATATTACTCTTAACATTTTTAAGAATTTAATTCATATCTCATTTTAGTGCCATGTTACAATACAATTAAAATTTAAAATGTCTTTTTTTAAATATAAAATTATGAAATAGGGATGAAGTAAGCTTTGGAAAATTGAAAAGAAATAGACAATTAGGGACCATCCTATTTTTATTCTCAAATGAATTAATATATTCTGGCTAGTGTCATCTTAATCAAAAATTACGATTAAAATATTCATTTTAACAATTTTCCATTTTTATAATATTTTAGGTATTTGGTTCTTGGTACATAATTTGTTATAGTTTACATTGCAAGCATGATATAAAGTAATATTTGGTTCCATCATGCATTTACAGATTAGATAATTGTCTTTTTGAATGGTTCTCATTTTTAAATCACTTTCCTGTTTTGAGTGAAGTTAAAACATTATGGTGTTGGTGGCATGATATTCACATTTATTTTGAATGAATAATTTTTTTATAATAATTTATCTGCATGGTCAGTTTTAATGTTATTCTTTTAGACATACTATACATGCATTCTAGAAGTATAACTAATAAGTAGCTTTTATTAGATCAACTAAACTCAATTTAATTAAATGCAGTAGCTATAACCTAGTATTATGAATGATATGAAAATGCTTCTAATATTCTACTAACCCATCTAACAAATGCTAACACAGAGGAATGCTCACTACCTCGGGAGAAGGGCACTTGCTTTGAGAAACAGCCCAAGTGGTACTTCGACTTTGCTGAAAACAAGTGCTTGCCTTTCCATTACTCTGGTTGTGGTGGTAATGAGAATAACTTTGATTACAGAGAGTACTGTGAACTAGCATGTCCTCCGAGGATTGGTAAGTTTTATCTTTAAAAAGTAAAGTGCTATGTTACAAATTAGTATTCTATTCAAAGTTTAATTTTGTTTTTTAACTTATGCATGTTTAATTTGAGACTGATCAACTATTAATTTAACAGCATTATGAATTTTATAAGTTAAACAAAAGTAGATTATATTTGCATGTATTTAACATAACATAAACTGTCCTCTGGATTAACTTTTTTTATTAAAATAATAAATCCAGAATTTATAATTTAATTTAAGTGACTTAAAATTTTTAAATCATACAATTGATAATTGTTTAAATCATTAATTTAGCCTACACAATATCAATTTGTTGGTTATGGTAAAAATCAGCTCTAATCTTAGTGGAAGTAACGTGTTACAGATTAACCAAGGTTTTGTCTATTCCAGACTGATATCAAATCATATAAACTTGTGCTTTGATATATTCTTTCAAAATATTTTGAAAATTCAATAAAATGTATACTGGTATATATTTTTCTTTTTAATTATTTACTATTAAAGTAAAAAGGTTGAAACAAAAGGACTTTCACTGCAACTTCTAAACTTTTGGAAACCAGGAATGGTTATCCCTAATTGATTCCCTGAAACTGATAGCCTTTACAAGATTTTGTTAATTTTGATTCTGATCTTTTTCTGTAATTTTTAAATTTGAATTATTGTAATTGTTTTGTAATTACATTTTTTCTTTAATGAAATTATTATATTTTCAGAACTTGATACTTGTGTACTGCCTCCAATGGAAGGTGAATTATGTAAACAAAATTACACTGAAAGATATTTCTATGATTCATTAATAAAGCAATGTAGACCATTTTACTTTGGTGGATGTGGAGGTAATAACAACAACTTTGTTTCATTGGTTGATTGCCAGAGGCGCTGTGACATAAAGTCTCTTCCACAAGAAAGCCCACTGATATTCACTACAGGTATGAGACTTGCTTTTAACAGTTTGCTGTTAGTGAATGAATAGTCACTTTGCTTAGAAACTGATAATCCTTAAAAGATTTTGTTCATACTCAGGCTTTATTATTATTTTCAGACATGTGCTTTATGGCAAGTGATTCAGGCAGTTGTTCTGGCTCTGAAATTCGATGGTTTTATGACAGACGAGATGGTATTTGCAAACAGTTTAGATATTCAGGCTGTGGTGGAAATGGCAATAAATTTGCGTCCCGGCAAGATTGTGAATTTTCTTGCGGCAATATTCAAGGTACATAAGGATGGAAAGTTTATTTTATTGTTTTTAGTTTTATACAAACTTCCTTCTTAAGCATATATTTTGATTAAGAAGAATTAGTATAATATTTATTTAATTTTATTATTTTCTCTCTCTCACTTTATTTTAACATTGTCTAGTATCTGAGTAAAAATAATTTTTAAGAAGTTGTGTACTTTTGAAAATTTATAACTAGTAGTACATTAATACCTTTTAAACAGAACACAAAACTTATACAACACAAATAGGATTAAAATAATAATTCACTAGGGTTTAATATTCGATTTAGGTTCCATTATTATATAAATATAAATCTACATTTCTGTAGGTAATTGGCTACAGTGAAAATCTATGTAATTAATTTATTTTTGGATCATTAGATTATTATCTGGACAATTCAATGAGAGAATGAGCCTTTTTAATGAAATTTATTTTATCATTTATTATAGATGTTTGCACATTACCACGAGTTGTTGGACCGTGTGATAGTACAATTAGACAGTGGCATTATGATCAAGCCACTCAATCTTGCCAAGCATTTGACTATGGAGGTTGCCAAGGAAATGGTAATAGATTTGATTCGGAAGAAGAATGCAGGAGCCGATGTGTCAAGGCGACAGACGTTGCTCCCGTTACTCAGCATCCTTACGAAAATATATGTTACTTCCCTGTCCAACCTGGTCCTTGTCTCAAGCAGGTTAATATTTTTCCATCTACATTAGAATATTTTTTTAATTTGTACTCTTCAATTTTTAGTATAAATGTAATAGTACTTATCATTTAAGAAGATAAGTATTTTTTTTCTCCTTTTTTCATGCAATTTTTTTCAGAAATATATAAGGTGATATTATAGAAAAATTTGTGCAAAGAAGGCATACAGGGCAGCTGTTGATAAGTATGCAACTAGAAGACAGAGCTAAAGAAGAAACTTTATGACAGAAAAATGAAAGAGACTTAGAAAAAGAACAATTAGATCAAAATCATGGAGGCAATTAGAAGATTAAAAAGTAATGAAGCCCTAAGATATGATGGCTTTCTATTTAAGCTTTTGAAGTATAAAGACCTTAAGTTAATCAAGATCTTACAAAATATTATGATTCAAGTTCGGCAAAATGATGAGGTTTTGTTGAAGATCTGGAGTAAAATCATAATTGTTCCCATTCATAAAAAAGAATGAATCAGAAATATATTTTACTGCAGAAATAATCATGGGATATTCCTGCTTCTCTATGCTATCAGATTTTTTAGGGTATATTCTGTAAAATACTGTAAAGAGTAATCAGTAATCATCAGGAGAGCTTACAAAGGAATAAATCCTCAAGTAATGAATTATTCTTGCTCAGATATATACTGGAAAAGGGGAAAGAATATAATACAAAGCTTCAGTTGCTATTTATTGATTATAAGACAGCATCAATAAGAAAGTGCTATGCGAAACTCTGCTGGAATTGGAGATAAATCAAAAGTTAATTCACCTCATTAAAATGTCTATGCATGGGATTAAATGTGTAGTAAGACAACAATTTGATAATTATAAGAGAATCTGGCATCCAGATTAGCAATAATATTTTCAATAGAATGATCTATTAGTATATGCAGATGATGTCCTTATTGGAAGGTCCTAGGAAAGCAAAATGAGATGTTTGTAAAATTAGAGCAAGTGGCAAAGAAAATGGGTCTGGAAATCTATCAGCAAAATAACAAAATACTTGATAATAGTGAGTAGCAATAACCTTAGAACGACACACTTAAATTATCATAAAATTTAATTGTGATGCTCTGGAAGACCCAAATACTTTTCAGAAATAAGCTTAAACAATAAGGAAAATAAATAAATATATTCAAGGTAATCTTAGAGAATATATTTTATATGCTAACATAACGAATAAAGGTTAACATATACATGGCTAAAAAATAGAAAAAAGGATCAATATTTTTCTGTTGGGAATACATTAAGTTTATATCGATTAAATATATATGTTTGTAATGTAAAATATATACATAATAAAGGGAAAAAAATGTTTACTTAAAAAGATAATAAAACCTATAGTGGGAACCATTGAAGTGGCCACTCACTCACAACTATCCAAGACTGCAGATAGGTCTCTTACATTGCTGACTAACCATTTTTGTCTTCATATCTTTCCCTCTCGTGCAAAATAAATAATTGGCTTGGTTTTGCAATAGTAGTCGTTTATTTTTTTATTTCCAAAATTTCTTGAAAACAAACATGTTTTAATGCACCGTTCGTGTGAGTATTTCCACTTGCAGTTTTCTTTTCAAACAGGGCTCAAGTAACAAATAGTCTAATCCAAATAAATAATTTCTCCATTTCATCTTCTTTCCCCAGTTAACTTAGCTGAACAATATCTGTTTATACCAGCATGGTTCAATATTCCAAATAAAAATTGGAGAGACAGCCTCCTTTTTACTTTCCTACCTATACTAGGTAAGGAAAGTATTGCAATTGGGTCAAATTTCCAATATGCAGTTTTTTATGGATCTATACGTTTCTAAGAGATTCCTGAGTTTGAAAAACAGATTTTTAGCCTGTTTTTTTGAAAGGTAATGAAATTTCCTACAAAACTGTCTAACAATCGTTCATTTCGGACACCTATTAACGAAGTTACACCTATTCAATTTCCAATGTATGATTACGGATTCTTATCTTGGTGTCATAAAGGGGTGAATGATAGAAAAAAGATAACTAAGTGAAAGTAAGAAAATCTGTTGCCCGCATCACACAAGGTTCACTATTTCCTTTGCTTTTAACAGAAATTATTTATTATTAAAAACACTTTATTCAGAAATATTACAATTTGTCACAGTTAAGGACTTTTATAATAGAGTTCAGAGATTGCATTCATACCGTATATACAAAAATATAAATAAATAAAGTAATAACAAAAGAATAAGAAGAAAGAACAAAAGAGTAAAGAAAAAAAAATAATATATATACACATAAGTAAATAAAAATAGAAATAAAAGTAAAACAAACACCTTATATAAAACATACATTATTTACAATTTGCCAGGTGATCTCCGAACCAATCCTGTCCCCTCCACATGTGGAGGGAAAAGGGAGGCCTAGGAGATCCCTACGCTTCTCCCTCAGCCACTTCACTGGTATTTTAAACCAGCGGAGGATGAGTAAGAGCGCTACAGCCACAGACACTCATGACTTGAGTGGAGAATCTGGCCATTGCTAGAACTCCAAAATATCCATATTTACAAAAGGTCTCGTGGCCACTGCCGCTTTAACCTACGAAGGGGATTGTAGGGATGGGTGGTGCTTGATAGGGATTGTACAACGGGATTTGGGTGATGAGAAAGGTTCTGGTGAAATTTGGAAAATTTGGCTGGGATAAGATCAAGAATAAATGGGATATTAAGGTCATGATGTAGGGTTTTATTGGTTACATAGAAGGGAGCATTGACTATTGTACGGAGGACTTTAGACTGAAAGGATTGAATGCGTTTGATGTTAGAAAATTTGGCTGTTCCCCATAGTTCTAGTCCGTAAGTCCAGATGGGTTTCAGTATTGTCTTGTAGATCAGTAATTTGTTTTCACCAGAAAGTTTAGATTTTCTATTCAGTAGTCTATATAGCTGGCCATATCGTCTGTTAAGTTCCTGTCTTTTAAGTCGAGTATGTGGATTCCATGTTAGTCGTCTGTCTAAGAGAAAGCCAAGATACCGGACTGTATCTGAGAAAGGAAGCTGGATGGAGTTAAAATAAACTGGTGGGCAGGTATTACGCCGAAGGGTGAAGGTAATGTGTTTACATTTAGATTCGTTTACCTTAATGCGCCATTTCTTACACCAGTGTTCAATCAGGAAGAGGTGCCTTTGTAAGTTTGCGGACGCTGTTTCAGGATCTGAGTTGGAAGAAAGGATAGCAGTGTCATCAGCGAAAGTTGCCAGGAGGGTATCGGGATGGACAGGAATATCAGCGGTAAAGAGAATGTAAAGGATGGGGCCCAAGACGCTGCCTTGAGGAACGCCAGCCTCAATTGAGTAACAGTCGGAGAATTCGGTGCCACAGCGAACTCGGAAGGAGCGGTCGGAAAGATAGGATCGGAGTACTAGGTATAAGGACTGTGGTAGATGGATTTTAAGCTTGAAGAGTAATCCGGCGTGCCATACCCGGTCAAAAGCTTGCGCTATGTCCAGAAATGCACCCGAGCAATACTGCTTGCTTTCTAGGGTTGAGGATATATGGTCAACAACTCGGAGTCCTTGCTGGACAGTGGAATGTTGGGAACGAAATCCGAATTGATGAGTAGGAAGGTTATAGGATTCAATTATAGGTAGGATTCGTTTCAGTAGGATCTTTTCAAAAATTTTTGAGAGGATTGGGAGTAGGCTAATTGGTCTATAGGATGCTGTATTGTTGGAAGGTTTGCCTGGTTTCAAGAAGAGGACGATGGTGGAATGTTTCCATAAAAGAGGGAAGTGGGTAGTTCGTAGGATGCAATTGTATATATATGTAAGAAATGTGATGGCTTTAGATGGAAGTTGTCGAAGGATCTGTGGGGTTAGAAGGTCATATCCAGGAGATTTGCGAGGTGTGATTTTCCGTAAAAGGTATTTGACCTCAGAGGGATTAACAGCTTTAGGTGGTAAGGAGAGTGGGATAGGTATTGAGAGGGATTCTTCTACTTTTACTGTGTGGCTGGGATGGGATTCTGGATGAGGAGCGAAAGTATAGGAAAGGTGTTTGGCAAATTCCTCGGCTTTATCTTCATCAGATGCTGCCCAGGAGCCATCATCTCGTCGAAGAGGGTGGGAAATATGATGGGATTTGAGGATTTTTCTGGTGATATTCCAAAGGGAATTATCATGAGCAGAGAGTGTGGTGAGGTAGGAATTGAATGATTGGGATCTGAAGGTGGCTAATTCTTTTTTTAATTTTTTACAGTGATAATTGTAGGAGTGGCGGTCGGCTGGATGTCTGGTACGTTGCCATAATAATCTGGCACGGCGTTTTATGTGGATTAGGTCAAGGAGGTGTTGAGGTAAATTATGTTTCTTAAGGATTTTTGAGGAGTGATCAGGGGAGGAAGCAGTCCAGACTGCTTCTTGAATTTTGGTAGTGAAGGAATGTACTGCATTGTCCAGGTCTTCAGAGGTTTTCAGGATTACTCTGAGGTCAATTTTATCGGAGAGGATTTGATGAAAGAGTTTCCAGTTAACTGGGCCTCTGATGAAGGACGGAGGAGAGGGTTTAGGAATAGGAGCTAGTGATACTTGGAGTATTAATGGGCTGTGGTCTGAGGAAAGCTCGTCAAGACGGGCAACGGAATGGTTGAGAGCACCTAAACCATTATGGATAAAGAAATCGAGGATATCGGGATTACGGTTAGGATCAGTGGGCCAGTAGGTAGGTGAGTTGGGTGGAAGAAGGGTAAAATTTTGGGAATTGAGTACAGACAGCAATGTTCGACCACGAGAATTCGTGGTTCTTGAACCCCATTGTTGATGCTTGGCGTTTAAGTCTGCACCCAAGATGAAATGATGTCCTAAGGAAATGAGGAAGGAACTAAATTGGATATTGGAGATGGATTGGTTTGGAGGGCAATACGCTGATGCAACGGTAATAGGAAAGGAGAAGGTTTTGATTACGACTGCGGTGGATTGTAGGAAATCGTGTGTAGGCAGTGGGAGTAGGTGATGGGAGAGGGATTGGTGCACAATGACTGCAGTACCGGCATGTGCTCTACCGTCAGGATGGTCGGTACGGTAAGTTATGTATTGTGGTATTTTTAGGAGCTGTTTTTTAGTCAGTCGAGTTTCCGTTATTAGGGCTACGTCTACGTTCTTGTCTTGTAGTAAGGCTGTTAGTTCATGTATGTGATTTCTAACACCATTCGCATTCCAAAGGAGAATGGATATGGGTTTGATGGAAGTCATTTAAGGATTTTTTAAAGGAGGGATAAGGTGAGATACTAGGTTAGTGAGAAGTGATATCAGTGGGGTAACAAGGGATTTAAATTCTGAAAGAAAGGATGTCAATAAGCTGGTTAGATCTGTAGCATTAGGCGGTGGAGGAACATATTGGATTTGATGTTGGTGAGGTTGTTGTTGATTAGGTACATTAGGTGGGATAGGATATTGAGATTGGGGTTGAGTTTGTTCTTGCGGCAGGGCCTCACATACATTAGTCGGGTCTCTACCCCCAAGTAGCTTGGCAAAAGAAACCTTAGAGTTCACAATTTTAGCGGGTCCTCTTCTTGGTTTAGGTGTATCATCAGGGTCCCTGGGTTTCATATATCTCGCTTTAAGATTTTTATAAATTTGGCAGCCTTTGTAGTTGGCTGGATGGCCTTCCAGGCATAGGGCACAGACTGCTGGTTCTGTAATTGGTTTATTACACTCGCCAGACTTGTGTGTTTTACCACATTTCACGCAGCGTGGTAAGTGGTGGCAATAAGACTGAAATTATTGTTTGACAAAATTAGGCTATGGCAAAAAGTTTATCAAATAAATCGTACTCAAATCTTTTCTTTGACAATTTTCAGGAAAATAAATCTAATTCAATTTTTTTTTTTTTGCTCCTCGATGGACATATGTAAAGATATAAAAACTTCTCTAAAATAGGTAGAAAAGTCGTGTGAGCAGGCACACCAGATTTTTTTTCTTGCTGCTAACACATATTTGAACGAAAATTACTGTGTCATCTTTATTTAATATGTTCCATGTATTTTTTTTTTCATCTCCTAACTCACATAAAACTTCATGGATTTCTTCAGGAGAAGAATACATTTTTTTGGTGGTTGCCATAATAAAAAAATATTTTCTATACATTACTGTCTGAATTGAAAAGACTACTAATTAACAAGTATAACATTAGAAATCCACACCTGAATTATTCGAGGTTTCAAAATAACAAAGGAAATACTGGAATACGAAATTTACAGAAAAGTTACATAGGCAGCTCACTGGGGTGTGGGATACCCCACAATGACTTTCGATAACTCCAAATAATGATATAAGCCCAACAAAGGAGCGCTGATGACCCTAATTAGCCTGGATATGTATGATGTTTATTTACATGAAAAAAAACTTGGCCAAAGAGCTACTTATATAAAAGTCAATTAATATTGTAAATGTTCTGGAGTGTAGCATACCCCAGTGTGTCGTTTTAGGGTTAAATGACATGGAGAGATTATTAGGGAATATAATTTAGAATGGGTTGTAGAATTTTTATTTCTCATGGACTATGAAAACAATTTTCAAAAACTTTGACTTGATAGATTTTTAATTTTCTACAATAATATATTTTTTAAATAACTCTTTTGTTTTTAAATATTATTTAATAATTTTTTTCTTGCTTTCAAACAATATTTTTTGGGGGGTTGGGAGCTTGGGGAGGTTCCGTTCAAATGAAATAAAATAAGAATTGAATAAAAACTTGATGTTTATTCCTTTTATTGAATATAACATTTACAAAGTTGTGAGTAAAAAAATAAGAACATCTCTGAAAAATAATTTCTTGGAACTACTCTTCACATGTAATCTTATTTTGAATTATTATCAAACAAATTACTCAAAACCACATATTAGCTATGGAATTAGTTGGTGAGTGGTTATTGCATATGATTTTTACAAATTCTTGCCACAACCTCTCTAGATATAAAGAAAGGTTAAAATTAGATAAATAAATATAATATTATAATTTTTTTTTTAATTTAAAATTTTAGATTCCAGCCTGGCATTATGATCCCAATTCAGCAACCTGTAAACTGTTTTATTATGGAGGCTGTGAAGGCAATGCGAACAGATTCATGTCAGAAGAGCAATGCGAAAGGCAGTGTGGTCAATTCAGAGGGCAAGGTATATACATTTTTATTTATTATTGATATATACTTTACAGTTTTTTAATATTATATTTCATTTGTTGGTTTTTAATTAAAATTGATCAAACTATGAGAAAACATGAACTTCTGGAATTTTATTGCTGTTATTAAATAAAACTACATATAGTTTTTGTATATCTTAAATTTTTTCAGTTTTGAGATCTATGTACGTATTTTTCAGATGAATAATAAGTTAGACTACTTTGGACTTATAGGTTAAATAAAAATATGTAAAATTTTCATACATTTTTAATGTGAAAACATCTTTAGGCACGTTTTGCGTTTTTATTGTGGAAAGTGAATTAGATTGAGCCTTCCTATTTCCAATGTTTAAGTCTTGGGTAAATTCGGCTGGAGTCAATTAATTTAACTGTTTTTGCATATGAATTAAAATATCTAAGAAACTAAAAATCGGATCTGCATACTAAAAGATATGGAAATGATCAGCATTTCATTCTCTTTATAATAAGATATTATTTTAATTATAATTATAATTCATATTATTAATATCGCCTTGTTGATGTTTTCACTTTTATCCTGTGGTCTAAAAGCACACATCTTTGTTTTTTGTTTTCACATGCTGAAAAATTAACTCAATTAAATTTAAATAAACAGTATTATTCCACATCAAACTTTGGAGGATTTGGTAATGTCTGAGATTCTTCCATTCCAATGTAAGCATAAAGCTATTGAAGAGAAAAGAATAGTGGAAATAATACGAACCATTAACATGATGTGTTTTTGGTAACTTCCTCTCCAAAAATTTTTTTTACCATATCACCAATGTAAGGCTAATTTTTTTATTAGAAAATAGATTCATTGTTAAAACATAAGTAAAAATTATGTATAAAAATAGATATAAAGATAATATAAGATATATATAATAAGAAAATTAAATGAAATGTAAGTTTCTATGGGAATTTTCGTCTGAGAACTATATGAAATTGAGATAGATTAATCTAAACCACTTACATGACATAAAGATTGCACTTACATGTTAACCTCTTAGGACAATATTTTTCATTTGGGATTACTAAATTCTTATCTTATTTTATAGCTTGGTTGATGCATCATGTTTCATATATTAATAATTTTTTTAATATTTCACTTAGATCCCTGCTCAGTTGAAAAAGAAGTTGGTCATTGTGAGAAAAATGAACAGAAATATTTCTATAACATCCAAACTCAAAGTTGTGAAGAGTTTGTATACAATGGGTGTGGAGGAACTCCTAATAGATTCAGTTCCAATGTAGAATGCCAGGCGGTATGTCTAGAGAAGCACGAGCCCCCTATACCTGTTGATGAAGTTACCCCAGCTGTCAACCAAGGTAAGTCCAACTTTGTTTCATTTGTATATAGATGATTTCTTATAGTTATTTTAAAGACAAGTAGATAAAAAGTGTATATTAGTTTAGCGTGTTATAAGAAAAAAAATATTTAGAGAAGTAAAGTCTAAGACAGAGGATGGATCACAGCCTGCCCAGGCTATCTGTTTATCCAAATCATATATGCCCATGAATTTACTAATGCCAAAAAGATATTTGTTTAAATTGTCAAATTAGGCTAAGGCTTATTAATTCTTCAAAACATAGGTAGCTGTGGTCTTTTACTGCCTCCCTGCCTAAAAAACAATATACTGCTACTATATATACGTAGGTGGTAAATATTTTTATCATTAGTGACTGCATTAAGGTTAGACAGAGATAATAATAATTTTTATATTTTACTTTGTTCATTTTTATCTATAAGTAAATACACATATATATATATATATATCGACATAATTCAATTTTCTATTTTTTATAACCTAAATAATTAAATCATGAAATAAATAGGCCAAGCCAAAACAGTTCATATATATCATCGAAATCAAAAAGAATGTTGTCCGATAAGATATTTTAACATCATTTTTTTTTTTATACAAATGGTACTGTACTGTTTTGTAATTTAAGTAAATATAAAAGCATATGTTTGAGTATATAAGAGTAGAAAAAATGTTGGAAACATGCAAATTCATTTATGTTTTCCTCAAAATTTCAAGAATCATTATGGTCGAATTTAGATTACTGGATGAACAATAATATTAATTAATTCTAGTGCTATTATTGCTATTAGTGCTAGTGGTATTAATAAAGACCATGCAAGAACTAATAGAGGTCACAGGTTCCCTTTGATGATTGAAGATTGAGGAATTAGATATGAACCATTGAATTACTTAAGTTTAAGCTTGCTGTTTATTATTTTATTCTTGTTCTTGTCAATATCAAATAACAATAACCAGAAAGTTATTCGGTTTGTATGTGAGCGATATTCAAATATGCTAAGCTACATTTAATTAAAATTCTAGTTTTAAAGCCATTGAAAATATAAAATGTAAATTGTTTAATGATTAGCTCTAGATAGATATAGTAAAAAATAATAAATTTCAAGAAAATAATTATTATTCACCTGAAATTTAACATTATTTAAAATAATTGACATTGAGCATTTATGTTTCTGCTTATTTTTTTATTTAGTTATTTGCATCCCTACCTAGCTAATATAGCAATGCAGGATTCGGCAGCAGTAGAACTTATCTGAATGCATAGTACCACTGCTATCAATTTTCTCTGCTTCATCATGGTTTTCTAAGATCTTCTATTTTCTTGATTAGTCCCTCAATTATACTTCCTGTAGGTCTGGCGGTCTAACTGGTACAAGGTCTTGTTTTCTTCTTCGGGTTCCGAGGTTTAAGTGGGCTAGCCCTACGAATATGGTCCTCACTTACTAATTGAGAAAACTCATTTTCAATGAGAATATAGATTCCCGTGGCTATCATCAATGTGGCACTTAAGGCCTCAAATTCTATGCAAGTCGTGACCATGTGTTCTACATAATATACTGCCCGGACATATAGGGTCTTCTTTGATGCCAAGACTATGAAGCTTGGCTTGATACCGTCCATGCTTTGTGAGGAATCAGAAAATTCAGTTGCCCGGGAGGACCCACTTTGCCTTTAGCCTCAACTGTACCGTGGAGAAGTATTTCCCTCAATCATGTCCTCCTGATATTATATAACATCGTTAATATAATGTAAAATATGTTACATATTATAAATATTATGTTGAATCATATTTACATTTCAGCTATTTGCAATCTACCAATGGAAGCCGGAACTTGCAATGGTTCTTATAGACGGTGGTATTATGAAGCGAGAAGGAACAGCTGTTATCCATTTTATTATTCAGGGTGTGCCGGTAATCTTAATAACTTCCTTACCCATCAAGAATGCAATGACTTCTGCACACCTATAACAAAGGAACCATCTGGTAAGATTCATATATGAAGTCTTTTATTGATTTTAAAGTAATCAAAAGTGATAAAAAATTTAATGGTTAACATATATACGTATTTTATATGAAAATTAGTTAAAGGATTGATGCTTAAACAACTTAATTATTAAATATTCATTTCTACTTTTACTATGACTTTCTACCATGATGTCATATAATTAAAAAAATCTTATACTGAGTTCTAGGATTGTTTACAGAAATATATTAAATCTTTGAGAATATTTAATATTAGCACATTATTAACATTAAGATTTTTAAAAAAAATTCAGGCAATGAAATAGACGTTGATGAACAACAGAAAAAATGTGCTGAGATAGAAAGGAAATGTGAATTACTTAGTGGTTGCCGCTATGGGCAAGAACAATGGGTCGACTCGGCTGGGTGCTCTGCTTGCCGTTGCCATGAGCCTTGCCTCTCTTCACCACCTGACTGTTCACCAGGCCATTCCTGCAACGTTGAGCTGATACAGAACCCTCAGACTGGTTATACTGAATACAGAGCAGTATGTAGGCCAGGTAGGCATGCTCAAAAACCCATAAATTAATGAGCTTAATTAAATCATCAATTAAAAATATTTAATCTATATCTGTGCCCTGAAGGTAAAGGACCCCAGGTTACCTTTTTTAAAATTAACTAAAAAACAAATTTTAATAGCTCAAATTTATGGAAAATTAGCTCCCCTGAATAAATACAAAAATGTGACATGGTGTTCTGTCTATCCAGGGTGCTGATATTATGATATTTCCGATTCTTATATATTGTGCAATATCTCAACTCACTTTAAACATAAATATATTATATAAGTATGTATTTAAATAAATTTAAGGCGTCCTTGGAGATAGAAGTATTTTAAATATTATAGAAAAAGTTTTAAATAGTGAAATTATCTTTCCAGTTTAATTAGAATTTTATTTTCTAATAAATCAGTTAAAATTACACTCATAATTATTTAAAACTTGTTAAACCTCACTCATCTCGGAAGTGGTGGTGCTCACTAATAAAATAAAATAAAAATAAAAAAGTTATTTAATTAATTAAGAATCCTGTAATTTTCACTTTTTTCCTCATTACTAAAGTAGGTTTTAATAAATGGGATATGGTAACTTATTTTTTAGCTTAAAAATTGTACAACTTCAGTTTATTATTTCCGATAATTAACCTATGTAATCTAATAGAAAAAAAAATAATAATCTTGTTAAAATGAAATTTGAGGGTGAGATTATATATATATCCATCTCTCTCTTTTTGGACCAATCGTTTCGAGATTTGGCATATAAGCTACAAGTCATCCCAGGATAAACTTAATAATGCAATATTGCAAATCCACCAGTTTGTTTTAAACTGGCAACCAATTAGAGATTTGATATTCTCATATCTCATCTTGAAGATAGAAGAAATCCATGAAGTGTCTTAAAATAATTTTACCAAAGTCTTGAATAAAAATAAATACATTTAAATTTCTTGTACAGTGAACCAATTTTGTTGCTGTTTTTCAAATTATATATATGGAATCTTTTGAATGAATATTACATTCCCTAATAATTAAAGTATAAATGATCAAAATCTGATCAGTATTAGCAAAGATATAACTTATTGAGTTTTATACACCTTTTGTTAAATATTCTGCACCAAGATGGCCTTTGTTTAGTTTTTAAAAATTCAAAACATTTACATCTCCATTAACATTACAGAACCTGTTTATTTGGAAAGATAATCTAATTTTCTATAAATATTAAATAAATAAATTTGGTATCTAACCATTGTTAATGAAGGATGTAATAAACAATTTCAGAATTGGGCCAAAAGGCTTAGGAAAGTCACGGGAATGAACTGAACATACCAGTTATTTTTTATAATTGTAATTGTTACTGAAGAACTGAAAAACAAAATTAATTTTTAAAATTAGAAAATATTATTTTTACAATCCATCAAATAACATATGTTATAAATACGTTGTTCTCAATAAATTTTAAGTTATTTGTAAAGAAGTCCTGGAGCCAATACTTATTACCACTATGTATTTATTTATTATTTTTTTCATTATACTAATAAGTATTCCAATATATATTAATTGCCAATAATTAGTTGTTTTCTTATTTATTTAGAATGATTTGTTTTTAATTAGTAAAAATTCAGCCTTTTACTTTTTTATTTTATTCAAATAAAAATTTCATATTAATTTATTGTGTAATTTTAGATATAAAACCAGGAGATTGTCCTGTTTTTGCAACAAGTGAAAATTGTAATCAAGAATGTAGAAAAGATTCAGAATGCCCCGATGATCATAAATGCTGTTACAATGGTTGTGGAACACAATGTTCACCACCTCGCTCTGAAGAACCTGTCACCCGTGAGCCACAGTTCCCTGAGTCTCCAGGTGATTAGATTTTAATGCATTTTGGGAGGGGGGGGGGAGAGACACTTTAGAAATAAATTGATCAGTTAATTTAATTCTTCTCATCTTAACAACAAATGCTTTTATATTGAGAAATCAGACATTTAAAATAAATAGAAATTAGTATGGTTTAGTTTGTACCATTGAATAAATATCTAAATAAATGAAACTTCGTACTTTCGCAGTGAAAGTTCTACTTTCACAATTTCAAAGTTTGAATACTTTCTGAAAATCGGCTATTAGAGTAATAACCTGTGATAAATAAAATATTATTTAACATTTATTCATTTATAATGAAGTAAACGATAACAGCTACAGTTCATTGATTTTGCTTTATCTTGCAAGTTTATTGCTACAGTAATCAACAAAGATCTCAAAAAACTTTTTGAAACCGAGGCTTATTATATTACTTTATTCGTAGTATAATAGTTTTATTTATAATATTAATTTTTTCTACCCTAACTTCAGATTTGAAAATTAGCAACAAAAATATAACTAAAATTATTCTCTTAAAGTAATTATATGAAGAACTTGAATGTGTGACTAATAAAATTTTACTTGCTTATTCGTTCATATTTCAAAGTAGTTTTTAATAATTATTAGTTTGTAATAGATATTTTTATTTATTGTAAATTAACTATAACAAACATTGAAAACAATAATGAATATTTTCTTACTGAAGGGGAAGCCCCTGTGATATCTGATGAGAGCCCAACTGATGAAATCTCTCAGGAAGGCTATTACGCCACTTTCAACTGCATAACAAGAGGACGTCCTACTCCCACTGTCAGTTGGCACAGAGATGGAGTCAAGGTATTTTAAATAATAATTTATATTTTATTTAGATGTAACTATATTTCCGTATTCATAACTGATACAAAATTGGATATTATTTCAAATTCTTTATCTGCATAATGTTATCCTCCCAAACATCATCTACCCTGTTTAAGCAGCTAACATTCTAGCAAAGTCTACATAATGTTAACCGGTGAAACGTATGTTATATCATTGAATGATGACCCGTGCATTCAATCCAAATTCTTTAATTCCACATCTCAAACCTTGAAGAATGTTAGAAAATTAAATGATTACAATTTTATTCTAATGCTGCTAATTATAATTGCAGTTTTTTTCATTAGTTACTATTGTTTCATATGTATATATATTATTATTATTTTTTTTTTAATGTTATTTAAATTACTGAATGTGTGTAATATGTCATTTGAAGATATTATTCATTGTTAGCATTCTAGTCTAGAATAAGAAGTTCTTGAAACTATTTTTTTACTCTTTTTATTGATTGATTAGAGAACTAATTGACAAATTTATGACTACACAATGCGGGATTCTGGTTTATATTCTTAGTATAGTTAGGTAGGGGTACAGTCCTGTTAGTATATATTTTCTTGATTTCTACTTCCACTATGCCTATTATTAATGTTTCAATTTATATAATACATTTTTTTAAAATTGAAAATATTAATTTTTTTAAATAGTTACAAGTGAATGTCACTGGAGGTGGAAGATACAGGCTTCTTGAAAATGGTACATTGCAAGTCATCGGACTAGAGAAATCTGATGCTGGAACTTATACATGTACAGCTTCTAATGGCATCGAGCCTGATGCAACAAGGGACTACAAGTTGACAGTACATGGTATGGCATTTAATATAATCTTCCCCTTGAATAATAGCATGTGTAGTATCTTAGAGCGAAGTTCTAATAAATTAATTAATGATAAAACCATAATTAAAGTTGGTGATGCTATTTTGAACATTATTTAAATTAGAACATATGTTTTGTCCATTTTTTCTATTTATCTGGCTGGTGTTGGTTGCTGGAGTGAATTACTTTTAGACAAGTAATACTCTACTAATGACCCACATTAATAAATTTAAAAATTGATTTGCCCTGAAACTATGTCTTTTTATGCTGTATAAATAAGCAACATCTTTTAAGATACACAAAATTACTTTAAATAAGAAAACCAGTGAATATTTTAATTGTATCCTTAAATGAATAAAACATTAACTGAGTCTTTTTATTATTAGAACTAACATTTATGCAATATAAGATGTTAAAATGTATTTCACATCAAATTTAGTAAGCATATGTATATCTCTGTATCAGTCATATTACAATTCTCTGGATCTTTAATCTTTATTACAATAGAACCTCTTGTCGTGTGGTTATTTTTTTATTATTTTTTTTTTATTTGGGTTTTGCACAACTCAAGGAGTCATATCCCCAACACCCAAAAGCCACTGCTCCCTGTCCATCCAATCTCCCTCACGAAGCCCTCTGGCTGCCATGCTTTCCTCCACGTCCTCTGTCCATTTCTTCTTTGGCCTTCCACGCTTCCTTCTTTCAGGTGGCATATAGTTATAGATTTTCTTTGGCCAGCAGTTCTCATCCATCCGCATTAAGTGGCCATACCACTTTAACCGTTTGGTCCCGATCAGGTGAAGTATGTTCTTTTGACATCCGACCTTGTCTCTAATAGCTGCGTTTGGGATCCGCTCGATTCTGGATATGCCACAGCTTCTTCTCCAGAAATTCATTTCCATGGAAAGCAGCTTATTTTCCATCTTTTTTGTCAGTGTCCAGACTTCTGATCCGTAAGTGGCTACGCTTTCTACAAAGGAATGGTATATCTTCTTTTTAGTTTCCAATCGTATCTCTTTACTCCATAGGGTTGAATTTATCGAACTTATTATTCTTTTCCCATTATTTATTTTATGTTCGATATCAACCTCACTACCACCCTTTGAAGATAGCCAGTATCCGAGGTACTTGAACCGCTGGCTGACATTTAGCGTCCAGTCATCAATTTCAAGGGGCAAATTTGGAGCGTTGAAAACCATATACTCTGTTTTACTTTCACTGATTTTCAGACCCCATCTGAAATACGTGTCTAGCAACTTCCTCATCATATAGCTAACATCATCCGGATCCGATGCGATTATGACTTGATCATCGGCATACTGCAAATTGTAGATGACATCATTCCCGATTTGAACACCCATTCCACAGCACGATCTTTTCCAGTTTTTAAGGACTTGTTCTATGTAAATGTTGAAAATCAGGGGTGAAAGGCAGCAGCCCTGTTTCAATCCTTTGTTAATGAAGAAGCTTCTAGACACTCTATCTCCTATTTTTATAGCCCCCTTTATATTTTTATAGAGCTCTTGAATTGCTCTGATGAGGTATCTCTTAATAGATGTGGCTTCCAAAGCTTTCCACAATTTCGCTAGAGGTACTGAATCATAGGCCTTGTGTAAATCTACAAATATCATATGGAGTTCACGGTCGTGGGCCATCCTCTTTTCTATAAGTTGTGAGAGACTAAAAATGTGATCAGTGCATGATCTTCCAGCTCGAAAACCCGCCTGTTCCTCGCTGATCTCTTCCTTTAAATCATTTTCAATTCTGCTTTTAATTATCCGGCCGTATAATCTACTCAGCGAGCTGGTAACAGTAATACCTCTGTAGTTGGAAACGTCTTTCTTTTGGCCTTTTTTGAAAACTGGAGTGATATAACCCTGTTTCCATTCTTCGGGGATCTCTCCACCATTTAACAGAAGTGTCATACTTTCTGCCAGTGCCATTTTGAGTTCGGTCGGGCCTGCTTTAATTAATTCAATTGGAATAGAACCAGGGCCGGGAGATTTTCTATTTTTCATTCCTTTGAGAACTGAGTCCAGTTCTATGATTGTGACTGGCGGTATATCTTCCTTATTTGATATCATTTCATCGGATTGGTTCCATGCGAATTCGGGTCGTTCCTCATGAAATAATTCTTCAAAGTAATTCACCCATTGCTGCTCTTTGATCAATGGGAAGTTATCTCCACATCTTTTGGGATTTTTCAATTTTTTTAATGTCCTCCAAGCAGCACTAGACTTTTGTCCATCAATGTAAGTGTCCACATACTTGCAGGTTTTCTCCCAATAGATATTTAATGCCTTCCTTCTAATAGCTTTTACTTTTTTACAGGCATTTCTATATTCCCTCAGGTCCTTCTCATTTTTAGAGCTCAACCATTTATTGTATAAATATTTTTTCTCTTGAACAGCCACTTCAGCATCCTCATTCCACCAAGGCTTGTTTTTTCCTCTAACCTCTTTCCTTTCCTCTCCGACAGCTTCTAAAGCTGCGGCATGCAGGCACTTTACTATATTTTCGTCATTTAGCCGATCATTCAGATCTTTCTCATGATTCAATTTCTCCATCAGTCGGCTTTGGAACAGTCCTTTTACTGATTCTTGATTTTTCATACTCTCAATTGAGTATCGAATCGTTTTCGGAGAGTCTGAAATTCCTCTGGTCACAGGAGAGTTTCTAAGAAGATTATGGGGTTTAAAATTCAGAATACTCTTTAAAAGAAAGTGATCCGAACCACATTCCGCCCCTCTCATCACTCTAACATCGTTCACCTTTATCCTAGTAGTGCGCCTGAGGATTATATAATCTATGATTGATTTTAGACCTTTAGTGGGCTGGTGCCAGGAGAATTTGTGAATTTCTTTATGCTTGAAGAATCCATTTAATATTTTCATGTTTAATTGCTCACATAAACTAATTAATCTTGCACCGTTATCGTTAGTTACCTCTTCTCCAAAGCGTCCCACGGTCTCATCGTTGAACTTGCTGCCAACACGTCCGTTGAAGTCGCCCAAACAGATAACAATCTTACGATCAGGTGTTCGCTCTATCAAGTCGCAAATATCATCGAAAAACGTGTCTTTTATGGATTGCTTGGAATCTTCAGTTGGAGCATAGATCCCAAAAATAACAACCTCTTCTCCAAATAATGCCATTTCAAGTTTAATTATTCTTTCATTTACACATTCATAATTTTTAATATACCTGCGCAATCTTTTGTTAATCACCACTGCAACCCCCGCTCTAGCTCTCTCACTTTTTTCCACTCCACTGTAGATATACACGAAATCTCCTGAAAGTTCATTGTAACTTCCTTTGATTTTAGTTTCACTGAGGACTGCCACATCGATATTTTGCTTTTTCAGTTCATTTTCCACTTCATTTTTCTTGGTCCTCAAACCTTGAACATTCCACGTACCAAAAAACATGTTCCGTTTCCGCGCCTTAAGTCGTTGCCGATTAGATCCGTCCGGTTTTCTTTCTGTTTTGGGTTTGAAAGCGAAATATTTTTTTCCGATGAAGGGGTGCTGGCCCTACGATCAACCTTTTTTAAACTGCAAGGACAGTGGTTTGATTTTGGGGTTGCCTTCCCCTAGACAGGTTACCTTCACTATGGCTATGAGTCCTGTCCACCCAGGTCGCAGTTTAACGTCATGCCCGGGACGCGGGGTTATTTTTTCATCTTGTAAATTTATGAAATATCGAATGAAATATAGGTTGAAAATCCTAGGCTTACTATAAGGTGAATTTTTAATAGTATTTATTTAGCTCAACACCAAGTTGACCCTCACTGGCCAGTTTTTTTTTTTTTTTTTTTTCTTTTTAAGGAACTTTCAAAAGTTAATCTGCAGATACTCAAAGTAGAGCTTTTCATTAGTATTAAAAATAAATTATAATATTAGATGTGTAGATGGTTGTGACCTTATGGTAAATCAAGAAGTAGGTGGTTTGGGAGTCGGTAAGTTATTAGAAATTATTTAATACTTTTTCTCACCACCTTCTTTAAAAAATAATAATAATAAATTAAATTTTCAGAAACCTAATACAGAAATGGGTATCACCAACTATTAATGTGGCTATATTGAAGATTTTCAAATCCATTAAATTGACTAATAGTTTTCCTATAATATTACTAATTCAAATGCTTAGGTTTTATTTTTTAAATAACATTTAAAAACAATCTTCTTTAATATAATAGTTATAATATTTATTAACAGTGGAAACAGATTTTGCATCTGGTTCTGTTGGTGAAGGATATTAATTATTTTTAATAACACTTTTGATCTGGTTACAGGCTAAGCTTATTGTTTTATTAATAATTGTATATATTGGAGATACATCTGCTTCTAATTAGCTCAAAAAGATATTTTTGGTAAAAAGTCTAAAATAAGTTTCTATAAGTTTGTTTTATGACAATAAATAATTTAACTAACAATGTGAAATTTCAGTTTTGATTATTGATGTTTTAAATTTTGTAGCATAAATGATGTTCCACAACATTATTTTAATTATTAAGTAATATCCACAACAATTTTATTACTTTTTGCTAATAAATTTGTAAACATCGAACTTCAGGAAAAATTTAATATCTGCTTTTTATCGCAGTATATGGTTTAATTGAAGGCAATTAAATTTTAGGAAAAAGATTTAGGAAAGATGTAATGTCCTCATTGCAATCCAATAATTTACAAGATCTATCAAATCAATTTCTTAGTTATTTTGCATCTCTTTATTTCAAACACAACTGAATTGAAATTTGAATTTTCATAAACTTCTTTTTCCTCAGTTATTTTCTTTTTTTTCTGTTACCTAGGATTTATTGTAATTAATTAATTAATTATTAGTTAAATATAATTTTTATTTATGAAAAACATAAAATAAAATATTTACTATTACTCTAATAAATGAAATTCTTTTTTAAAGTTTTGAAGAAATTTTATTTAATTTACAATTCGATAATGTAGAATTATATAACCTTAATAGTTTAGTTATCTCTTCTTTTTCAATGAAAAATGTGACAACCTTAAATGCAATAAATTTAAATTTATTCCTTTCGTGTTTGAAATTGGACCATAGCCTATATGAACTTTTCTGCTACATTTAACATTTATAATCACTTTTACATTACATTACATACATATAATGGTTTTATTTCATAGATTTATTGGTTAATATACCGTTAAAAGTGAAAAAACATAATTTTATTGATCCTTACTGATATATCTGAGCTCAGATGTATTTCCAAGAATAAAAAAGATATTAAACTGTGATCAGATCTATAACTTTTGCTTTTAATAATTAATGCTTACTAACTGGATGAAGATGGTGTGAGGCGGGATGCAGCTGTAGTCGGTGAAGAGAATACTGATATGGTGGTGAGCCTTGGTAATCCTGCAACCCTTACCTGTTATGCTATTGGGTGGCCAAGACCGTCAGTCAACTGGTGGCATGGTTCTCAGATGCTGCCATTGATCTCTGAAATATTTGAACAGAAACGAGACAACACATTGCTCATTAGGCGTGTTGCATTGTCAAACCTCGGTATCTACACATGCCAAGTCTACAATGGAGAGGGCAAAGCTGCCTCTTGGACTGTTGCTCTGAAAGTAATAGGCCCAGTAACATCTTTGGATCCTAACGACGTCACTTATAATCAGTTTGTACTGCCCGCACCAAGGACCCCTGCAGTAGATGCTAGAGCTCCGTATCGCCCACCTCCACCTCCACCTCCCCCTCAAACACAACCGCCAATACCTACCACACCAGGTAATTTAACTCCTAGCTTTTAGTTTATTAATTTTGGGATGATTTGAATGTGCATGTTAGTAATTAGTTAGAGCATGTATTAACTATATTTTTTTTTTAACCATTTCAACTCATATTGAAACAAAATTGTTTCACCATCTAATTATTTTCAGATATATTTATATATTTCGATTTTTATGGTGTGGTTTTTCACTGGACTATCTTACTAAATTTTACAATTTTTTTATTATGGCCTCAGGAATGCTCAGAAGATAGTGAAAAGGTTAAGAATTTTTTATGGAGACATTTTTACAAAGTTAGGAATTTTGGAGAGGAACAATGTTTTTGTGAGATTTTAATTTGGAGAAACTTTTAAACCAGGGAACAAGGAAACAGGCATGGATCTAACCACAGCAAATGTCATTGTTTATAAATTACAATTTTTAAATTTCTACTTGCACTGTTTTTAAGAAGAGGAGAGCATACTAAAAGATTTTTAGGTGGATGGGCATCCCTGGGTGGACCTGACCTATCATTTATCAAAATATTGGATGGAAGGGAGGATTTATGGAAATTATAATTAGTTTGATACGTAGTGTTTCCAGTGACTTATATTAAAATAAATAACCTGTCATAATCAGTAGCTGTTACAGATATTGTTGACTGTTAATAAATGTACTTTAATTTCTCCCTGATATAAGTAAGATACCAATATCAACCACAAATAACACTTATTAAAAACAAACTGCATTATTTACAAGAAAAGACTGAAAAAATATCATTTCAAAAATATTCACTAGACTAACATTGCTTCAGTAGGGAATAAAAATCTGGTACGCACAACCCACAAATTTCACTTACTGCTGTACTTTGAATAGAAATTATTTTCTGGCAATGTTGGGCTATTATAAAATTTTTTAAGTACACTTTTAACAGAGCTATAGATTACAGCTTACAGATAACAAATCATTAAATTTCAAAAACTCTATTTATTATATCAACAGTAGGCAACAAAATCTAGTTACTACATCTGCTTTTATAAACAACACAAGTCTCCGACCCTTTCAGTTGACAGAATGACTAACTCCAATTTCAACATTTTTAAATAATTTTTTGATTTGATAGTTGGATAAGTCTATACAGATATTGAGTAACTTTATTCCAGAATAGGTGATTGCAGTGTTGAAATATAGAAGTTTGAATAAAGTTATACATTTTGCCACTAGAAACATCATTAAAATTATTAATAAAGAATGTTGAAATTAGAGTTAGTCATTTCATCTACCGAAAGGCTCATATATCCCTAGAGATATTTGAAAGTATATCTGAACATTTAACCTATAAATGATTATGGATTGCAGGACAATTAGTAATTAAACTGTTATTTTCCATTGTAAAGTTTACCAAAATGAAATTACGAGATTTTCATTGCCTGCCATGGATAGATCAAAAGTTGTCACACTAATTGTAAGTGGGTAATGTTGGGATTACACAAAGGAAAAATTCATCAAATTATTCTCTAATTTAATTTTCTAAAATGTTACTTGATGATTTTTTTGGAATAAACGGTCAATAGATAACTAATTATTTAAATATAATATCATATCTGGAATTATTAAACTAAAAAGTATTCAAGGTTATAAACATATCTATGAAATATTTTTATGTTTCACTTCTTCTTTCACACAAGTCCAATGAAATAGTATTTTAAACAATGGCATTGGCTTGATTCAGTGAATTTTAAATACTTTTTTTAAAGCTTAGAAAAACATTTAAAAGTTTAAATTTAGTAAGAAAACTTCATTTAATTTCCTTGAAAACGTGTTATTTAGGTTCAATAATGTTAGTTTTCTGAAATTATTATTATATTTTTTCGTCACTCCCCATTAACTTCTAATTTTATATTTTATTTTTTTTAATTCTCCGCTTTCCAACAAAATATTGTACGTATACCTTCTGACTATTATTTCCAGAGATTTATTTTCAACCTGGATAACCATTTTTCTTGTTTTCAATTATCATATTCTTTCAAACTTCATATTTAGTAATTGGTAAATGGTTGACTGTCGTGAATAATGAAGAGAAGAATAGTTGGGGTGATCAGTCAAATAAGAAGACAAAAATAAATAGTATCATTTAATTTTGCCTTCTTATTTGACTGATCACCCCAACTATTTTTCTCTTCATATTTAGTAATTTTTTATATTTACTGTCAATAAAAAGAGAGTTAATTATTTTAAATAAACCATATTAAAGGTACTTTAGAGGAAGACTCATATGAACATTGGGCATTTAAGCCCTGTAAAGTGACATCAACGGGGATAAGACCTAAATGATATTAAAGACCACTTAATTATACAATGATACACCGACTTTAATCCAAATCATTTGAGTGTTTTTAAGAAAATTGTAAAAATGTGTGGAATCAAAATGATTAAATTCATAAAAAGTTGGAAAAACCAGTTACATTCTGGAATCAATGACCTCATTATGTAATTAATGATATTTTTTTTTACATTCATATATCTATATATGAAATATATACTAAAGGAAAGTGTTGTTATCATGAAAATTGTTTACAGAAATATACGTTTTGAGGTCGCATGAATCCAATGAACCAAGTCTAGCAAAATGGTCTACGTGTATGTAAACATCCTAGTAGTACTGAAATTACTTATTTAACACATGTATATGCCTGGAATGTTACTTCAACTTTCCCCCTAAAATTGACTAACGGAAAGTGCCACTTTACATTATCTGTTTTACACATTTTTACAGTTAATTGGTTTTTAATATCAGGTAGATCTTATCCTCATTGAAATAGTCTGACAGTGCTTAAATGCTTAATTTTTAAATGGCTTCCTCTGAAGTGCCTTTAGTCTGGTTTATTTGGAGAATTAACAATTTTCAAGATCTATTAAATATTAACAATCAATAAGAAATGGCAAAGTATAAACTATGAAAGAATTTTATAATTAAGAAAAGAAAAAAAAATCCATGGTTGAAAACAAATTGCCAGAAATGAGCGTGAAAATATGTATTTATATTATATCAAAGCAAAGTTAAATATTTAAAAAAAATTCATATTTAGAATGTCATAGAAGATAACGGGGAGTGATAAAAAAAATTATTAGTAATAATTTCTGAACTTCAGAGTGCAAGCAGTGAGCTTGGGCTTCTGCCAGTGTTTGCCTATGGACCATGACTCCAGTGAACTTCACCCTCGTATAGATGTGACCATTATTGTGTTAAATATAACATTTCTCTCGTCATCCTATCCACTTCATTATTTCCCCTCCTAGTTTTCCTAGGAGTCCTTGAGCACATTAGAAAAGAAATCCTAGATATTAAAGTAACCACTGTTATTTTATTGGTATGGCTAGGAAATATAATGACTATTTCATTTTTAGTGCATTTCATTATTCAAAAATCTCAATATTAAACTGAACAGTGATAGTTTTTTTTTTTAGAACAAACAATGTATTTATATGCAGCTGAAAAGAACTTAATCAGCGATACGGACTTCTTTCTAGGCTACTTGACAGACGTTCTAAATTATCTGTGACTAATAAATTAACTATTTACAAAGTCCTCATTAAACCACTATGGACATATGGGATCAAACTATGGGGAACAGCAAAGAAATCAAATATAAAAATCATTCAGTCATTCCAGTCAAAAGTCCTTCGGAAAATTGTAGACGCACCCTTTTACGTTTCAAATCTCATGTTACACACTGACCTTAACACTCCTTTCATCACGGCAACTGCCACTGACCGCTTTAATAATTTTCATGACAGACTGACTCTAAATTCCAATCCACTTACTCAAGCTCTATCTACTGCCAAAAATCCATATAATCCGCCCAGAAGACTGCTGAGGCGGTGGCCAAGAGACTTATTGCATTGAGCTACTTGCTGCATTATCTTTTTTGTGTGTGTATTTGTTATTATGTTATAATGTATGTGTTATTTTACTACGTTTTTTTTTTTTTTTTTTTTTGTCTTGTTATTCTTCTCCTTGATATCATATTTGCTGAATACTAAGGTAGATGGCAAATTTATTTTGAGCCACAAATATGTACAACTAATAAATATTTAAATAATTGAGTAAATATATATGCAGTTTTATTACATGCAAAAATTGTAAATACACATTATAAGTTTAAATATGCCAATAATATAGATATGTATTATTTATGTTCATAAAAACGAGGTTCCTATTTTTTTTTCTTCCTTATTTTTGGCTAGAGTAATTTCCAATGTTTTTTCATTATCAAATTTAATATATACAGAATTTATATTTTCAGGGATTTAGCTGTATTCTAATGTTGAAAGAACTGACATAAGTACATTAATAAATTTAAATAATTAATCAAAGAAATTTCAATATTTAACTTCCATTTTATTCTTTGGTATACACTGAATAAAAGTATTATTCCAACAATTCACTTTCAGTTATAATTCGACTTAATTAATGACCTGATTAAGGTTTTAGCTAATTGAGGGTATTCTATTATATAAACGAAAACTAATGAAAATGCAAAAAAAGCTGTAAAATGCTGATACTGCTGGCTGAGGATTATACTGCTAGTTTTCCTCACTGAGTTTATTATTAGGAATTTATGCCAGTGGTTATTGTAATGTTGCTTATAGCTACTTTCATCCTTGTTCTAGGTATCTATTTATTTCTTTGAAAAAGACATCTTCTTTAAAATTAAAATTTACCTCTAATATTAATGGACTAATTCTTGTTCAATTCAGTACTACTAGGATGTTTACATACATGTAGACCATTTTGCTAGACTTGGTTAATTGGATTCATGCGACCTCAAAACGTATATTTCTGTAGACAACTTAAATGATAGCACTTTCCTTTAGTATATATTTCATATATAGATATATGAATGTAAAAAATTCAATAGTTTTAATGTTATTTCTAAATTATTAGATGATTATAAAATTAATTAAAATGTAAATTAAAAGAAAACTAAGATTTTATGGCACACATTTTTTTTTTAATGCTCTGCTTTATTATATGGTCCCATTGCATTTTTTTCTTAATTTTGTTAATTATTTTAATCAATATACAAATCCCTACACGCTTTAAAACAGTTTTCTCTGTTATATTAATTTTTTTTTTTGGGGGGGGGAGGAGGAACTTTATGTTATTGATGTTATAATTATAAAATATAAAATTTTTCACATTTTCCATATTCTTCACACTCTAGTTGAGATAGAAGAACAATATTTCATAATAGATTGGCTGAATATTGAATGTTTCAATTAGTCAGAAATATTTATGGGTAAATGATACTTTCAACATAAAGCCATCTTCCATATTGTTCCTCTTGCACAACTGTTATGTGACAAACATGAAAAAGATAACAAACTTTTTTCCAAGGAATTTAAATCCTTAAACCTATGCAAATTTATTATATCTTGAACTTGTAGCTCGTTTTCTATTTCATCTATAACTAAATTCCTCATTATTAAAGATCATATTTTGTTGCATTCTTCAATTTCATAAATAATTGTTGAAAGGTAACCAAACAGTTCAAAGATAAAGAATATTATAATTGTCATATTTACCTTTATTTATTTTTTCCTTCTTTATATTTCTAAACATCCTATACTTATCATTAACTAACTGCTTTTCAAAATTTTTGTTAAATTTGTTGTTGCAATATAAAGATATTTGTTAAAAATATAACTTGGATTGATTATAATTGCTTGTAATCTAAATTTATCCATTAAATCTATACAATTATTATGATAAACAATCTTATTTAGGTTTTTCATATTTTTTGTGAGATTTTTTAATAATTATATTTAATCTATATATAATTATTTATTTATCAAAACCCCTTTTTAATTTCATAGCCTTTTTATTTTACATTTTTTCTTTACAAACATAAAAAAAATATTTTTTAACGTTTCCCAATATGTATTTTTATTTTTTATATTGGTATGTGGTTTAATTTCTTTCCAATTTTCTTCTAAGATTCTAATTTTATTTTTTATTTGTACATTGGTGAACAAAGATTCCACATCAAAGCTTACGAGCTTTTAATTTCATTTCTCTAATTCTTTCTTTTACCTCAACCGCATTTTTTACATCATATGCGTTATTCTTATTTGAAATGAATAAACTTGGTTTCAAAAACTTAAACAATTTGTAAGTTGGGTTATCAATACCCAAGTATTGGTCTGTAACTAATTCCTGGTTTGTGGAGCTTTATTAGTTAATACAAACGTGGAGATGTTGACATTTTTTCAATCAATCTATTTTTTTATTTAGATTTAAATATTTTATTTTGTGTAATTCATTATCATTAACCTTAAAACTTTAAAAAATATGTTTTTAATGTTTGTAAAAATGTTTTAAATGTAAAATAAAAAAGAGTTTTGATGTATAAATAACCATATATAGATTAAATATTATAATTAAATTATTAATTAGACATTTTTGCTTTTTTATCAGCCTCTATTTATATACATTTTTGCTATGTATATATTCTCTATTGCTCATTATTTGCCTACAGCACTTGTCTGTTAGAATATAAGATAGAGCTTGTTATTGTTTTTAATGTTGATTCTCTTAAAGTAGTTAACTGTTAATCTTACAAAGTTTTTTTTTTTTTATAATGCTGGATAATATTTTTTAGATCTGAAAATTTACATTATTTATATTTTTATTTATTAAAGATTTTAATTTCCTAAAATAAATTTTGCATATTTATAAAAAAAAAAAAAAATACCTTATAAAAATATAACTGTTAAAAATATAAAATATGAAAAATTTGTTTTTTCACATTCTAAAATTTACATGTGTGCATACGATATCTCTATTTTTAGTGAGTGTTACTTTCCATAGCCATAGTTTTTTATATTTTTTTAATTTCTTAAACAGCAGTACAAGACTTTAAATTAAAGTATTAAACTGTATTATTATAAGTTTTTTATATATTTTTTTTAATTTAATTTTCATTAATAAAATATTTGTTTAAACATTTCTTCTTCTACAAATAAAAAACTACATTTCTTGCCATTTGGCCCTATAATTCCAGTCCCTGTGAGAGCAAATATTAGCAATGTAGCGCAAGATGTAAATGCTGGATCGAACTTCAACCTTAAATGTGATGTAACTGGAGATCCAAGGCCTGCGATAAAGTGGTACAAAGACTCCAACCCAATTGAATCAACTGATAGAATTTCAGTTTCAGGTATAACTTCTTACTGTACTTCATATTTTCTTTGAGATAATAATTTTGAATATTGAATCTTTTAGGCTCTTTTTTCTGTAAGTAAATTTAGTTGAATCAACTTTAAGTTAATTAAGGAGGAAATAATAATTTCAAATACACTTATTTTTACATTTCTTTTTTTTACTATTCGCAGTTTGAAGAAGTTTGCTTTTTGACTGAATCCATTCACTTCTCAGTTCAGCCTGAACTTAATTTTGACCACAGTTATTGATTATGCTATTCATGACAAGTTTAAATTTGATAGATATCACCATTTCGTTATCTTTTTTTTTTCTCTTTCATGGAATGTTACATTTTTAATGGCCAACAGTTCTATACTATTAATAAAATATATATTTTAATAAATAAACTTTGAAGAAAATTAAAAACTTATATAATTATTTACAGCCATATGAAGAAAATTTATGTTTAATTTTTACTAAATTCATTTTCTAGAAAACAATGCAGTATTGCTTATCTGACCTCAACAGATTTTAAGAAATGAGATATGTACAGTAAATTGGGAAATTAGTGGATTTTCTTTTGTTACATGTTCGTGCCTAAATTTAGTCACACAAATATTCATTTCTTATTTTAAAATTATAAAATGATACTTAGATATTTTTTGGTGAATGTTAGACTTCAGTAAATGCTATAATAATTGTGACATTTTGAGATCTTGCCACCATAATAATATAATTATTTTTTAAAATACATCAAAATATATTTAATTAATGTGTTGAACAATTTTATAAATAATTTATCATAGTATAAATATTGAATTATCCAATATTATAAATTATCTTTATTTCGCCATTCTTTGTACAAACTTATATGATTCTGTCTAATAATCCTTGATACAATTTTTACATCCATATATAATGACTCCATATAATTCATATATGATTATAATAATAATAATAATATATACTCCTTATCTCCATCCTGCTTCAATTAATCCAGACTTTTTGTTTGTTTACTTTTATTGTTATGACTTCTTACCTCCCATATATTTAGCTGTATTAAATACTTTATAACTATGTAATTGTATTCATTATAACTGAATACCAACATTTAAGAATTTCATAAATGAAAGGAAGCAAAATTTTACAAAATAGTAAAAAATAGAATGAACCCCTTATCAATCAGCTTATACCTTTTAGACCTCTAACAACAATGGCAAAAGTTGTTTAAAAGTAAAATCTTTAGTTTATGTTCAACAAAAAAAATTAAATAAATGTGAGTCTCATTGCCTAATAAGTAATAAGTAGAAATAATGGTAATTGACTGAAATAATTAAATAACTTTAACAATATAAACTTCCTTAAAATGCAAATATGCGGAAATAAGAGAATTTTTAGAAGTTAAAGCATGTCAATGTCATTTAACTTAACTTAATGAACACCGGGATATGTGTCCAATATTTTTCGATGTAGTAGTATCACCGAAAAAAATTTGGTTGAAATTGGTGATCCACTCACTGTAGCCTACCCTTGTAAATGTTCTGTGTTCACTTCATTTTGAGAGTACATTGTTACAATGACAAGAAAAAGGTCCTCTTAAAGGTTATATATTTTGTAACAAAAAATACTTCTTCATGGTAGTTTAACTTAAACTTCTGCAGTTATTAATTTTTTTTTTACAAATATTTTAATTTCTTTTTTAGTTAATTTAGTAATTCTGAAGATGTTTTATATTTTTCAGGTGACACATTATACTTAAATAAGGTTCAGAAAGAAGATTCAGGGGAATATAAATGTATCGCTGACAATGGGTATACTGCTGCTGAAACTTCCGTTCTTATAAATGTTAAAGGTAATTACGGAATTGCCATTATTTTATAAAATTAATTTGTTATAGCCTATAAATGTCTGTTTTTAATGTACATTAAATAATTTTTTTGGTAAGAATGATTTATTTATTAATAATTATTAATTCTAAAAATACATTTTACAATATAAAATCATATTCTGCCGTTGATGCAGTTTTTTAGATTCAATTTATTTTCAGATAAATGTTTGATTTATTCATATGCCAACATGCCCATGATAATTTAAGTTATAAAAATCGGTAATCAATGACAAAAAAAAAAATTAAGGTATTGAGTCACTGTAATATTGATGGTCTATGACCATATCAATATGGTTGGTAATGATTTGGGGAAAGATCAACTGAAAATAAAATGTTTCAGATATAATTTCAATTGTTAGTCCTTGGGATGTTTGCATGATCAATCTTTAAATATGACAGTGTGATACTCAATCTAATGCAGAAGGTAACCTTTACCTAGTAGTATGTTAATTGATCTTCTTAGTCTGTCGGTGAGCAGTAAAGAAAATTCATGTTTGTGTTAATTGGTAAATTTGAGAAGATAAAAATGCATAATATAATATATTTCCTACAGCATTTTACAATCTTTTTTAGCTATCGGAGGCCTAAAGAAATAATACTCCTTTAGTCAATATTGTACTCAAGACCATTCATGTTTTTTTATGTTACATATTCTATTTTCTGTATTTTAAAGTTCACATATACTTTTTTTTTTAGAAATGATTCATCCAAACTGTACTGACTCTCCATTCCTGGCAAATTGTAAACTCATCATTGAGGCCAAGTACTGTAATCATAAATTTTATGCCAAGTTCTGCTGTAAGTCATGCACTGAAGCGGGGCTGCTACCTGTTAACAGATTCGATGGCCCTTGGACAAGAACAAAGAGATTTATACCTGAACGCTTAACTCACTTTAGGTTATTACCTTCTGTATAAAAGTATTTTTCAACTTTTCAGATACTGATAATACATTGACCATAGATTTTATATATTTTTTTAACTTTGTCAGCAACATGAAATTTCAATTTAATTGTTGTATTATAAATATCAATGGTGAGACCATATATATCTGTTGTTTCTGGTGTAACCAGAGAACCATCTATGAAATTTTATTCGTTGTATAACTATATACAATGTTAAAGAATCGTGTATCGTATATAGGACAGTATTCAGGAAGGCCTGAAGCCATTTTTAGTTGTTATATAACATGTTAAATGTTACCCTTATTGTTCCTTTAAAAATTTGTTTACCCCAGATGATCAGTGGGTTCACTGCCACTATTTTAACTGGCAAATGCCGATACATATAATTATGTATTTGTTTTATACATAGAGAAATAAGTGTAATTTATTATTTAAGAAAGAATATATGTGAATAAGTGATAGTACAATGTATGTAATTTTTTGATATTTATATTTAAAATTATTATTAGTATTAAGTCAAAAAATGTCAATACGACACTTATATTTCACATAGATCAATGTATTATTGGAAGTGTACAAATAAGTTATATGCTACTTCTAAGTCATTTGTTAATACAGAATTTAATGAAATGAATAGACCATGGGCTAGATTTTTAATTTTAAGTGAAATAGTATAATTCCTTTTTTTATATATATTAAAATCATTGTGCCTTATTGTATACTGTGATTTACTTTAGATTTTCAGAATAATTAGCAGATGATTCATTTTGAATAATTATGTAAAATAAAAACATATTTTTAGTTTTAATCATCAAAACACTTCTGTTGACTCACTAATTTTGATGAAAGAAAACCAGTAAGTTTGTCATTTAATGTACATATATAAATATATTAAAATATAATTTGTGTCATTTATTTCTACCAAATTTTATATATCTATTTAAAACAATTATAAACATTACAATATTTTTTTATAAAGGGATATATTTAGCAATGACTGCAATAAATCTTTTTGAGTTTAAAGTTATTTTCTTAAAAATTTCATTTCCATTAATAAAAATCAGGAATATTTACACTGAAGATTGCAATATGTATAAACTGGAGGTAAAAAAATACGGCTCACCTTGAATTTTACATAAAAACCACATTTTAAAGGAATATTTTTGAGCCTGAAGTAATAATAGATAGGTCAAACGGGATCGCTATGCATTAAACCTCTGGAGAAAATCTCATGAATCTCTCTAGGATTAACGATAAAAGTATTAAAATAAAACGTGGACCTTATATCAGTTTGTCTCAAGTCGCTTGTTCAATCGGATTGCTTTTGTTTTTTTTCTCTTGAAAAACAATCTTTCATTTATATCAAACATTTCTAAGTAAGAGTGTTTTATTTTTGTTTATAAGAGTGTTCATTTGCTTTATTTTACACTGAGGTTTTTTAAATGAATTTTCGTTGTTTTTCTCTTTATTTATGGTGTTAGCAGAATATTTCACACTATATTGTGGTAAAAAAATTGATATTTTTTTCTGTTGGGAAAGAAATAAGGTTTCTCCGAAGGATCGCAGGGAAAACGAGACAGGAATGCATTAGCAACGAGAGAATCAGGGAGGAATTGGGGGTTCCCCCATGAAGGATGTTCTAAAGATTCGGCAGCTTAAGTGGTTTGGGCATGTCATCAGGATGGAAGAACACAGAGATCCATTAAAGTCTATGGACTACGTCCCCGATGGCAGAAGACCCCACGGCAGACCGAGAATGTCGTACCTCGAATACATAGACCGCCTGTGCAAAGACAGAAATAAGAATATACGCCAAGTCAGAAATCTTGCAAGAATCAGGGAAAATTGGCAATCCTGGTTAGACGCTCCCCTACGCTGAAAGGCACTACAGGGTGATGCAAAAGAAGAAGAAGGGAAAGAAATAACGACAAAATTTAAGGTCTGCCTTTTTTTTATGGCCATCCCAGATCATGGAAAAAAAGAAAGAAATCAAAGCTTTTCAATAATTTATTGAAGTCATTTTTGCTGAAAATATGGTTACTTTTAGGTGACAGGATATCTCACTTAATTTTTTTACACATGAGGTGGTTAATCTCTAAATTTTCCCCGATAAACCTTAGATTAATTAATATGTACTTAAAGCTTAGTAAACAAGGAAGTTTTTCTAAAAGTGTGGAATCTATAATATAGTTGAATGAAGATTAAAAAAAATAGTGCATAATCTATGGGCTTTTTAAAAATAGAACTTAGCTTAGTTTAGCCACTCAAAAATCCTCTTTAAAAGGTTTTAACTATGACTAACTCTATTTTCGTTTGAAGTGAATTTGGTCTAGTTTACAGCAACAAAATTGTTAATTATTGAAATAAATATTTCTTTAGTTATCACTTCCTATTTAACAAAAACACAACATTTAAAAATGCATAACTTGAATTTCTTACTTTTTTATCCTATTGTCATTGTTTACATAAAACGGTTTTTATAGATTTTGAGGTCTACTATCACTCCTATAACAATTTCTCTCTGCCTACGAGACACTGTGTATATCCTGTAAACTAGTGGTTTATTTATCTTTGATAGATTATTTATCGGTGATCAAGATGAGTTAGGTCCATTACAGAGCTGTTTGCTTGATTGAAGTTAATTGCTATACACTTTATTAATAATTAACAGCTTACATTAATATTTTCAATTGATCCTCTGAAATTAAAGAATTTTTGACTTAGCTTTTTATTCACCGGTTACAGATTTCTTCTTTATGCCCTCATCGAAAAAAAAAAAATGATAAAAAACAATCAATTTCCTTGACACCATAGTGTATCTTTTTTCTTCCTCAGTTTATGTTTTGCCTGATAACTGATGAAGAACAACCGCTAACAATAAATAAGTCTTAAAAATTCACAGGTTTTTTTGTGGTTTGGAAACCTCTGATTCATTAAATATTACTGAGAAGTCAACTGAATAAAATATGTGGCAGTCTATTGAGGTTCTAAAAAATGACCAACATCATTCTGACAATAACGATGCTAATTAAAGTTTACTGACTGGATTTATACCAGTTAAGGTTTTGATATGGGGTAATGGAATGAATGTCATTTTTGCACATGAATGTCATGTGCAAAAATTTAATTTGGAAACTTTTTGAGGTTGATGGCTTTCAATTCTTAACACAAATTATCTTTGGCTACATAAAATGTGTGTATTTTAATATAAAATTGGTCATCCAAAAAACAAATATTTAGTGTTCATGGTCTTCACATCATATGAAGGGTGGAAGATTATGTCTTGAATAAACAAAGGTGGGCTAATGAATAAAAGAAAAGAAAAAATTAAAATGCCTTTTTACCTCTTCAGTAATATTTGTAAGTATTTTTCAGCAAAGAAAAATGAAAGATTTAATTTATGTAGTATCTTGGGAAACCCTTGAAATAAAGCTATTTGACAAGCCACACTTTTGTAACAGTTTGTTCAAAAGTAATATTAATTGAAAAAAATATTTTTTCTCAATTAACTATTTTAGAAGTGTACACCTATATATCCCTATCTCATGACTCCTTTCTTAAAAAAATAAAAATGCAATTATTTCAGACTTACAATAAATACTTAGAGTTTGTAATTTGTAAACACCTCTATAACAATTTTTAAATATTTGGCATTGAAATCCATTGTATTTTAAAATAATAATACTGTTCGCTTAGTTCAAACAATAACTAATTTGAACTAAACAAAATATGACGTTTCATTGATCTCTATTACTATATATTCGCTTCTGACTTTCTTTTAATCACCAGCATTGTTTCTTGCTGCTAAAATTATTTTTAAGTCTTTTTCTTTTATCTACATCTCCATTGTGGTAATTCGTTCTCTTGAAATGGACAAAATTTACTTAATATAAATATTAACAAACAATACAACAATCATTTAAGAACAATAAATAATACTTGCACTCTTACTTAAATCATTAATGGAATATGAGGGTGTTTAGATCAATAAAACAAATAAGCTGAACGCTATGATATAATTTATTTGTTTATTATTTTCAATATTGAAAATAAGTGCTTCATAGCAATTTTCTTTACATAAATATTAGCAAACAATACAACGATCATTTAAGAATAATAAGTAATACTTCCACTTTTAACAAAATCTTTTATGGAATGTGAGGCTGTTCAGGTCAATAAAACAAATAAGCTAAATGCTATGATATAATTTATTTTTAACACCTCTGAAAATAACTGTTTCATAACAACTTTTCTTTTTCTGCATCATGACATTCAAAATTAAATCTAGTTACTGATCACATCTAAGAAAATAAGAACGCTCATTTCATTATTAAGTTTTCTTTACTTGCAGGATTTTGTTCACATTAACCCTCCATTAACAAGCATTGTTCCTTAATTGCTTTCCATTCTACCTCACTAATATGTTTTATTTTTTTCCAATCATATTATAAGAATTAATAAGTTTTATAAATTATATTAAAATAGCCATCGCATTTGTACTTTCCTCCAGAATGATTACTCTTTTGCAATTTCAGTTAGTATTTTTTTAAAAATTAGATCCATCAATTACAATATGTCTTATGCTAAATAGAGAACAAAAAACCTTGCAAAGTCTTTGATGAAAGGCAGGAGTAACAGATATACTGAGCATTACAAATATTTCATTAATTTGAATATTAACACACTATTCTTCTTAAACACAGACACGTAAGGTAATTAAGTTTGTAACCAATTATTTTTATTGGTATAAAATAAAGTAGATGAAGTTAGTTAATTGGAATACCAACGGATGAGGTGTGTAGAGATAAGATTATAAAACATTGCAAAACACACCAAAGACTATAAATTAATAATAGTAGGAATCGTAGATGGTAATGATTTATGTTAAATTTGTTTAAGATAAACTGTGGCTAATGAAAACAGCCTAGATCAAAGTTCAGGAAACAAATAACTGATAATTGCATGTAATATTCATCTTGACTGGTCCCTCAAAAATATACCCCTTGGTGTAAAATTTTTTTAAAGAATTGATGTCTAAAATATTTTGATTTACAAGAACTATTTCCTGTTCTACTAAGTTATAATTTAGACTTGAAGAATTATTTATAACTTGGGACACTCTTGATCACAAGGAAGAAAAATTAGGGATTGTTTAGATTTCGTCTATTCATTCACAGCTTAAATTTAGAAACTTAATGATTTCATGGACTAAACATGCTTTTTGTAATATAAAACATTTCGTTAGGCAAAATAGCTTCATTACTAATTTAATATACAATGATTATTATCACAGGGCTATAGCAATTATTTGTATACAAATTTCTATTTACAATTTATTTGTAAATTTTATACATATGTACAAGGAAGAAATATATGACAATAGTGAATCCTTCAAATGGTTCCAATACACGATGAAAAATTGAGTCCTATGATAAAAATAAATACATTTTGTTTAAGCAAAACCAGTTGAATAAATATCAACAATTACCTATTTACAATCACATTCCAAATTTCTCAATTATGGAATAATAATTATATTGAGCAGTTATTTATTAATAAAATATTCATTTTAAAATGTAATTTTATCATTAAATCCAATTTCAGTCACAATTGTAATTACTGTTGTGTTGTAGATATAAATAAAAAAAAGTCCAAAGTTCAATATTTCCAATAACTATATATCATACTTATTTGGAACGTCACTTCCTTTGTTTCTTTGTTAGCTATGTTTTCTTGCAAGAATAATACATTTCAAGAGGCTTATTGATTTTCCAATATTTCTCATTTACATAGCGTAATGTTTGAGAGCCATTGAGGAGTACAAATTGTCCTTGATTAGGTGATACATAGATACAGAAATTTAAGGACCTCTCAGGTAGTTCAGATCCCAAATCAAGAGCGAGCCTAGTAGCTAAATATTTACTCAAGTGATCAACAGTCGCATTAGCAGTAGTTTTGATATAGCGGATAGCATTATCCTTCAGAGCCTTCATGAGGCTATTTTCACTAGTCATTTCAGTAGGATGGGGCATAAAAACAAGTTCAATTTCATCAAGAGTCATCATATCAGATGGACCTTCTCCTTCAGTAGCAGATTCATGTCCAGCTGATGCATCCATACTAGAATCACCAGAATCATTTTCAGATGACGTCACCTCGTGTTTTGGTCTCTTAGGCATTTTGGGTCCGTTGGAATCTTCATTCGACATGGCTGATGTTTGAAGGTTGAAAGATGTTTGTGAATCAGATTTAGTTGTTCCTGCACTAGAGGCATTAGGTTGACTAGTAGTAGGTGGTTTAGAATCATTACTGTTTACATCTTGAGAATTACCCTGTGATTGTTCGGCATCGTTAGTAGATTTCTTTGACCTCTGTAATCTGTTTTGTGTTTGAACTTTAATACCTTCATTAATAGAATACATCAAAGCAGCTCTACTGTGGTTTTTATTCAGTGTCTCTAGAACCCTAACTTGATGAGCTTCATATTCATCGCGACTAGGATATATTTTAGATATAAGCAGGTCAAAGTTCGGATCAGGACGTAATGACCTTTTAGAGACAAGCTTTTTTCTACAGGTAGGACACTCTTTGTTACCTGACCTCAATGCAGTAATAATACAATCCGAGCAGAACCTATGTAAACATTCCTTGGTAGTCATAGTTTTCTTAAGCATATCCAGACATATTGGGCACATAAGCTCACTGTGCAAACTTCGTGGACAAACAGCAATTTCAGTATTGTCTGTAATAGCTTCTTGTTGGGTCCTATGGAGCTCATATAAGGAAAGCTCCCACGTTTTATTCAAACCTAATTGTTCTGCCGAAGCCATTTTACCGATTTTTAAAACAAAACTAAATTAAATACACTATCCAATCACTTTAGCAAGGACATAACAAACGCACTCAACAACGTAAACAAACAGGTCAGTCTAGAACCTCTCAGTGTTGGATACATATGACCCTACAGGCTGCCAAACTACAAAACATATCAAAACATTTTTTTATATACACAGATATTATGACGCAGGTTTTTCCAAATTAGGTTTTTATAATTAAGAAACATATAGTTGATAAAAGTTGTAGCAACTTGTCTTTAAATAAAAAAATAATGTAATGGGCGTAATTTTTTTTTTTTTTTTTTTTGGAGAGAGAGAACGAAAAGTGATATTTTGGAATTTCCCTGTGGATGATTTGAGCTTGAAAATTGAAATGGTAAAATCATGAGTAGTTGATTTTATTATCCTTGTAATAAACACACTAGCGGATCCAGCCGGGGGGGGGGGCTTCAGCCCGAAAGCTCCCCCCCCCCGTAGATCCGCCTGTGCATGTAGATACACCTTTGCCTCTACTACCCTTAATGATTAATACAAATAATATAATTAATAGATTATTAGCATTGTTAAAGATTGGGGCAGTATAGGCCTTCAGTTGGAGTCTTGGGTAAAGGGAAAAAAAAAAGTGTTAAAGAACAACTAACTGTATGAAACCTTTTATGAGGCAATGTTTCAGAGATTGAAAAAGTTTTTGTTCAAAGTTCGTTACATGTTTACTCATTTCATATTATATGCCTTTTTGTATGTTTGTTAAGATTTTTAGGTTGAAGCTCAAGCCTCTTCCGATATATCAATAATTTTGTTGAGTCTATCATAATGAGATCGAACAAGATAGCTTCTGATGCGCTGACAATTTTTACTTTGGGCAAGATAATAACCAATAGCAACGTTGTTTTATTGTCAATTTAGACTTGAGGATTGAAACTTTTCTGGACTTGCCAATGCAATTAAAGTTCCTAACCACATTTTTTAGTATTTTATAATCTATACTTTGTAAATATCTATGGTCCAATGTTTAATTAATATTTTAAGATCTATAAATTAATTTTTATGATCTATACCTAAAGAAAATAAAGAACTTCAAGTATGGACCCTAGTTGTTGCTGGTACTTTTGCTATAAAAAATCGCTCCATCTTTCTAATACACCAGACCCTTTGTCGGATTACCGAACCAAACAAAATATATATCCAAAGGAATGCTTAATAACCTACTGATAATTTCTGTCTGCTAATGAAAGGCTTGAGTGAGAAGCTTATTATAGTAATAAGTGCTTGAATGCCTGAAACTAAGAGAACCGCTAAGTCTGGGTTACAAAAAGATGAGGGTAGAAATAAAAATTTTTATTTTTCAGAAAATGTATTCATGGCGAGGTGCCATTAGCGCGTTGGGTAATGGCACAGGTGTTTCTCTTGAAAAATCAGATTGGATATACAATATTGTACAATATTGTGTATTATATAGTTTCTATCTTTCATTAGTCCTGACGAAAATCTGTATTGTGGGTCGAAACGTTGGAGAATTAAAGATGTAACCCTATGATGTTAGATTTATCTACTTTTAGCTATTGTTTCGTTAATTACTTATTAAAATAAATTAAATATAATCAATTAATGATTAAAATAAATTAAATATTATTAATTAATGATTAAAACCAATCTCATTTGCGCTAACATTTTAGTAAATTTTATGCTTTACTAAAAAATAAAATATTTGTTTTTCATATCTCTATTTCCAATTAAAGAAAATTAATTGAAAAATCGTTTTAAAACATCGATTCTTATAACATTATTTACATCATAGAAATATCGAATGCCAGTCTTGAAGTTCTAGTAATCCGAAAGCATAGAAGATTAATTCTTATCTGTTAATGAAATGATTTAATAAAAAATGTTATCTCCGTCTTTAAGTATAACCACATACCTGGAAATATAATCTTTATAATGTTATAACCTGTTGGTCTTACTTTATTAGTTTCCTTCTTGCCAGGACAAAGTTGTTGATAAGCTTGTAATGCCCTTATCACTGAACAGGTTTATTGTGTTATTTCTTTTATATTAATTGTATGAAGCTATTAATATTATATATAAATACTTTTTAGGAAATTAGTATCCATTGTAGTTAAATTTAATGTTTTACTTCAGAGTGTCATTTAATATATATATTTTTTTACTATTGTCAGTTCTATTAAAGCAATATTGAGGACAAAATTTAGTATTGAATATACATGTGCGAGAACTTTATCTGGCAATGAGGTCCATAATCTCAAGAGAATACTTAATCCTCCTACTAATGATAATCTAAAAGAGAGAAATTATTTAAAATATGCTGCTGGGCTGTCAGGACTTTGCTTAGGGTTATTTTTGTACAAACACAAAGGTAAATTTAATCATTTTCAGTATTTATTATTAAACCTGCACTGATATTTTTTTTTTTTTTTTTTATAAATTCATCATTTGCATGTATTCAGTATCTCTGAAAATTTAAGGAAAATAATTTAATTTGTACCAAACAGGCTTCAATTTATTGATTTAAAAAATCATTCTTCTGATTTAGACAGTCATCAGTAATATAGATCTTGTAATCCCTTCTGATTAGACTACTATAACTATATTTTATTTATCATTTGATAAGTTTATAAAATCTAAAATTAGACACCTCTTTGTTTGCTCATAAATTTTCAATGCTCCAGTCTATTTACAAGAAACTCTCCTTTTTATTTTTGTATTTCCAAATTATCTCATTCTTTATATTGTCATTATATATATACACACATTCTTGTAAACTTGATTATTTACCTGTCACTTGTTTTCTTATTGTTATATTTAAATCTATAACTTGTCATAATTTCCTTGAGCTATTCATGTTTCATATTCCAATCCATTTTTATCATCTGTTGGTAAAATGGATTGGAATAAGCAACAATAATTTACTAAAATTATAAGATGTGAGGTTGTCTATTAATAGGAAAGGATAACTCCATTTTCAAAAAGTTAATTATATGATTAAGAACACATATTTACCAAATGTTTATGTGCACTGGAAGACACTATGCTACAAAGAATGCTGACTGATGTCAGAAATTTATTCTGTCAACGACAAACATTTTTAGGTTTTTTGTTTTCAAAATAGTAGAATTTTAAGGCATACATTTTTGTTAGTTGATGTGTAATGTTATAGATTGGTTAAAAGCTTGATAAGAAAATACGAGTAAAAATTAAATTAAAAAAAAAAAATCCAGAAATAAAGTTTCCTGGAAGAGGATAATCTGTCCAAAACGTTTACAATTGATGAATAAATAAACAGATGTTTAGTTTATGTTTTTTAAATTTTAGAAACTTATCATATTACAAACATTTGAAAAACTTTAAAGTTAGTAATATTTAGTTTTTAATTGCTTACTACATGACAAAACATTTCAAGGTCCCATCATTGATCATCAGTCTCATTGTATCCCATCTTCAAGCTAAAATTACATTTTTAATTGCTGTTCTCATTTCTTCAATCACTTTTATATTTTGTTTGAGTCCTAAATTTTTATACCACATTAAGGAACATTTTGTTCCCTCTTATCCTGAAGCAGATATTAAGGCAAATAGATAAGATGGATCTAATTGTTCCAAAAAATGTGATATATTGCACAATTATTTGCTTGCGAATTTCAAAGTAAAAAAATTCTTGTTTTTTTTCGTAATATTTCTGTACAACGTATTATGTATTTGAAATGAATTAGATATTCAAATCATTCTGATTAAAGTGTTGTACTATAAAAAAAAATAATATATACTATTAAAACACTTCCCATTACAAGCAACAAAATTTGATCTTAACTAACACTTTACTTTCCTGTAGAACTTTGAAAATGTTACTGGAATTGTATGAGAATTCATACTTGTTTCTAGAAATATTAGTCAATATCTCTACAAAAAAAAGTCATTATAAATCTTTTGACAAATTTTTGTAGTGAATATTTGATCATAATTTGATTTAGACTTGAGAGGAATATATTAAGCACAAGTTTGATTAGCAGAATTTCCTTCAATCTCATTAACATCTTAACGTCTTTAGTTATAAGAAGGTTCTGTGTTCATTAACTGACAAAAGATTAATTTATTTTCACAAAAAAATAAATATTTTGATTCAAAATTATCTTTAAACGCATATAGTTATACAACTATAAAAATCTGGTGCGCACAACACACAACTTTCACTTAACGCACAACATTGAATAGAAATTATTTTCTGGCCATGTTGGGCTGTTATAAAATTTTTGAATTGCACTTTTAACTCAGATAATGTTAAAATATTACAGCTAACAAATCATAAATACTATCAAAATAACATAAGTCCTTTCTGTTATATCACCGCTTGATTATGGATTCCACAATGCGTTGATTATGGATTGTACTATCCGTTGATTATGGGTAGTACGGTCCGTTGATTATGGATTGTACAACCATTAGTTATTAAACTGTTATTTTCCATTGCAAATTTTACTAAAACGGAATTAAGAGATTTGCATTGTCTGTCATAGACAGGTCAAAAGTTGTCACACTGATTGTAATTGGATTCTGTTGGAATATCGCAAAGGAAAAATTTATTAATTTTTTAACGTGAAATAAATTAATTTCACTAATTTAATTTTCTTAAAGATTACATAATGATTTTTCGGACTAAACGGCCAAAAGATACCTAATTATTTAAATATAATATCAGATCTAGAGTTATTAAACTACTGTAAATATATTTAAGGTTATAAACGTATCCATGAAATATTTTTATATTTCACTTCTTCTTTCACACAAGTACAATGAAATAGTATCTTAATAAATTTTTCCAAAAGCCATATTTAGCATTTTCCCATCACTCCCAACAATTATTAATAGTTATTATTTATGATAAACCAAATTAAAGGTACTTTAGAGGAAGACATGATAATTTTGGGATTTCACAAAGGGAAAATTAATCAAATTATTCACTAATTTAATTTTCTAACAACTTACATGACAATTTTTCGGCGTAAACGTTGATGCCTAATTATTTAAATGTAATATCAGATCTATAATCACTAAACTACAGTAAATATATTTAAGGTTATAAATATATGCTTTATGCATCTATGAAATGATTTTGTATTTTACTTCTTTCACACAAGTATAATGAAATAGTTTTTTAAACAATGCCATTGCCTTGATTAGGTAGATTTTAAATACTTTTTATAAACTTTAAAATATTTTTTAAAGTTTACATTTAGTTAGTAAATTTCATTTCATTTCCTTGGAAACATGTGATGTACGTTAAATATTAGCAGTTTTCAAAAATTATAATTTATAATTTTCATGCCACTCTCCGTTATCTACTACAACTTTCTATATTAGATATTGTTTTTTCTAAAATTCTCCGCTTTCCAATGATATATTATACGTATACATTCTGACTGTTATTTCTGGAGAATCATTTTCGACCTGGATAAGCATTTTTATTTGTTTGTCCTTTATTCAATTATCAAATTCTTTCAAAAGTTATATTTATCATTTTTTCATAACTTAATAATGAGAGATAGTTAATTATTTGAAATGAACTATATTAAAGGTAATGATGTAATGATGTAGAGATGGTTGACCATGATATAATATGAGAAGGAGTTGATCGAGGGATGCGTTCAAATAAATAGTAAATTTGAAAAAATTGTATTTTTTATATTAAAGTATTTTATAAAATAGTATTTTCTTATATTAAAGGTACTTTAGAGGAAGACGTATATGAACATTGGGCATTTAAGCTCTGTAAAATGACATCAACGAGGATAAGAGCTAAATGGTATTAAAACCTCTTAATTATACGATGATACACCGAGTTTAATCAAAATTGTTAGAGCCGTTTTTGAGAAAATTGTAAAAATGTGTATCACCGTTGTTTTGAAGTGACACTTCCGGTTAGCTGATTTTAAGGAAAAAGTTGCTAGGACATCTAAAGGATATATCTATCTTAAATACGTAATATAGGAAAGTGAAAGTAAAAATATACTCCTGTTGAAAATATTTAGTTTATGTCACTATTAGATATTAGAATAGAGCTTTTAATATTGTATTTATGAAATTTGTAAATAATAAAAATATTTATTATTTTTATATGCGATGGATTATAGGGTGTGGTAAATTACTTGTTTACTTACATCTAGGTCTTAGCTTAGCCACGTAGTCAACTTTTTCTATTTTCTTAATTGATTTTAGTGTACATATTTTATTCATTCAGGAAATCAATTGTTATTTATTTTGATTTTATTTTTGTTTTTCGAAATATTGGGGGAGGAGGGCACAATCGCCCCCTCCCCTCTCCGAATTCTGCGCCTATGCTACTGTTATGTAAATATCTATTAGTCATCTAGAGATTTACAAACTTTTTAGCCTAAGATCTGGTTTATACTACTTTTATTAATCAGAGAATGAAAAAACAATCTTATAAAGTGATTCAAATACCTAACTACCATCCCTACATATAGTTTTATTATTACAGTAGAAGAGTTTTAATGTACCTTTTTAAACAAGATATGAACATTATTATATTATTTTAAATAACTAAGATAATAGTTGATGAATAATTTTTATCACATCTATTAACATTTATATAATATATATAATTATCTATATTACAATTATTTTTGTTGGATATTGTTGGTAGTTAGTAAAGATAAAAAAGTCTCTAAATTCATTAATCATGACTAAGATAAAACTAATCAGTAAGTTTTTGTATTTGATGACCCATCATGACTGACATAAAAAATAATCTATGAGGTTTTCTCACTATGAATGATTTGCAATAAACAATAATTGTAAATCATCACCAACAGTCAAGCACCCATCACTTCTTATTAGTGTTAATTGTTCATTTCTATATTTATAGTTTATAACAATATAACTTGTATTTTTGCTAAAAGCTTAATTAATTAATTGATTGATTGATTAATTTATTATATAAATTTAGTTGTAGATGAAATATTTTTGTTTACTTAGCCGTATGTTTTATTTCTCTCTAGATCTCAAGAGAAATGTATATGCTGCTGAAGTTGAAACAGCCGGTAGAGCAATCCCAACTCTACCAACTTATAATATCAGCGAAGTCTCCAAACATAGCTCAAAAGAAGTTGGTATTTGGGTCATTTATAAGGAAGGAGTTTATGATATTTCAGAATTTGTTGATAAACACCCAGGAGGTGATAAAATTATGATGGCTGCTGGTGGTTCAGTTGAACCTTTCTGGATGATCTATGGAGTCCATAAAGATCCACATATTGTTTCTATGTTGGAGCAGTATAGAATTGGTATTTTCCTTTTATTTAATATGAACAACTAAAAAATTAAAGGATAATTGAATGAAAGAAATTTTCAATCAAAATAACAGTTGAAATTTATAATCAGATTAGAGTGGAGCTTCTCCAATAACCAGCTGTTTATGCTTTAGGCTTATGAGCAATTATATAATTGTTTGTATCTTTGATCTAAAGATCAGAGTAAATAGCCAACACATCATCTGCATATATTCTTTAAAACTATTTCTGACGCCCATAAAAAAGCTCGATGTTAGTTTTTGTTTCTTATTTTTCAAGTTGATGACGTACTCGAAGCTTTCTTTACTTTTTCATTGCTATAGAATGATTGGGAAGCCCACTCTGACGGTCTCAAAGATCGTCTAGTTTTTTTTCGGTCCCCTCCGATGGGATCCCAACATAAATTTTATATTCTATATTGAGCGTTAAATTTATTTTTCAGATTTTTTTTTTTTTTAATAGCTTATTTATTGAAATATATTACAACCTGTCTCAGGGACATTAATAATAGTGTTCACAGATCACATTCACACTCTATATACAGTAAATAAAATAAATTATACAGAAAAATAATATATATACAATAAACAAGAATAAAATAACCTAAAAATAAATAAATAAAAAGAACACATGCACACCTATATACAATATTTACAACTTGGCGAGAGAACTCCAAACCAGACTTGTCCCTCCAACTGTGGAGGGAAAAGTATGACTCCAGGAGTTCCCTGCACTCCTCTCTCAACCGCGTCACTAGGGCTAAACCCAGTGGAGATTGAGCAAGAGTGCTTTAGCCACATACACTCATGTCGTGAGTGGAGAATCTGGCCATTGCCAGAACTCCAATATTTACAAACTATAAAAGATCACGGGGCCACTGCCGTTTTAACCTCCTTGGAGGATTATATGGATGGGTGGTGCTGGATAGAGATTTTGCAAAGGGATTTGGATGATGGGTAAGGTTCTGGTGGAATTTGGAGAATTTTGCTGGGATAAGGTCTAGGACAAATGGGATATTAAGGTCATGGTGTAGGGTTTTGTTGGTTACATAGAAAGGAGCATTGGCTATTGTTCGAAGGACTTTTGATTGGAAGGATGGGATGCGTTTGATGTTAGTAAATTTTGCTGTTCCCCACAGTTCAAGTCCGTAAATCCAGATAGGTTTCAGTATTGTCTTGTAGATCAGTAACTTGTTTTCAATGGAAAGTTTTGATTTTCTGTTTAGTAGCTGGTATAGTTGTCCGTATCGTCGGTTTAGTTCCTGTCTTTTAAGTCTAGTATGAGGGTTCCACGTTAGTCGTCTGTCTAAGAGAAAGCCCAGGTACCGGACTGTGTCCGAGAAAGGAAGCTGAATGGAATTAAAGTGTACTGGTGGACAGGAACTGCGTCGGAGCGTGAAGGTGATGTGTTGGCATTTGGATTCGTTTACTTTAATTCGCCATTTATTACACCAGTGCTCAATCAGGGAGAGATGTCTTTGAAGGTTTAAGGATGCTATATCAGGATCTGAGTCGGATGATAGAATGGCGGTGTCATCAGCAAAAGTTGCTAGGAAGGTATCGGGATGGACAGGGATATCAGCGGTAAAGAGGATGTAAAGGACGGGACCCAATACGCTACCTTGAGGAACACCTGCCTCAATTGGATAGCAATTCGATAAATCACTACCTCAGCGAACTCGGAAGGTACGATCTGAGAGGTAGGAACGGAGGACAAGGTACAAGGACTGAGGAAGATAGGTTTTCAGCTTGGAAAGAAGCCCGGCGTGCCATACCCGGCCAAAAGCTTGAGCTATGTCCAGAAATGAACCCGAGCAATATTGCTTGCTTTCCAATGCTGCGGAAATATGATCGACCACTCGGAGTCCTTGTTGGACTGTGGAGTGTTGTGAACGGAATCCGAACTGATGTGAAGGAAAATTTTGGGATTCTATAAAGGGTAGGATTCGTTTCAGGAGGATCTTTTCAAAAATTTTTGAGAGAATCGGAAGTAGGCTAATTGTTCTGTAGGACGTTGAGGTGTTGGGAGGTTTGCCTGGTTTCGGAAACAGGATAATAGTGGAATGTTTCCACAAGAGAGGAAAGTGGGTGGTTCTTAGGATGGCATTATATAAGTAGGTGAGAAATATAACAGCTTTAGGAGGAAATTGTCGAAGGATTTGAGAGGTAAGGAGGTCGTATCCAGGAGATTTACGGAGAGGAAGTTTTTGCAAGTGATGTTTGACCTCAGAAGGATTAACTGCTTTAGGTGGCAAGGAAAGTGGAATGGGTGATGTAAGGAATTCTTCTACTGTTGTGGTATGGGTGAGGTTGGATTCCGGATGAGAGGTAAATGTTCTGGAGAGGTGTCTGGCGAATTCCTCAGCTTTATCTTCATCAGACGCTGCCCAGGAGCCATCGCTTCGACGGAGGGGATGGGAAATATGATGGGATTTTAGGATTTTGTTGGTGATCTTCCATAGGGAATTGTCATGAACAGAGAGGGAAGTAAGGTAGGAGTTGAAGGATTGGGATTTGAAGGTGGCCAATTCCTGCTTTAATTGTTTATTGTAAATATTATAGGAGCGACGATCGATGGGGTGTCTAGTACGTTGCCATAATAATCTGGCGCGGCGTTTGGTATGGATTAGGTCTATGAGGTGTTGAGGTAACTTATTTTTCTTGGGAGTTCTTGAGGAGTGGTTTGGAGAGGAAGCAGTCCAGATTGCTTGTTGGATAGTGGTGGTGAAAAGGTGTACGGCATTGTCAAGGTCATCTGGGGTTTTTAGGGTTATTCTGAGGTCAATTTTAATTTTTCAGATTTAAAGGCCAATACTGATTTTTTTATATAACTTAATACAAATCCAATTTTGAATTTGAGTTTGTACTGGCTGATTCTGATTAGGGTAAGCAATAATAGCTGTTTTTTAAATTGTATTCATTTATTTTTGCTCAAACATCACATAAGCAATAAAGATGTACCCACACACACACACACATTATATATATATAATACACATGCTCCATAAAAATCACTGTTCCACTTCATAATAATTCTACTCTCACTTAGAACAAACTTTATTTGTTAAATTAATCAAGTAGAAGAGTACCAACTGTTGTTTGATAAAGAATCCTTTAATTTTTTTGCTGCATTTAGGTAAACTATTGTATGATAATTTCAATTACATCTCTTTTTCTTATTTATCTTTCAATTTTTTAGGAAATCTTGATAGTACAGAAGTTGAAAAAAGTATAGAAAATGTTTTCGATCCCTATCACAATGATCCCCTTCGACACCCTGCACTACGACCTTGTTCCACCAAGCCATACAATGCTGAACCTCCTCCTGATCTACTTGTAGACAGCTACATTACCCCACAGTACATAATAGTCATTTTTCATAGTTAGTTATATATAATTATAATTAAGCTTATTCTTCCTTAATTCAAACTTAAAACTCTAATTTTAATTCTATTATAATGATTTAAAATATATACATGATTTCTAGAGAAGTCTTTTATGTGCGTAATCATCTTCCTGTACCAGAGGTTGATTTGGAAAATTATGAGCTTGAAATTAGTGGTGTAGGCATAAAGAATAGAACATTTACCTTGGAAGATTTGAAAAACCTTCCAAAACATTCCTTTACAGCTTCAATACAGTGTGCAGGCAATAGAAGAAGTGAAATGTCTAAGGTGATTTTTTTTATTAATAGTTTTGTCATGAATATTTTAAACATGCTGAACATCAATTCCTTTTGTTTCTTTCAGGATTAAGTGAGATAATTTATTTATTTTTTAAACTTTTGTTCACTAAACATTCCTCTGCAATTATGAAAATTAAATCGTACAATGTAGAAAAAATTATTCATATTCACTAATCAATTAAAAAATTAATTAGGTAGCCATTTTATGACAAAAAATCTTCAAATGATAAAAATATTAACATCCTTTTGTTCCTCAATCAACTATCAGTTATTGAAACTGGCCTATATTTTACTTTTATATTTATAATATAAGACCTGTATTTATAAATTCCTTATATACAGCTTTGTTTTTTTTAGTATAATTTATATTTTCACAATTATTTACAAAATGTGATTTTTTAAAGATAAAACCAGTAAAGGGATTAGAATGGGGCCCTGCTGTTATCGGTAATGCTGTTTGGTCAGGTGTTAGGCTTAGTGATTTATTGACTGATCTTGGAGTTACTGAAAACGGTGAAGGAAAACATGTTCAGGTATGCATTATTTGTCATAAAAATTTTATGAAGTTAATTTTGTAATGACTATTTTAAACTGTATTTTAGTTTGAAGGTTTGGATTATGACCCTAGTGGCTCCTATTATGGTTCTTCAATTCCTCTTTACAAAGCACTTGATAAAAGAGGTGATGTCCTTCTGGCCTATGAAATGAATGGTCAGCCATTGTCAAGGGACCATGGTTTTCCTTTGAGGGTTGTTGTACCTGGAGTTGTTGGAGCAAGAAATGTGAAATGGTTAAGTAAGTGGCATTTCTCTATTTTTATTTTTTTTTAATTTCAATTGAAATCTAACATATTAATTGAAATTTAGCCCTTCTTTTCTCAAAGTTTTTTTTTATTCTTTTATACACTGACAGGCAAAAAATTCCACCCACTTGATTTTTTCATGTTTTCATCTAAAAATATTTCTGCTTTGGATTGGTCTATTGTTTTTAATGAATAAATAGGTGATCTTTTTGTTTATTTTCAATTAGGAATGTTAATATAGAGGACGATAACCCTTAATCCTCAATTCAATGAAATGATTCTAGATTCAAATGTTTACTTTCTATGGAATCAAAATGTTTATTCAGTATCATTAGTTCAGTGCCGTTTCTTGCAGCACATTTCTTAGTCTCCGGCTTTTAATTTTTTCAATATTAAGTTTAAAAATGCCTCTTAGTGCTGAGGATGTTGCGCGTGGTGTGGCACTTATTGATGATGAATATTAGATATTTCTGATGGCATTAGTTCCATTAGATATGCAGCTAATGCCATCAGAGTTCCATATGAAACTTTACGAGACGCCATCAGACGTTTTCTGGAAACTGGTTCTTACAATAGAAGGCCCGGTTCTGGACGGCCTAGGGTAACAGAACCATGGGATGACAGGTTTTTGACTTTGAGAATTTTACGAAACCGGCACCTTACCGTTGTTCAAGCGATTCATCAGCTCGAAGAAGTTCGAGGTGTGCAAATTTCTGAACGTACCGCTCGGAGAAGATTAAATGAGTATGGATTAATGGCTTTTCGTCCAGTAAGAGGACCAGAGTTGACCAGAACTCACAGAGTAACACGGCTGGCTTTTGCTTGAGAACACAGCCATTGGACTATGGACGAATGGAGTGCTGTACTTTTTACAGATGAGTCAAGATTCGCTCTTCGATCTCCAGACGGGCGTGAAAGGGTGTGGAGAAGAAGAAACGAAAGATATGCAGCCTGTAATTTTTCTGAGAGCCAACCTTTCCAACGTGGTTCCTTAATGGTGTGGGCTGGGATTTCAATGGAGCGCCACACAGAATTGGTTGTTGTTCGTGAAGGGTCTTTGATGGCCATTCGCTATGTAGATGAGATTTTGGAACATCATGTGTTGCCTATCCTCAACGAAATCGGCGATCGTTCTATTCTAATGCACGCCCACATGTCGCCCGCATAGTGCAGACTAGACCTGGGCAGAATTTATTTGAAAAATATTCCCGTAATAAATCCCTAAATAAACCTCGATAGTTATTTCCGAAATAATTTATTTCATGAAATAACCTGACCATTATTTCCGAAATGATTATTTCGGGAATAACTTATTTCAGGAATAACGATATCTGAAATGATTATTTCAGGAATAATGTGAAATCTGAAATAATCATTCCGATCGACTTTTAGATATAATCAATATCCGGGTCGACTGTTATGTTTTCGGGGGCGCTAATTATAAAAATAATGTCGAATTCGATATTGCACCACCCCCTCCCCACCCCCCATCGACTTTTTGTAACTTTTCAGATATAATCGATATCAGGGTCGACTATTGTGTTTACGGGGGCGCTTTTTATGAAAATACGGGCGAATTTGAAATTGCATCACCCCCTCCCCACCCCCCATCGACTTTTTGTAACTTTTCAGATATAATCGATATCAGGGTCGACTATTATGTTTACGGGGGCGCTTTTTATGAAAATACGGTCGAATTTGAAATTGCACCACCCCCTCCCCACCCCCCATCGACTTTTTGTAACTTTTCAGATATAATCGATATCAGGGTCGACTATTATGTTTACGGGGGCGCTTTTTATGAAAATACGGTCGAATTTGAAATTGCACCACCCCCTCCCCACCCCCCATCGACTTTTTGTAACTTTTCAGATATAATCGATATCAGGGTCGACTATTATGTTTACGGGGGCGCTTTTTATGAAAATACGGTCGAATTTGAAATTGCACCACCCCCTCCCCACCCCCCATCGACTTTTTGTAACTTTTCAGATATAATCGATATCAGGGTCGACTATTATGTTTACGGGGGCGCTTTTTATGAAAATACGGTCGAATTTACGGTCGAGGGAGAGGCGCAATCTCAAATTCGACCGTATTTTCATAAAAAGCGCCCCCGTAAACATAATAGTCGACCCTGATATCGATTATATCTGAAAAGTTACAAAAAGTCGATGGGGGGTGGGGAGGGGGTGGTGCAATATCAAATTCGACCGTATTTTCATAAAAAGCGCCCCCGAAAACATAAAAGTCAACCCTGATATCGAATATATCTGAAAAGTTACAAAAAGTCGATGGGGAGAGAAGGGGTGGTGCAATATCAAATTCGACTTTATTTTTATAATTAGCACCCCCGAAGACATAATATTCGACCCTGATATCGATCATTTCAGAAAAGTTACAAAAAGTTGATGTGAGAGGGTGGGGGGGGGGCGCAGTCTCAAATTCGACCGTATTTTCATAAAAAGCGCCCCCTAAAACATGGTGCATATTGGTAATTTTTTTATGTTATTTCAGAACAATGTTATTTCTGAAATATTTATTTCTTGATTTTATGCAATAATTTATTTATGAAATAAATAATCCTGAAACAATAGTTATGAAATAATTTATTTCAGAAATAACTCATTGCGAAATAATTTACATTATTCCAAAGAATGTTAAAATAGTGAAATAATTATTTCAGAAATAAATTCAGAGTTATTCCATCGAGATTATTTCGTTGACTGTTTGAAATATTATTTCAGAAATAACCGTTATTCCCGAAATAATTCATTCGTGGAATAACCATGTGAATTATTTTAGAAATAAATTATTTCAAGAGTGCCCAGGTCTAGTGCAGACATTCCTTCAACAGAACAATATTGAGGTTTTAGCCTGGCCAGCACGTTCTCCAGCTTTGAACCCCATTGAGCATTTATGGGATAACCTCGGAAGGCGAATAAGAGCGCGTGCAACACTTCCTGATGCACTGCAGGACCTTGAAAGGGCTATCCTCCAGCAAAGGGACATTTCCTGACTGGTGGAAAGTATGCCGAGGCGTCTTCGAAAAGTAGTGAAGGCAAGAGGAGGAAACTCGCGCTACTAAACGATGATGTAATTAATTTCTTTTAGAATAATAATGGTTCGATTTTCAATTTTTTTTCTCTAATCTTTCTTACCCAATCACATTTTGATTATTAAAGGTAAAAAAGATTATAATATTCCATAAATACTAAGTATTATCTACAAATACCATGTACTATATTCAAATACAACTTTACAGAAATATTTTAGATGAAAACATGGAAAAATCAAGTGGGTGGAATTTTTTGCCTCTCAGTGTATATCTAAGTTTATTCTTATTATATTTATTACATATAAGTTTATTCTTCATCATATCTAATGATTGAGCTCTTATTGAGCTCTTCTTCTCCTTCAGGTGAAAAAAATAGTCACATCATCTAAAATTTCAGGAAAAAGTTATGAAGGAAAAGAAACTTTATTTACAAATAACTCAAAAATTATAATTTTTTTATAGATTACACCCACGATTATTTGGAAGATTCCTAAATTCCTTACTAAACAACAAAATTGATTACAAATTTGTCCAATTATTTTTTTATTTTTAAATCTTATAAAAAGTGAAATGTTTTCTATTGTAACCTGCACTCCTATATATATTATTTCTCAAAAGTGTTTTTTTATCGGTACACTATATCTTCATTAATTCTTCTGCAAGTCCAATAATTGAGACCTCATTTTAAAGATTTCCTTCTTCACATGGGAAAAATATATTGAATTTCCCCGAAAATTCAGTGAAAAAAGTTATAAAGGAAAAGCAACTTTATTTGCAAATAATTTAAAAAATATAGTAATTTGGTATTTATGGGAACTACTTTAGTATATATTGCTATATAATCGGAACCCATCATCTATTGGATCTAATGTTAATATGTTGGTAATTTTTTTTTCTTCCTTTCTGTAACTCCTGGCAGGAATCAGATTCTAAGCAGCAGTGGAGTATTGTGCATAGGTTTTGTGCAAGCCACTGTCACCAAAATATGTTGGTACTGTAAAGTAGTCAGTCATGGATAGTGCCATGAAGTGCATCTTGGCCAACTATCCATAATGTTTTATAACCTTGATTGTGCAAACTGCCTCTGAGTGAATCATGGATGTATGAATGCATGCCATGGAAATACAGAATTAATTTTAAGATGTCCATGTTGTCATTATATTGTTGATTTCCTACTCTTTCTTTTGTTGCATAGGTAAAATAATTATTTCTGAAGAAGAGAGTTCATCCCATTGGCAGCAAAATGGACTAATAATTAACAATATTTTAATTTTAAAAAACTTAAATAACGAAATGTGATAAGTATAGCATGGCATCTACAGGAAGATATTGTTAGAATTACAGTGAGTCGGTGTGTTGTCTTGAAAATGGTAAATTTAAGGGCTTAATTGTCCCATCATGATCTGCCAACTTACTACTATTAGAGTAATGATATCACTTAAATTTTTAATCAATTTTATAAAACTGGTAGTACGAATCTAAGGATCAACAGTGAGATTCCTCATTTCTACATAAAATTCCCTTTCTTTTGACACCTTTTTTGTCAAATTCCGTCACTCCTGAGAACCAGATTAGGAATTTATATTACTGTATTATATAAACAGTAGATTATTTATATCCTGTGTTAGGATTTGTTCCTAGATGCAATTTCTCGCTAGAAATGATTGCACTGATTATCTGAATGGTAACAGAATCTGGACCAGGAATGGTATTGATTAGCCTAGATAAACAAAGTTCTAGTGTGATAATAAAATTCGAGGCAGCCTAAATTTTAAAATTGTTTGGGGTCAATAATAAAGTTAGACAACCCCTACCTTAAATTCTTCTTATAATAATGTTCGACAGACCATTGCTATTATATTCAACATATTTAAACAAACATAAGTACCAACACACCTTAAAAGGGAAAAAGTTTACTGAATTAATTGTACTTAAATTGGATTTGATCATAACAACTTGTATAGAGTGCAGATTACAATAGAAAACATTTCACTTTTTATAAGATTTAAAAATAAAAAATGTGAGAGTTCCTCCTCGGCTTTACTAGTTTATATTTATTTATTTAAATGTTTATCCAAGAGAAGAGTTTAAGATGTGCATGTTGTCATTATAATTGTTGATTTCCTACTCTTTCTTTTGTTGCATAGGTAAAATAATTATTTCTGAAGAAGAGAGTTCATCCCATTGGCAGCAAAATGACTATAAAGGTTTTTGCCCTAGCGTGGACTGGGACACTGTAGACTTCAGCAAAGCACCAGCTATTCAAGAGCTTCCTGTAATATCCGCTATTTGTAACCCACTGCCAGGCCAGACCATCCATCTCAATAGTGATGGAAAGCTTCCTGTTAAAGGTTTATTTTTCTTTCATTTATTATTTATATCCTGTCTATGTTAAAGTTGATGATTAATTATGATCAAAACTGTAGAAGGTATGTGTATTTATGTTGAACTCTGGTACATGAGTATAGTCTGTAAAGTCAAACTTTTAACAGCCTGTTAATAACTCACTTTTCCGCCTTTTTTAGAATGCCAAAGTTGGCTTGAGAAACTGATATACATAAATTACGTTTAATGTTAGGGATGAATTAAGTTAGTTCTTCCTTTATATTCAAAATGTAATAAATGAAAAATAATTACCATTTAGTACCTATTCTATGAACATTTAATTCTTGAACTAGATACAGGTAACTGTAGTTAGATACCAATGAACTTTTTTTCTCTTTTTATGAAAATTGTAAACTATTTCATGGTAAATTTTCTACCTATAATTGATTTTTTGAAAGGCCAATGTAACTCTTTATGCTTATGACTTTCCAAAAGTTCAATATAATTGTATACTGCAAAAATGTTAGCTGTTTTCATTAGATAAAAATTAAATAAATAATAAAGTGAAGCAATCTAAATTTTTTATTATTATTTTACTTTATATTCATGTGACAGCCACCTGTAACATCAATAATGTTAAATTAGTTTAGATAACTATCTTCCTGTTGACATCTATAATCACTTTTATATTTTTTGAAAAATATCAAATTAATCAATCTTAGGACAAATGATTTGTGAAAAAAATTTCATGACAAGTGGAAGATATACTGTATTGTCAACACTGTCATTGGTTTCATGAGTACGGCAGCTTGATAATTAATAATTAAATTAAATTGCTTTATCTGCTCTCAATTGAATCACTCATCAAAAAATTCTTATCTAATAAAAATGCTAAAATTTATTTATTATTACATTATCTCTACATTGAAATCATCATATTTTTGCTTAATGTAGGCTATGCTTGGTCTGGAGGTGGGCGAAAAATTGTCAGAGTGGATTTGAGTGTTGATGGAGGAAAAACATGGAGTGTAGCCGAATTCACCGATCAAGGTGAAGCAGAGCACTCAAGACATTGGTCTTGGACGCTTTGGCAGGCTGATATTCCTGTGCCTCCTGAATCAGATTCAGTAAGAATTCTTTTCACCTATATGTATTATATAATGTTTTGTTGCATGAATTACTTATTTTAATTGGGGCTGTGATGGTCGAGCGAGTTAATAGCGCCTGCAAAAACTGTATGCTACAAGTTTTAATCCTGTCCGTGGGATATTATAACAAAAAAAATACATATATATATATATATATATATATATATATATAATAAAAATTAATAAATAAATAATAAGTGCAGTCCCAACTGAATTGCTTAATAGACCACTACGGCACAGGTTTGATTCCCACATGGGTACGGTAACCCCATCCTGAGGTTCACAACATAGCTGCTTGGTCCTCCACATTGGGAATTGGTCACAGGGCTAATAACCCTATCTCATAAAAAAAACAAAAACAGGATAGAGATGTCTGCACAAGGTTGCCAACCATGCTGATGAAGAGGGAGTGATTTTTGATCACGTTCAGTTATTATGAACCACATGCTCCCTGGATATCTATATAAGAGAACCAAACGATCACAGCTATCGTCTAGAATAGTCCTAATGCTGCTAGAAGAAGTCAAGAGTCGTTAAAAAAAAAAAAAAACTTATTTTAAATTTTTTTTACTAAGGCTACAATTTACAAATTATATAACTTTTCATTTAATTGTATAACTTTAATTTAGAGGTATTCTGTTGTTCGGACAGTATTATTTTTTATCAACATTGAAAACATTTCTTGTACAAATTTTTAGTCTAAAATTTTTATTTTTATTAGAAATGTAAGAGGTAACAGGAGTTCAACAGATAAGTAATTAAATGAACAACTGTATAATTTGTAAAATAACCGCCAAGCTCCTGTATCTCCTACTATCCGAATACTAAAATAAAATAAAATAATGAGTCACTAAAAACTTTTTTATATAATAGAGTCGTACCAGACTGAAACGACAAGAAACTGCTCGGTGTTTCCGATTACTTCAGTACTTACTAGACAAATGCTCTAAACTTCCAATTAATTACAAAAGACTCATATACATGACCATAATAAGGCCTATTTGGACTTACGGAGTTGAGCTATGGGGCTCCACTAAACCATCGAATTCCTTAGTGCTCCGTACTTTGGTACAAATAATACCATCCATAATGACCTTAATGTTTCTTATGTTTCAGATCTGGCCCAATCCAGATACCTCTCCTTCCATAATAAACTTCAGAATCATCCAATCCCTCTCGTTTCTAAACTTGCTTCCTATTCAATTCCTGGGAACCCTCGGAGGTGTCTGAAAAGTAGATGGCCCCGTGATCTCCTATGTAGACATATTAGAGTGCTACCATTGGTTAGTTACCTGACAAGTGTTTTCACGTCATTATATCCATATGTTCAAATTTACTAAATGTATTTCTTTAATACAGTTGTAAATATCATTAAATATATATATATATATATATATATATATATATATAATAGAGAGATATATATTTTTCAAAGATACTGGTTCAATTATTATTTATATCTCGTCGCATTACAGGACATAAGATGTTGTTTTACTGAAATTGGTAACTCCTTTGATAGGAGAACACAACTAAATTGGGCTACAAGGTTACACATGGCTAACCAAGCGACTTCCCTAGCTCAAGGTCCCAGGTTCAAGTACGGCAGATGACTGGTAATTTTTCATCAGCTGTGGATCGACTCTGTGGCATGCCCAGCCCCTATAAAATGGGTACTCTTAATTTAATAATTAATTAAGAGGGGAAACCCGGTGGTTTACACTATCTTTGCCCAATCACCTCCCTACACAACCATTGTTCTTGTAACAGTATTTTCTCAAATGATACTGAACCCCCAAGAAGATGGGTTGTAGTGGTTCAGGTTATTGAATGCATCAACCATTTAATAAGATTCTGAAAACTGAACAGGTTGTTCTTTAGAAGGAATATAAAGAGTGGTCAAATAGGGAAAGAATATATTAGTTTAGTGAACTCACTATGCTTGTTGATGTAGACAATGAAGTAATGCATCTTGATGGTATTATAGAACACATTAAAGAAAATAACTGATCACACTGAATGAGTTATTAGTAAGACCATCAGCTGAAAGAATTAAAAGGTATAAAGTGTGGCTTGAAATGAAGCAGTCAGTGAGACTATTCAGAACAGGACATTTCAAATAATAAAGGGTAGAGGACTGCCTACTACATCACAGCAGTCTAGATCGAATGATATATCATTAACAAATCAAATCAGATCACTATTACTTGACAGTTAATAAAATTATGATTATTAAAAACTAGTTAATTAATTAAAATTAGTACTTAATGTAATAAAAACATATTGAAACAATCAAAGTTTCCTTGATCTTCCTTCTTGCTGTTTCCTTAAATTTATTTAATAATAAAAAAATCTGGTGCGCGCAACACACAACTTTCACTTACCCTTTGAACTTTGAATAAAAATTATTTTCTGGCCATGTTAGGCTATTATAAAATGTTTTAAATTGCATTTTAAACTGAGCTAAAGCTAAAAAAACACAAATGCTATTAAAATAACAAAAGTCCTATTTATTATATCACCGGTTGATTATGGATTGTACGATTCGTTGATTATGGATTGTTCGATCCATTGATTATGGATTGTACGACTATAAGTCATTAAACTGTTATTTTCCATTGCAAAGTTTATTAAAACGGAATTAAGAGATTTGCAGTGTCTGTCATAGACAGGTCAAAAGTTGTCACACTAATTGTAAGTGGATTCTGTTGGAATATCGCAAAAAGAAGAATTATCAAACTATTCACTAATTTAATTTTCTAAAAGGTTATATGACAATATTTTGGAATTAACTTTAATACCTAATTATTTATAGAGAAATACTTTATTAAAAGTAATGCTGCCCTACTACATAGGGTTGCTTCGTACACAGCATACTTATCAATAAATACGGACATTAATTTTATATTATATTTTTTTTTTCTTCCCCTTCATAACAATACTCTTACAAATTATCAACAATAATCCATATTAAACAATAAACATAGCATAATAAACACTTTCCCAAAATAAAAAAAAAATCCTTTTTTCTCTTTAAATTCTCAAACGCCAGGAACGCAATATAACATCTCACACATATATAACACAGCAATTCCTTGAATGTAGCCAAAAAGATAAGACGATTATGGACCAATTTAAAATTTAATAAATAATTACTAAACTACAGTAAATGTATTTAATATTATAAACACATGATTTATACATCCATGAAATGATTTTATATTTTATTTCTTCTTTTACACAAGTACACTGAAATAGTTTTTTTAACAATGCCATCAACTTGCTGAGGTGGATTTTAAATACATTTTAAAAAAATTAGCATTACCTTATTAACACATTCAAAATTCAAAAACCGAAACAAAGGATATAACCATTGCAGCAGAACTTATTAAAGAAAAACTAGAGACCATATCTTATCTCCTAATTATCCAATTTTAACGATTTTTTTTTTGTTTTTTAGGCTGTTCTGTAAACTTTTAGAAAACCATATACAACATTCCCAAAAAAGTGTATACTTTCTGAGTTATTCGGAATTTAATTTTACCATCCCTCGTAACTTTTTTTCAGCTTCTTTTCGCTGATGATCGTAATTGGAAAGCAGATCACTGTAGTCGTAATCGTTGATTATGATTATCCCCATCTATGATTTGAGTTGATCGATATATGAGAACAAATGAAAGTGCATAGTTATCATTGGTTGTTTTCTTTTATGTTATTGCTATACAGTGTATTATACAATATCTATATCTCTCTAATCTTGGTCACAGTAATTTTGTGTTAATAAAAATATTTAAAAATATAGAACAATAACAGACAACATTTAAGATGATAACATATAATAATAACATTTCACCTTTCTCTGGACTTTGGGAACCTGTATATATGTATTAAGTAATTGACGTCTTGAAACATTTTTTGACTGATAATAATCAGTTTAAAAAATTGTCTATCAAAGGCAAGAGTTTTTTTTGTTATGGTTTCTTTGGGAAGCAAAACTAATTTCTAGTATATATACATTTTTATTTTTTAAAATGTATCTTGTCATCATGCTGACTCTTAAACAAGTCACAAACTTTGTACTTACAACTGCACAAAGTCTTACAAAGTGTCTTCACAAAATGCAATTTAAAAAAAAACGTAACATTTTTTTAGCCTTACAGCTTCAAATAACTGATTGATATTTGAAATTAATTTGCAGGTTGAAATTTGGGCTAAAGCAGTTGATTCTTCCTATAACACTCAGCCAGAAAGTTTTTCTAACATTTGGAATTTGAGAGGAGTTTTAGGAAATGCTTATCATCGTGTCAAAGTTAATATTAAAAAACGAAAATGAAATATGTAACATATTTTATGATCTTATAATATATACTGGTGAATTGGATTGTGGAAAGATGCACAAAGAGACATGAAATTACATTATATATTAATTTAAATGTAAAACATTTGATAAACATTATATTTTATATTATTAGATTATTAATAAAGTGAACTAAGTTACTGAAGTATAACTTTGTTTTATAGCCTAACTATACTGATCTATAACATGATATATATACAAAATAATTATATATTTGTAGAATATTTTTAAATAACATATCAGCTAAATTAGAAATTAGACGTAACCATTAGAGTAGAAGAAAACATATTAGCAGTTGGAGTTGGATCTCTCCCTCTCTTTAAAATATAATTTTTTCCCCAAATCTATAATTTAGTTTCAAAATTATTTCATTGTTCACTTTATGCTATTTACTTCTATTGCATCACTTAATATTGAATAATATAGTCAAGGAATGGTGAAACTGTCAAGAATTATGATGAGTGTGTTGGGAACACAAGGAACTTTACCATCTCAACTTTTTTATTTGGCAAGAAGAAAGAATGTCTGAGGTGTGGGCAAAAAGTATTATCTGCCTGCTCCACAAGAAGTGAGATCAGTTGTAGTGCTTCAACTACCGGAGTATTGTTCTCCTCTCATCTGCTTATAAAGTACTCTCAAATATCCTCTTCGAGAGACTGGTTCTCCATGCGGATATAGAGATCGGAAAGAATTGGGCAGGATTTAAAAGGGGAAGATCCACTATGGACCAACTATTTATATTGAGATTGATGTTAGACAAATACAAAGAATATAAAATCATAACCCATCATTTATTTGTTAATTTAAAATCTGCCTATGACAGCATTGCCCATCCGGAACTTTACTAGGTCCTAAAAGAAATGAATGTCCCTCCAGAGCTTTACCAGGCCCTCAAAGAAATGAAATTAGTGAGACTGATTAAGATGACAATGGTGAGCTCAAAGTGTATGGTGCGTGTGGGCATAGATTTTTCTGACCCCTTTCTCACAAATTGTGGTGTTAGGCAGGGAGACACTATGGCCTGCCTCCTTTTTAATTTTATAGGAGAGAAAATGATAAGGAAGACTGGAATCCAACTCCGATCAACACTGTTTAACAGTGCAGTCCAGCTTCTGGAATATGCGGATGATTTCAATACTGCTACCAGATCGGAATGGACTCTATGAGAATCATTCCTGGTTCTGGAATGGAGCTTTTATTGATCTTGGCCTAGTTGTTAATGAGGTCAAGACGAAATACATGTGGATTGGAGGAGCCGAACCAGAAGTTGGATATTTTGATGCAGCACAGTACCGTTATCAGAAGGTAAGCAGTTCCATCTATTTCAGTTTAGAAATCAACTTCCAAAATGACACTAGCCAGGAAGTAAACAGGAGAATTGCAGCAGCTAACCGTTGTTACTTTGGCCTTACCAAACATTGTTGAAGTAGAATGCCCTCTAACCAGACCAAGATCAAGCTCTATAAGACCCTAGTCCGCCCAGTCCTCACTTATGGCTCAGAGGTTTGGGCATTCACGAAGGTGGATGAGTCCAGGCTTCTTGTTTTCGAGAGGAACATTCTTAGACAGATTTTTGGTCCTGTTAGATATGACGACATCTGGAGAAGGAGGAATGCTCAACTAATGAGACTGTTCAATTATGTTGGCATTCAAGTTCGTTATCTACAGCGACTATTCGAGGTAAATCTCGTTTTTGATACTGTAGATACTTGTTCTCCTCATTAGCTTGGCCCTCAGTGTCCCTAGTGCAGTTGGTGATCACATGTTCTGCAGTTTCTAGGACACCACAACTGGGCCATAGGGAGGGGATTCACATCTTGTCCAAGAATGTGTAACTTAGCACAATTCCTAAGTCCAGTGAGGAATTTAGAGACCCAATAGTCTAGTTTTATCCATCTGGCTGCTAGTTGAGACTGCACGGTGGGAAAATGCTTTCTTAGAGTAGTAGTAGTGATCCACTGACCATTCTACTCTTCGGTATTGAACATAGCAAATAAGTTTTTTAAAGTATTATGGGTTGCGAAAGTTGAATGAAACAGACTTCTAACATCAAAAACAGCGTTAAGGGCCAGAGCTGGTACTTAAGGACCAACCTATACCTGGACCCTGGGGAAGGTTTAGAGTAACGAGTTAAGTAACCGGTTCCTTTTAGTGTGTTACCAGTTATTGAGGATAGGTCTTATGTTGAGTTCTGGCCTTGAGGATGGGTCTTAATTTTCTTCTGGCTTGGGAACTGAATCCTTGGCCCTACATTGACCATGATAATCCTCCCAGAGCTTTGAACCATGACGAGATAATCTCAAGCAGATGCAGTGATGAAATCTACCAACCATATCACTTCATATACAATAGATAAGTGTTATTCCCAACAATAAATTTACCAATATTAGAATATTTCATGGAAAAATAATACTCAAAACAGTCCATCTGAAATCATACCTTCACAATTAATTATTAAATTCGTTGAATCACTTATTTAGTTTCTTATATATATAATTTGAATATATTCTTTATTTAACATAGAAATAAATTAAGTTTTTTGGTAAAAGTATTTTAATTCTGCCACCCATTTATGTCATAATGATCACAGGTAATTTAGGTAATTAGAAAGCATGAAAAACACACACCAGCCTTTAAGAAAAGAAATCTAATTAATTAATCCTGGACCAATCAATATATTATAAGTCCAAATTTATTTTACTAATTTTTAACATTAATTTTTATGAAATAATTCTGGATAATTATCCTCAATGATTATCCGGTGGCATCCCGATAAATTACTATTTATATTTGATGTGTCTCCATTCCCAATATAGTACCATTGCTATTATATCCTACTTAATAGTTTAAAATAACTGATAATTGAAAAAAAAATTGAGGAATATCTGTTGGACAATGAACACATTTATTATGAGCAATTACAAACACATTACACAGCACAAATTACATTTCTTTGTTCCCTCGATGTGTACTAACAGTCATCTCCCTTATCATGTGGGCAGACAATTTGGTATACAAATTGTGCTAGGGTTCGAGTAGGTCTTCCTGACATCCAACCTTTTTTAAGATACGGAAAACACGATTCCGTTACTTTTAAGCCAGTTCCATGGATGTCTACATGGAGAAAGTCTATACCCTGGTCTACAAATTCCTAAAAATAAAAATTTATTTAAAATTTTATAAATTAAGTCATTGAATGAAATACATAGAGAAATCGTGTTCAGTTTTGAGCATGAAATTTTTTTAGGATTAATTAAGTTTTCTCCTAACTTTAAATTAATATATATATATATAATCAACTTTATTTTGGGAACAAGTCCATTAAGAATAAAGAAAAAACAAAAATTATGGTCAATTCTGGCCATAAGACCGATTACATATTAAGAAATCAAAATAAATACTATGTATATACAATAGCGGATCCAGCTGGGGAACGCGCGGCCCCCTTGAAAATTGGAAACCAAATCCAAAAAAGTCCCAAAAAGCAGATATTTAAATAAATAGAAATATCAGGAAAATTCATCCTCATTGACGAATTTCCTAACATAATATAAAAAAAAATATTGTCGTGACCAGCACTAGCGAATTCTGCACCCCCCTCTGGATGTTGGAAAAATAATTCCAAAAAAAAGTTCCAAAAAACAGCCATTTAAAGAAAAGAGAAATATAGGAAAAATCATCCTCACAGACGAATTTTCTAATGTAATATATATATATATATATATTCTGTATGTAATATATATATATATATATATATATATATATATATATATATAAATTCTGTTAGGGGGTGCTCCTCCTGGATGCTGGATAAAAAATTCCAAAAAGGAGTTATTTAAAGAGAAGAGAGATATAGAGAGAATTCATCCTAATAGACAAATTTTCTAATGTAATATTAAAAAAATTATTATCATGACCATTTTTATTAATCTTACAGTTTGTCATATCATGTCATCCATCTCACCAGGCTGGATAAACTTGCGCACGGCATGATTTCGTGAAATAAACAATAGGATGTAAGAGCAAAAGTTGGCTCGTAGGATAAAGTGATGTAATTTTTGGGCTGCTGTGAAATGCGAAAGCTTATACTCCAGTCATAGTTTATTCCTACTGACCCCGAACTCAGTCTTGCAGGTGAAATAAATGATGGAGGAAAACTTCTTTGGAACAACTTTTTATTCGAGCACAAGAAAATACGGTTTTTCTCCTGGACTGAGGTTTATTCAGTTCCAATAGATCTGGACGCATTGCAACTATAGTCACCTTGGAGAATCCATGCAATTCATAAAACTGGTCACGAAAATAATTTGTATATTTCTCATTAGAAGGTGTTATTCCTTTCTTAAAATAGCCACTGTTGGGAACTTTTTCCTGAAGGAAGGTACTAATTATTTGGTCTCCGATATGATCTGAATCGGAATTTATTCTATTTATTTTATCATTTCCAAGCTGCAGGTACATTTATAGTAATCTTTCTCGAATTTTGACTAAGTTGGTTAAAATTAGCGTTCATTGACCGTGGTTATCGACCATATCACTTAATCAAATTATTAAGTTTAGGTATTCTGTCGACAAACAATTTAGTGTTCTTTAATTTCTCAAAGAATAGGTTATTTTATTTGCTTTGATGCAGTGTTTATTAGTAATAGATGAAAAAAAAAAAGGACCAGATAATTTTATGGCTGTGAAAAGTTTTTCCTTGATGACCCTTGTTACATTTCTAAACCTGATAGCAGAACTTAAGAGATACAAAATGTTTTATATAAACAATAGTTTGATTTTCAGCAGGAAAGTAGGTAATAATTAAAGTTTTTTGATTTTTTAAGTAAGTTGCATTTTTTGTTGAATAGAAGCAATTAGCAATTTCTTCACTGTAAACTAGACAAAATTTACTTGAAATAAAAATTGAGTTTGCTTTTGTTAAAACTATTTAATGAGGACTTTTGAGTGGCTAAACTCAGCTAAGGAGTGGGGGAAGCTCCTGGTACAGAGGTGCACCTCCCTGAGAAAATTTCTGGATCTGCCACCGTGTACGTACTTATAAAATAGATGCATATAATAAATAAATTAAAAACTGAAATAAGATAATCGCTGCTTAAATATAATAATATAGAAAGTTTAATTAAATTAATTGTATAAGCAAACAATGCTAAGTAACAAAGAAAAAATAAGTAAATAAATTGCTACTTCTATTTTTTTTAAATGTATAACTAAATAAATAAACTTTTTTTACAAAATTTGATAAATAAATTAACATAATAGAGTAAACTGTATCCAATAACTCTGTACAAAATAATATGAAATATGTATTCACATTCCTTACAAAAGACAAAACAAAAACAAACAATAAGTATAAAGAAAAATAAATCCTTATTACATAATAAATATTTAGCGAGTGTCTGATTGAGTTGTGAAAAGAAACTGAAAAAGGAGAATTTTAAATGTGGAAAAGGAAGACCATGACCAATTTGAGGAAGAGAATTCTAAAAAAAATGGTGGAGTGACTAATGAAGGAGTTTTGGAATGCGGCTGACCTATGAAAGGGGTAAAAAGGTCAGAGGGAGAGGATGGACTCCTTGTGGTAGGGGAGTGGATAGAGGACTTGAATTGGGAGAGATTGTTGGCATAGAACAGGCAATGGTTCTTAATTATTTGGTAAAAGAATGTGCTTAGGAAGTATTGTCTTCTGAAAGAGGGGAAAAGCCATCCTAACTCAACATAGTAGTGGAGAATGTCTTGGGTTCATTGACGAATCTTATGAAGCTATTAATAATTTTTCTTGGTCTGTCTCCGATGTCCGCTGAGAGACCTCCGTATATCACACAGTCATAGTCGAGGTGGGGGTATGTGGAGGAAGGTGATGGGATCGTCATTTAGATATAGAGTAGGAAAGTTGGTATTATATCTGAGAAGAGTTTTGGAATCAATGACAATGGCCTGAGTTTTAGCAGTGTTAAACCTTACTCTATTTATGCCTGCCTAGTTACTGATACGATCTAGGTCTTCTTGAATTTTTACAAACTGAACCCCTATCTCAGAAGGAGAAAATGATAAATAAATTTGGGAATCATCAGAGAAGAGAAGGTATGCTGGAACCCTGGGTCACTCCAGAGGTCATCAGAGATAGGAAGACAAAGGTTGATTAAGAATAAAAACTGCTTGAGAACGTTGAGAGAGGAATGATTGAAAACAAAAGATAGAGCTGTTGGAAAAAGATAATGATTTATAATTCCTTATTAATGACTTATAAGCCTAATACCCAGTAGTATTGAAAATATAGTACACTTAAAAAATAATCAGATGGTTCATATGATACAATTATTAAAACATTACCCTCAGAAACGCAGCTCCCTTACATGTTTCACCATAGCCTTTTCCAACATTACTGACATCAAAGCTGGGATAGTCTGAAAAATATATTAAAGCAATTATGACTGCTGTTTTGCACCACTCAACATAATAATTGTCCCTTTGTTAACCTGTAACTTTTTCTGTATAGTATTTCCAGAATGGAAACCTCCATACTCTGTCGCCGGTTTCACTTCCAGCTCTTTCAAGTTCCCTGAATACATCATTAGAAGTTGAAAAGGAGGCAGATGCACCAGAACCTAACCCACGTGTCGTGGTACCTGTGGATATTATACTAATTGTAATTAACTCTACCAATAGATAACATAGTTTTGAAAAGGAATAATTTCTATGTATAAAATAAAAGTAAACTCTCTGTTCTCTGCATTATGTTAATTGCCATTTTGGGGAATAAAATAGGATAAGAGTTTTACAAAGATATGGAAATTCAAGGAAGATCTTGTTTTAGAAGGGCAAGATTCTCTCAATCTCTTTCTTAACATTTTGTAAATTTATCTATTATATCGTGAATCAGAATCCAAAATGAAAATTTTTAAGTGTGAAAGAAAAATTAAGACTTAAAAGAAGCAAAAATTCATACAAAAAATAAAGATATACCAATATAAAGTTACGTAGGATTTAAAAAAGTCACAAAAATCGTTATTAAAATGTTTGAATGATTTTATTAAACGTAAAGAATTGATTTGTTTACAATCTCCTCTCAGTTTGATAAAATCGATGAAGTGGTATTGAAAATTAAATAAATATAATAACCTAAAAATTGCCTTAGGTATTTTTTTGACCCCAATAAAATAATGATAATTTTTTTTAGCCTTGTAATCATTCTATATATCAGATTTTTTTCAAGTAACCCTTGTTACAGACATATATGTTTGACTTAATCATCTATAGACATTTTTTTAGATCCATTACCTGTGAGGGAAGCAATAGTACTCAAGAGACAAGGGAGATGTGTCATTGAATATGCCAATGGTTCTAGCAACATGACACGTCCTTCATTGTCAGGATTTTCTATTTGAACTGTTTTTCCATTGTAAGCAGTAACAACATCACCTGCTTTGATTGCTGATCCTCCAATCATACTTTCCATAAGAGGTGTTAGCACTAATAAAAAATTACATTATTAGATTATTATTATGTTAAAATAAAGATAATTGTACAAGTGTATATGTATAGTGCATTGCTTTTAAAAACAATCTTAGACACCTGTTTATACATATTATTATGATCTAGTATGCACAACGTTGAAATTTTATAATAATTAATATTATGGATGAAGCGGAAATAATATTCGAATCAGGTATAAATAAACACTTTTATACATCAGTCAGATTTGAACATGCCACCAGATGTAATAAGAACTGATGTTTAGTCACAAAACTATAGCTGAAATTAAGGTGATTCAGATTGGCAGTTTCCGTGATCCTACCTAAAGAGTTCGCTAACAAAATTCACAGAATAAACAAGAGGGTGAAAAAAGAGAATTATTCGTTTATATGAAGCCCCGGACAGAACATTACTTTATAGGAGGCCCCGTCGAGAGAACATTTTATGAAGAGTTAACAAGACAATATTTTATCCAGACTCCAGATGAAACACCTAGTTTAAGGCAGAAACTATCAACACTCATTAGTCCACATCAAGTAAAGTGCTAATTGTATCCGTATTCTACAGAATTTCACAATAGAATAATTCAGAGTTCAAATTAACTTAACAATTGGCGTACAATATGCCTTCATGGCCGCAGTGCGTCCATAACGCTAACAACAAAAAAATTAAACCATCAGCCAATTTTAGTAAATATATAATCATCAATTAATTTTATAATCATTTAAATTGTATAGTTTTTATATTAAAGAGTAATTGTTTTTTGAATGGTATAATTTATGAAGGGATTAATTTTAATTACAATAACATGTACATAAAGATATAAACTTTCAATTTTGATAAATAATTTCATATTATTCAAATTTAAACATAGTATTTTGTTTTTTCAGTTCAATACATTAGCTCTCCTATTATTAACAATCATAATGAATTTTTCTTTTATCTTTATTGTTTATTATGTTCTTTTCTTCTGCCAAATTTTAGTAAATTTAAATACCAGCTTAGGGAATAAAATACTAATGTACAAGCAGGCAATGGCAATAAATAATAATTATCTTGTTTGTTTGTTTGTTTCGATGTCTAGGCGCAAAACATCCAGGTCATAAGCGCCCGATCAACTAAATAACTTCATTTAATACTATTTGGATGATTGGTACAAAAAAATAAATAAATAAAAAAATAAATAAACAAATAAAATAAAATAAAATAGATAAAGAAATGGATTGATAAAATAAAATAAATAATTAAGGATAATAATAGACATTTATAGGTAATAAGATGTATAAAAAATGTATAAATAAATAAACTTTAAAAAATAGCAGTAGAATCAATAAAAAAAAAAAAAAAAAAAAAAAAGTGAAAATATAATAAAAATAAATAGATAAAAAGGAAATTAATAAATAAAAAAAAAAAAAAAAAAAAAGCCTGTCAAATGTGTTTTTTAAGTCTTTCACTATCCATAAACAATATCTTATTTTACTATTTATAAATAAGATAATTGTTATTCATTGCCATTGCCTGCTTGTACATTAGTATTTTATTCTCTAATGGGGAGAGCTGATATTTAAATTTACTAAAATTTGGCTGAAGAAAAGAATATAATAAACAATAAATAAATAAATATATATATATATATTTATATATACATTTCCAAGTCAATTTCAACCTTTTCCAAATCAAATTCAACCTTTTCCAAGTCAAATTAAACCTTTTCCATTTCAAATTAAACCTTTTCCAAGTCAAATTCAACCTTTTCCATTTCAAATTCAACTTTCGAATTTTTGTCAATTTTCGATTTTTTTCGAAATGAAGGCCACTTACTATATTAACGAAGGTATAGCTTTTGAAAAATACAAAAAAAAATTTGATAACGCGGTTGCATATCCATTTATTTTAACATTTTAGATTTTTTCAGTGTGATATTTCTATGTCATTTCCAAGTCAAATTCAACCTTTTCCAAGTCAAATTCAACCTTTTCCAGATCAAATTAAACTTTTTCCAAGTCAAATTCAACCATTTCCATTTCAAATTAAACCTTTTCCAATTCAAATTCAACCGTTTTCATTTCAAATTAATGTTTTAATTTTTTGTAAATCTTATATTTTTTTTTAAATAATGGCCATCCCCTCCCCCCTCCAATATGAAAGTCTATTATTATGCTCTCTCTAAGTAGAATTTTCACTTACGGATATCGATTTATTGTACCTATTCGGATTTATTAGGGACTAGTATTATGCTGTCCTGTACCTAGTTTTGAAAATAACCCCCATTTTAAGATTAACGTGACTGCGTTTCGAATCATTTAAGTTTTTTTGACTTATTCGATATAAGGGTGTATTTTTATGTTTCCCGATCAGTAAATTTTGAAAATGACATCCATTTTATGTTTACGCCACTGTGTTTTGACTTATTTAAGTTTTTAGAATTTATTCAATATAAAGGTCTACTTTTATGTTTCTGGAGCCGTAGATTTTGAAAACGACCTCCATTTTAAGATTAGGCCACCGCGTTTCGACTTATTTGAGTTTTTCGGATATTTTTCATATGAGGGTGTATTTTTATGTTTCCGGAGCTGTAGATTTTGAAAATGACCTCCATTTTAAGATTAGGCCACCGCGTTTCGACTTATTTGAGCTTTTCGGATATTTTTCATATGAGGGTGTATTTTTATGTTTCCGGAGCTGTAGATTTTGAAAATGACCTCCATTTTAAGATTAGGCCACCGCGTTTCGACTTATTTGAGTTTTTCGGATATTTTTCATATGAGGGTGTATTCTTATGTTTCCGGAGCTGTAGATTTTGAAAATGACCTCCATTTTAAGATTAGCCACTGCTTTCGGCTTATTCAAGTTTTTCGAATTTATCCAATTTAAAGGTCTACTTTATGATGCCGGAGCCTTAGTTTTTAAAACGATTTACATTTTAAGATTAGCCACTGTGTTTCGGTGTTTTTAGTGTTTTTGATTTTTCTTCGAATAAAAAACAAAATATGAAGGATTAATTTATTTTTCAATAAATAAATAAAAATATCTAATCAAAATAAATAAAATATGTATTGTCTCATTTTTAATTTAATTTTAGTTATCTTTTTTAATGTTGTGGTCTCCTGTCACAAAATTATAAGATTTCGAACAATTAGCTGAAAAATCTGAATACGGAAGGTTAAATTTATTACCAGCTGCTTTTCGGCTTTTTAGTTTGTATTCTGTGGTTAATTTAACTTTAGCTTCATAATATTTATTTATTTATTCATACTCGAAAACATATTGATGAAACTTTGTATTGTAAAAATCCAAAATGAAGCCTAATTATTCGAGATGCAGCGGCTTAATCATAAAATGGAGCTTAAATATTAGATAAATTTAAATATTAAAGATTAGAAAAATTTCAATGCGTCTCGGATAACATATAAGTAGATTCTTATACCGAAAAATTAAAAAAAAAAAACTTTTATAATCCAAAACACAGTGGCATAAACTTGAAATTGGGTCATTTACAAAATGGGGGAAATCTGCTGCTCCAGAAACATAAAATTAGACCTTTATACTTGTTAAATTCTAAAAACTTAAATAAGTTGAAACGCAGTGGCGTAATCATAAAATAGAGGTCATTTTCAGAATCTACGGTTCCGAAAACATAAAAGTAGACCTTTAAATTGGCTAAATTCGAAAAACTTAAATAAGTCAAAATCCAATGGCGTAATCATGAAATGGAGGTCATTTTCAAAATCTACAGCTCCGGAAACATAAAAATACACCCTCATATGAAAAATATCCGAAAAGCTCAAATAAGTCGAAACGCGGTGGCCTAATCTTAAAATGTAGGTCGTTTTCAAAATCTACGGCTCCAGAAACATAAAAGTAGACCTTTATATTTAATAAATTTTAAAAACTTAAATAAGTCAAAACACAGTGGCGTAAACATAAAATGGATGTCATTTTCAAAATTTACTGATCGGGAAACATCAAAATACACCCTTATATCGAATAATTAAAAAAAACTTAAATAATTCGAAACTCAGTCACGTAATCTTAAAAAGGAGGTTATTTTCAAAAACTACTCATACGATAACAGACCCACACATCGAAAAATTAAAGATAATTAAATAAATAAAAAAAGGTTGAATTTGAAATGGAAAAGGTTTAATTTGAATTGGAAAAGGTTGAATTTGACTTGGAAATGCTATATATATATATATATATATATATATATATATATATATATATATATATATATATATATATATATATATATATATACATAAATGTTTTTAGTAACCATGTCAAAAAAATAAATAAATAAATAAAAAAAAGAAAATTACTTTGTACCTTATATCTTTGTATTAATATTCAAATCACAAGATGCAGGTTAGGCACAACCCAAGAGGGACTAACTTGTCCTTTCCTTGAGAAAGGATTTTTAATTTTAGGGTTTTGGCATCATTCAACTTTGATGTTTATGGAATATTTATAAATATCTGTATATTTATCAGATATTCTGTAACCATCAGATGAAATTTAAATGGTGGGGTTAAAAAATGTAAAAACCTATACATACATTAATATGTAATATTTTTTTTTTTTTTCGGTTGGCGCTACAGACCATGAAGATCTTTGACCATGAGTGTGATCTCCTAGACCACATCCCGATTCCCGATTTAAAGTATGGGATAGGGTCACCAATCCTACGCCCGGTCGGTGTGAGTTGCTTCCAGTAGGCTGACAAGTCTCACATACCTGGGGGAAGGAAGGGGGATGAGGAGGAGGGGGGCGGCAAGGAATCTTGGGCAACGTGGTTTTCCTTGGTGGACGGTCACCCATCTAAGTTCTAGCCACAGTCAACGTTGCTTAACTTTGATTACCTATTGCAAGCGCCTTAGCCTGCAAGGCTACCCCAGCCCCCTTAATATGTAATATACGGATATAAAATGAGTCATTTATTCATGCCGATCTAGTCATGTATGTCTAGAAAACCTCGATATACTTCACCAATACTCTTACTCTATCAATTATGATTATTTATTTTTTTAATTTGAATAAATACTAGAATGAGATGTTTTTTTTTCTTGCTAGAGGTTTTCCAACTTCAAATAAAATATTTTATTTAAGAATTAGTTGACATAATATCAAATTGTCCATTTTTCGATGTTCACCAAACCTGTTTTTTTATGAGATGTATTTGTTCTACATATAAAAATTAACAATGTTATAAATAATAAAATATTGTTATTACTTATTAAATAAATTTTCAACATATTAATAGAATAGAACATATTATCATTATTTTGTATTTCCTTTAAGTTTATTCTACTTACTTTATTTTACTTTAAGTTTATTCTACCTACATGTTTTTAGATTTTACTTTTTACCTACATATTATTATTTTCCTTTTAATGTTAATAGCTTCTCGTACCCATTGTTATCTGCTTTTTTCTTAGCCCTAATAAAAGAAGCCTGAACTTTAGGCTGAAATGTCGGCAAAAATAAAAATATAATTTATTTATTTTTCCTTTTTTTTTTACAGAACACCCTAACCAATCTTCACTTCAATTATTCACTACAGTCAAACATCAATTCACAATTATCAACATATTAATAAATAATGGAATACATTTAAGATTTGAAATTGGTAAGAGTTATTTTCATATTATTTCTAATAAATTAGTCATGCTATCACAATTTTCAAAATTATATTAATTCTTATTAAGAAATCATCTTACCTCTAACGTTGACTGGTAACGCCATCTGTGCCACACACTTTATAACAGCAGCGCAGACAGCAGCACCAGCCACATCACCACGTTTATCACTCATTCCTTTACATTTCTTCAAGCAAAGACCACCAGAATCAAAAGTAACTCCTTTTCCTGATAAAAAGATGTATCTTATCTTACTTTACATAATTTAATAGGGAAAAAATCTGGTATGATGCGTGCATCATACAACTTTAACTTACCATCCTTCTTTTAGGAGAAATACATATTTTCAGACAAAGGGAAATGAAAGTAAAAATCACAAACGGTTCAAAATATTTTTTAAAACAATCAATTATTATGTTTTCACAGCCGTATAATGTATTATACTTATGTTTATTTTTTGCTGATCATTGCCTTTAACGATTGTATACTGTAATTATTTATTTGATTATAATAAATAATCAAGTGCCTCGAAATATTTTTAGTCTGCTACTGACAATGAAGGGAGCTAAATTTAAATATATTTCATTGTAGGTATTTTTATTTATTTAAGCATTGGTAAATATGTATAAATTTAAATTTCTTGTTATGTAATCCATTCAATTAAATATTAAATAATATCAACGCTAGAATTTATGAAAATCGCACATGCTTATGTATATTACTCGGCTGGGCATTCGGGTTTTTGTCTCTTCTCTATTAATAACAAATTATATTAGATTAATTCTCCTTTAGATAATTATAGAATTCTTTTATATTTCATAATTAACCATTTTTTATGTAGGTTCCATTGTGAAATGATTAATTATTTTTAATCAATTAAATCAAATAAAAAAAATTAAAGGTACTTTAGAGGGCATTTAGAAAATTAGGCATTTAAGCCCCGATAGAGAACATCAATGAGAATAAGACCTACATTATATTTAAAAATGTTTATTTTTACACACATATATTTACACTTAATACATTATGTAATGAATTTAATCAAAATCATTAGAGCTGTTTTCCAGAAAATTGTAAAAATGTGTAAAATTGATGATATAAAGTGGCATTTCAGATTAGTCGATTTTGACAAGAAAGTTCCTGTAGCATCCCAGGCATGTAAAAACCTTAAATACGCAATTTTAGTTCCGTACGACTTTTCCTTTTTGAGCTAGACTGTTTGCATAACTTGGTTATTTGGACTCAGGGGTCCTCAAAACAAGTTTTTCCATTGAAAAGTGGGATTTGAAAATTTTCACGATTGAATTTTACTATTTACTATTTATTATTTGAAATTTACTATATATTCTACATTTAGGTAAGTGATAGTAAAAATATGTAAACTTGAAAAAATAAGTAACAAGTAGAAAACTGAAATTAAATAATGTAGAATCATGTGTAAAGAACACTGTACAACTCTACACCACCAATTACCAATTACACCTGGTACAGTAGTCCCTTTTCTCGAACTTTGATTTTCTTTATTTTTATTTATCAAAAGATGCTTCTAATTAAAACACGAAAATAAATATTAAAGTATAAAATCTTGATTCAAGGCTTAATTAAACAGCAGATGTTCTGAAGAGCTCTGTGTTAGGTTTTAATTTATAAATTATCATTATCATTATATCTTCCCCTTTATGCTTGATTTACTAACTTAGTTTTTGAGAGATAGGTTCATTACTTATAATTGAATATATATGACAGGTATAAATATAAAATTATAAAAGAATTTTTAAATTTTTACTTTCACTTACGTATATATGTAATATATACGTAAGTGTAAGTATTGCGATCGAGAAAATTTTTGAATCTGAGTTTTTGACGGATTTATACGTTATGAGGTACCCTGAGTCGAAATGAACAAGTCCCGAAAAATGGTCTGTGTGTCTGTGTGTTTGTATGTTAGCAGTCTAGCTCAAAAACGAAAAGTCCTATGAAACTGATATCACGTATTTAAGATAGATATGCCTTAGTTGTGACGGCAACTTTTTCCTTAAAATCGGCTAACCGGAAGTGCCACTTTATATCAACGCTGAAACACATTTTCACAGTTTTCTCAAAAACGGCTCTAACGATTTTGATTAAACTCAGTGTATCATTGTATAATTAAGTGGTCTTTAATATAAATTAGGTCTTATCCCCATTGATGTCACTTTACAGGGCTTAAATGCCCAATGTTCATATACGTCTTCCTCTAAAGTACCTTTAATATGGTTTATTTTAAAAAGATAATTATTTCGCATTATTCAGAGTTACGAAAAAATGCTAAATATAACTTTTGAAAGAATTTGATAAGTTAATAAAGGAGAAAAAAAATAAAAATGCAGAAAAATGTAGCTATAGACTGTAGCGCCTAAAAGAATGTACCGATTTCATTGAAACTTCGCTAAAGTCATTTTCTCGACAACCTTCAAATTTATCTATATAAAATTCATCAGCGAAAAGAAGCTGAAAAAAAGTTACGAGGGATGGTAAAATTAAATTCCGAATAACTCAAAAAGTATATACTTTTTTGGGAATGTTGTATATGATTTTCTAAAAGTTTATGGAATAGCCTAAAAAACAAAAAAAAAATCGTTAAAATCGGATAATTAGGAGATAAGATATGGTCTCTAGTTTTTTTTTAATACGTTCTGCTGCAATGGTTATATCCTTTCTTTCGGTTTTTGAATTTCGAATGTGTTAATATGGTAATGCTAATTTTTTTAAAATGTATTTAAAATCCACCTAAGCAAGTTGATGACATTGTTAAAAAAAATATTTCAGTGTACTTGTGTGAAAGAAGAAATAAAATATAAAATCATTTCATGGATGTATAAATCATGTGTTTATAATATTAAATACATTTACTGTAGGTTAGTAATTATTTATTAAATTTTAAATTGGTCCATAATCGTCTTATCTTTTTGGCTACATTCAAGGAATTGCTGTGTTATATATGTTTGAGATGTTATATTGCGTTCCTGGCGTTTGAGAATTTAAAGAGAAAAAAGGAATTTTTTTTTTATTTTGGAAAAGTGTTTATTATGCTATGTCTATTGTTTAATATGGCTTATTGTTGATAATTTGTGGTATTGTTATGAAGGGGAAGAAAAAAAAAAAGAAAAATATAATATAAAATTAATGTCCGTATGGATTGATAAGTATGCTGTGTACGAAGCAACCCTATGTAGTATTGCAGCATTACTTTTAATAAAGTATTTCTCTATAAATAATTAGGTATTAAAGTTAATTCCAAAATAAAACTTTTTATTAGTGAATAATTCGATAGATCTTCTCTTTGTGATATTCCACTACCATTTCATTGTACTTGTGTGAAAAAAGAAGTGAAATACAAAAATATTTCATAGATACGTTTATAACTCTAAATATATTTACTGTAGTTTAATAACTCTCATAATATATTTAAATATCTATCGTCCGTTTATTCCGAAAAATCATCCTTTTGACCTGTCTATGACAGACACTGCAATTCTCTTAATTACGTTTTAATAAACTTTGCAATGGAAAATAACAGTTTAATGACTTATAGTCGTACAATCCATAATCAATGGATCGAACAATCCATAATCAACGAATCGTACAATCCATAATCAACCGGTGATATAATAAATATGACTTTTGTTATTAATAGCATTTGTGTTTTTTTAGCTTTAGCTCAGTTTAAAATGCAATTTAAAACATTTTATAATAGCCTAACATGGCCAGAAAATAATTTTATTCAAAGTTCAAAGAGTAAGTGAAAGTTGTGTGTTGCGCGCACCAGATTTTTATTATTCAGTGCTAAAAATTGTCTGCGGCTCAAATCAAGTTTTTTATAGTAATAAATCTGCAATATTTTTATGTAATAAGAAAATATACTCATAATTAATTTATGAAAACACTTTACAATAGCAAAGAGAATATTTTGATTAAACAGCCATTAGAAACCAAAAATATAAAACTCAATATTCCTAGAATATCAGGGTTAAAAATGAAATAACAAGATTAATATTAATGAAAATATCACTTAATTTATTAATCAAAAAATGTTATGATAATTAATGAATCAAGATTACTTGGTTACTTACCTACAAAAACTATAGGTTTATCTTCAGGCTTACCACCACAGTAACCCATTTCGATCATAAGTGGCTCTTCACAAGAGCCTTTGGCAATTGTAAGCAAGGCTGCCATCTTCTTTGCTTCAAGCCAATCTCTATCACGCACTTCTACTTGTATACCACAGGGACATAATGCATCTATCACCCACTAAAATAAATATGATGATATACCATATCTTTATAATTAGTGATTGATAATATAACTAGGCGAACAAACCTGAGCAAAGATTGTAGGGGTCATTAAATTTCCTGGAGTTTCTTCCAAGCGCCTAGCAAAGTTTTGGCAATCCGATTTAATCATTCCTCTTGACCAACCATCCCTATCAATTATAATTAGAATTCTTTAAAAATTAAATAGTCAAATGAATGGCATTAAATAATTATTCCAATTTTGAAAATATATAACGTCATAGATTTGTAAGACAAATAGATTTAAGAAATTAAAGTTGAAATTAAGTTTTAACAATTTTTTTGAACATTTAACCTTATCTATAAATACTATTTATTAATATTTTTTTGTTCATTTTCCGTACCTCATTTAATACTTCATCAAAACCAATGATTGAGCCATCATTTTGAAGATTACCTTAACCACTAATGATGGGAAAGTAATACATCTTCCAGAAAAAAACAAAAACATAAAAAAGAGTTATGATAATTTTATTTGAAAATAACCTAAATATTATATAATTTATTGTCGGTTACACACAACCACCTGAAGGTAATTAATTCCTTCCTTCCCCCCCAAAAAAATCTAAATGGAACCATTATTATTAATAATGGTCTATTGGAAATGAATACATTTTTGGTCTATTATTTTCAATTAAAAATCTTTGTAATCAATTAAAAGTAAAACCACATCATCTCATATATAATCAGAGAGGAAATTATCAGAAACTATCAATGGTTTTTTTGTCGAGGAAAATTACTCCATGATTCCTTGTTCATTAATTTTCTAAATGTGATTTGCATTTTTTAATGCAAATAATTTTTACAGCATAAATAAATTATTGGTGGCAACACTGGCTCAGAACAATGAGCAGTAAGGAAACATGCTTGGAATGAGGTTGGTCATTAGTGTGGCATCCATCGGGGTTAGGTAGGATCTTAATTCCTTTGAAAATCCTATGATCTTATAACATCTTTGAACTATTTTTATTTAGGCAAATATAACAGAACAAATTAAAATACAACGGTACAGTTCATCTGTTTTATATCGATAATATTGACCACCAGAAGTTGTTGATTGAATATCTTGATACTATTTCATATATAATACTATTTTTTCTTATTAAAATTGCACCATTCCTGTATATCTACTTCATTAACAGCTTTCATCAATGTTCTCATATTTATTTTCATAGTTGGGTGTCTTCACTTTTTTTTTTTTCCTTTTGGCTCTACAGACCTTTTAGATCTTTTGCCACTTGAACCAGCCTTCTCCACCACTGCTTATTTTGGGCTACAGCTTTCCAGTTTGTGGCATGAAGCCCAGCCGTATCTTTGTTGATCCTATCTGTCCATCTAGTTTTTGACTAGATTTTTCTCTGGCATTCATTGTTGTCTAAAGGTGTCTGATGGATTGCTTTGAGCTCAACCTCTCACCCATCTCAACCTCCTTGCCTTCATATCACAAGCTATTGACTGACCGAGTTGATCATTTATTGAGGTTATTGTGGAACCGAGGTATTTGAATCTGTCTACATTTGGGAATGATTTAGAGTTCACACAGATCAAGATATTAGGGTGAATTTTTTGACTATCATATATTCTGTTTTATTTTCATTGACTTGTAGTCTGATTTGCTTTACTTCTCTTATCAAAGTCTGAACGAGTCTCTTAATATCCTCTTTATTGCTTCCGAGGATAGCTATATCATCTGCCTATGCTCGGATTTTATGTTTCATTCTGTATGTTTCATTCTTCAGATTCTGTCGTGCACTCCTCCATCTTGGCATGATGGAGAACAGCATGAACGACAGTTTATCTCCCTGACTCAAGCCTGTTCGAACTTCAATTCAATCAAAGGCTTCAGATATTTCTCCTTGTATCAGTGTAGGGGTCTCCAAACTATGGTCTCCAGGCACGCACCTTCAGTCCAGCCCACGAAAGTTTCTTTGATAAGACTGTAAAATTTGAAAACTATTTAAAAATATGAAATTTAGCAAATTACTCAGAGATTACTAAAACATTTATTGCATAGGTTTCTTTTTCTCTTAGATTGCTCATTTCACAGCTGAAGTGATAATTAGAGAACAAGATATCTTTTTTACATCACTAGCTACGACCCCATGGCCCCGTGGAGGTTTCAATGCAGCCCAAAGAACATAGTCAAGGTCTATATTTGTATCTTGCATTTAGGAAAATATGTACATGCCTTTGTCAACCTTACTGATTCCCGGGAATACCCAGCTCAGTCATGAACAAAGACAGTTTCCGTCCAGGGAGTCATATGCTGCTTTGAGATAAAAAAATAAGGCATGTACGTCCTGATTTACTTTCCATCGTTTTTCAAGTACTTGTTTTAGGATGAATATTTGGTCTATCCAAATATCCTTCCTCTCCTGAATTGGTGGTTGCTTATTATGTTTTCATAATACAGATATATTTGTTTTAGCAGAATATTAGTCATTATTCTATGGGCAACTGTAAGAAGTGTTATGCTTCTGTAATTACCCCATTTATACACGGAGTCCTTTTTAAGGATCGGACAGGTCAGCCCTAGTATCTGTTCCTCTTTCCATATTTTCTGAATTAGTTTTAACAGCTTGGCTCCTAGGTGTTCTCCTCCATCCTTGAACATTTCTGATGATAGGTAGTCTATTCATGGATAGACAATCTACATTCTAACCTGTCGATAGCTATATCCACATCCAGAATATCCGGTTTTCCAACCTCAAGTTGGTCAAGATTCTCAGTGGGTTCCATTTGTGGTATGTCCTTGATTGAGGAGATGCTGGAAGTGTTTCTTCCGAATGCTTAAGATCTTTTCTTTTGATGCCGTCAATTTGCTATCTTCCCTCACATTAGCGTATTTCTCTCTGTATATCTTATCCTTTTTTTCTTGTTATCTGCGAAGAATTCACGTTTATATTGCCAGCCAGCCAGTTTTCCTCACTTAGTTTGCAATCTTTCTTTGAGTAATTCTCTTTTTGCTGTTCTTATTATTTTGTTTGTCTTTTTCCTGGTGGCTATGCACTTGTCCAGCATAACTTGATCAGTTTTTGCTAAGCAGAGGACTTTTATTTTTCTTCTTTCCTCTACCGCCTTTTGGAATGTTTCTGTGAACCATTTCTTAGCTTTTCTTTTTTTCCTGAATCTCTATTACTTCCTTAGCTGTTTGTTTTAGCCCTGACTCTAGTGCCTCCAAATGTTGGTCCACCGTGAGGCCTTCTGCGTTCAGAGTTAGAATTTATTTCCAGCTCAATTTGGAATTCAGTCTGTGCTATAGCGTTTTTCAAATTACTGACTTCATACCTCTTTCTTTCCTCTTGGTCCCCAATTTGGTGGATTCGCTTCACCCTCTGACAGAGTTTGATTCTAATCAGAATATGATCCGAATAACAGTCTGCTCCTCGATATCTTCTTATGCCTTGTATGGAGCTTTGATACCTCTTATCTATCAGCATGAGGTTTTGCAGAATTTGGCCTTTTGCACCTTTAGGGCTTACCTAGGTGTACTTATGTTGTATGTCCTGGTGTGGGAAAATCGTATTGCTTACTACTAGAACTTTTGCTGCTGCCGGACTGATGCATCTCACTCAATTATAACTGCTGGTTTCGTGAAAGCTTTGGCCCCCGATGATGAGCTTGAATTAGGTTTCTTGACCTATCTTGCCATTAAAGTCTTCCATGACTACTTTTATTTCATATTTTGGAGCCTGTCCACAACTTTTTATAAATGATCGTAGAAATTGTCCTTCATCTGTTCTTCTGTTGGTGCATACACATTAATAATCGTATTATTAAATCAATGAACTGTTACACGCAACACACTTATCCTTTCATTAACTGGGGTAAAGTTTATTGCTGACTTCCTTATGTCTGGACTAACTATGAATCCTGTGTCTTCACTTAAATATCCCAAATAAAAACGATACCAAGCATGGATATTTTACCACCCAGACTGTTTAAGTTTTAAACCATTTTCTATATGTAACACATTTCTAATAACATGTTCTATTGTTAAGTCAAATAGAAGAGGTTCAAAGGGTCACTTGGTATTGAATCCGAATGAACCTCAAATTTCTTGGAAGATTAATCACAGATTTGAAATTTATTGAAAGTTTTGGTCATCCATATCCTGTCTACATTTACTAACTCCTTGGTATTCTCTGAAAAGAGGGAATTCCTTTGAACAAAGTGAGATATCGGGGTTTACAGTATTTAGAAAGAACTGAATTCCTTTCAAAATAAAGTCAGGAAATGTTTGTTATTTTTCATTTGCAAAATTACTAAGCTAGCTTACGTTTTGTCCAGAAACTTATAAGTTACACATTTTTCATATATGCCCATTAAAATATAAATAAAACTTATGCGGACTTGTCTTCCATTTTTACTAGTCAAAGTTTTGGGGCTCTATCTCTTAGACTTTTTATTATTAATATTCATTTAATAATGTCCTTATTTATAATTGAACAGCGATATGTACTCTGACTATGACAAGAATATCAGATTATCTTATAGGCTAGTGATATATTCTAGACAGAATTAAAAGTTCAAGATTTATTCTATTTGTCTTTCTATCCAGGCCAAATTCAAACCAGCATTGCTCATCACTTAAGAATGAAGTTCCTCTACATAATTAATTGGCAATCACAACCTCAAATATAATTTAAAAATTAAAACTAATGATTACACTAATACCTGTCATCGCTGTTGTACAGATCTACCTTGGCGATTGGTTTATGGTCGGAAGGACTTCTCACATCTTGGTATTGCCAAACTGCCAAATTTGCACCTTCTGCAGCAGCTTCGGCATTTGTAAATTCCTCTACCAATATATTGTTAATACCCTACAAATATAATGAAAATTTCATTCATAATTCTGTAATAAAGATGTAGTCTTCTAAATCATGGTAGATTATTGTTAGGAACAGGTAAATTGTAACTCCTATGTTCAAGTAACTAAACCATTTGCTATGATTATACACTGACTTCACAAGGTGATATAGTTTACTAGCTGATGTACCCGTTGTCGACGGGTGTATAGTTAAAATTTGAGAATCATTTTTTGAGATGGACTTTGTATTATGGGGAGAGAAGGATCCAAATTCAATTTCATAAAATTGGGTCAAGAGGGGGAGGGGGTTGTTTTGAATTTTTTATGGCGGGGCTTATGGAAGTCAAGGTTTCGCAATAGTCATAACAAAAACTTTCTTATTCGGCTATTTGTTTAGGTACCACACAACTAAACCAATCACCACCGATCCATTAAAATTTTGATGATTGTGGAGATTAAAGAGATTGTGGAGTTGATTAATTAATCAAAAAGAATTGTAGTTTCTTAATTATTTAAACTCTACCAAGTTTATCGCTGGCAAAATAACCAAAATAACATTGGACATTGAGTCACCTTCATCCGTGTAAAATTAGAACTTTTTCTGAATATTGTGGCGGGTGGGGTGAAATTGTTGGAGTTCATTATTTCCTGATTTCCGGCTAATCCGTTTGGTTAATCCTAAAAATGTATACGGCTTGGGAAGTTGAATTGAATGACACAGTCAACGGAAAGATCGAACAAAATTGAAAAATGAGTATTTTTTATCTGTTTTATGTGATAACGCGTTACAGATGTTCGGTATTCCGGATTTTTCCCGTTGAGTTGTGATAATTTTTTCGATCAGTTGAATAGTACAACTTTTAAATGTAGCTCGGGGCAGAGTAGGTTGGGATTAGAATAGAAGTAACTGCCTAACCGAGATCTCTAAACAAATTACTGAAGAATTCATAACTTTGGTTCTACTCAATATTTTGTTTTCATTTAAAGCCTATATTTTAAGTGAATCAAACCTAAATGTAATTCCAAAAGTCTACCATTAGCCATTGCCGAGCATACCCCTGACAAAATTTCGTTGGACAATGTCGACATCCAGACAGACAAAAAAATTTTTAAAAGTGGATTTGGTGTCTGTAATGCATAAAATGGAAAGATATCATGAAACGGGTTGATTCTATGCAATGTACAGACAAACCATTGTTTTATTTATATAGATGTTCTTTAACCTATAAACATATGTTTATTATTAACATTTATTATCAACGTTAACCGAGATCTCTAGACAAATTACTCACAAATTCATAACTTTGGTTCTACTCAATATTTTTTTTTTCATTTAAAGTCTATGTTTTAAGTCAAGCAAACTTTAATATAATGTTAAAATTTCAAAAGTCTACAATAAGCCATTGCTGAGCTTACCTCTGACAAAATTATGTTGGACAATGTCGACATCCAGATAGACAAACAATTTTTTAAAAGTGGATTTGGTGTCTATAATGTATAGAATGGAAAGATATCATGAAACGGGTTGATTCTATGCAATGTACAGACAAACCTTTGTTTTATTAATATAGATGGAGAACTGTTGAAGAATAAAATGAACGTATTGTGAAAAAAGTGGATAGGTCTACTTTTGAAAGTAATTGCTTGATGGGAATTTTCTTTTCTTTTTTAAAAACTAAAGTTATAGAATATAACTAACAATAATTTATTATATCAAACCGTGTACAACAATAATTTATGTTAACGTTATATTAAAACATATTTTATAAATTTTTTGATTTGTAAGTTGATCGTAAAATCAAACATCTGAATATCTACAACAGACCTATTTATTTCGCCAGTATATGTTATTTATTTAGACAGTTTAATTTATTGTATACTTGTACTGTTACACATTACCTAGAATACTCTGTTGACTAATACTTCTTTTAATATTTTATTAATTTATTAATATTAGTAAAATATTATTAAGAAATAGAATATTTAATAATATAATTACTGAATCTTGTAAAGCTCTAGCCCCAGTGGCAGCAGCCCATCGAATATTTTCTTTACATTCATCAAGAATTTCTAAAGTATTATAACCTGCCCCTTCTTCTCCTAATCCAGCTACAGCAATGGAGTAGAATTCATCACCTGTATGTAAAAAATTGGTTTTTTATCATTATATATATAAATTTTGATTAAATATGAACAATACAATGTAAAAGAACTAATGCAAATATTATTACAGTGAGAAAAAATGTTCAGGTCAAAGATGTCATGGTACGACAATGAAGTATTAAAATTTTCAATATACAATTAAATCTTAGATGCATGCTTAATAAAAAGTACAAACCTAAATTTGTGAAGACCTGTGCCGTTCCTTTTGAAATGCCAGCACCACTGAAAAAAAAAAAAATTACTCCATACTTTTTCAATGCTTCACAAATCACAGACAGGTCTAAGGGGGAAAGGGGTCTATCGGGCTGAAGCCCTCCTCCCAAAATGGTAAAATATAACCATGTTTTATGGAAAAAAAATGTTTAAAAATTATCTCTTAAAGTATTATTGTTCGTATAATTACATTTAACAGGACTTCAAAATCACTTAAACACCATTTTATGTAGGTAGTTAGTTTCTTACTTTTTTTTTCAATGTAATTATCGTTATATATATGAAAGAAAAAAGCTTTCGGGCTGAAGCCCCCAAAAATTAAATCCTGGATTAGCTAGTGCAAACAGCCAATGGGGGGAGGGGTATTAACTCCATGAACCTTTTTACACATTTCAAGCTGCTCCTACTCACTTAAATTGTGAAATACAAAACTTTGTTACCGTCAGATGAGATTTACTTGTCATTTTGATATTTAAAAAGTACTGTCACATACATGCTAATAATCATTATAATCGTACAAGATTTTCGATATAAAATGTCAAGATCCAAGAATATTTCTTTTATTGTTATATAAAATACAAATGCCTTTCACTTGGGAAGCCATACTGAAATGTTAATCTGATGATGCAAAGTTAATCTGTATTCTAAGGCTCAGCTCTAGCTAGCAAGAGTTGCTGTATAATTATGATATCCTTGCTCAGAATATGATGTTAATATACTGCAAAAGTTGTGCCTGTCTAAAGCTGTCTGGTGACTAGATATTTATTCTAATCTAAAAGTGCTAAGTTATATTTTATCTTACCCTTTTACTAGTGAAGAAATCTTTCCTCCCATTTTATCATCAAATATTTTAGCAGCTTTTGTGAATTTGAGTTCTCCTGGATTACAGCCATCATAAGCACCCAACACTAAACCTTTCTGAAAAGAGACTTATATTTATTAAATCTAGTAAGCGCATTAGTTTATTGGTAAAATTTGTTCATTTTTGGCATAATATCATTCACATAAAACTATCTTAATATCACTAAAATAAAAAATAATTGAAATATTTGGTAATTAACCAGTATTTGATTAGAAATTGGTTTTTTAAATACAGTCAGAAACATGAAATGGTATTGTTCTGGCTATTTTGTAAATTTTGCAGTTGTTCCAGCTAAAGAATACATCATAGAAGGAGTTTTAAGCATGTACTTGACTCAATCCATAAAGTAAGCTAGCCAAAACATGTCCTACTTTGGATGAAAGGAACACATTTTCCAACATTAAAAAGTTTTTTTCCTAGAAAGAATCTAAGGAAACCCAAAAGATGAAATGTTCTTCAACTTGAAGCAGGTGAGCAAACCATAATTTTAAATATTTTTTTCCTTGAAAAAGTTTCGTTTTTTTAAGGTAACAAATATTCACAGTTAAATTATGTTCACTTTAAAAATCGTGTTGATTGATATTTCATCAATCAACATAACGATTTAAACAATTAAATTATTTATATCAATGATATAGGGTAGGCAAATTTCGCATGGGCGAGAGCACTAGCGGATAAAGGATTTAGTTTTGGGGGGGCTTCAGCCCGATAGATTTTTTTTTTAAATATATAAAGATAATTAATTAGGAAGAAAAATAAAGGAACTGACAACCTATATGAAATAGAGTTTCAGTGATTCTTGAAGTACTATTAAATGTAATTACACGAACCATAATAGTTTTAGAGGTAATTATTAAATATTTTTTTCATAAGACATGGTTATATTTTACTATTTTGGGAGGGGGGAGAGAGGGAGCTTTAGCCCGAAACCACCTCCCCCTCCCTATAGATCCTCCGTGAGCGAATGCCCACCACCCTCAAGATCGATGACGCAACATCCCAAGAAAGTTTATTACCTACTCTTCTTAAAAATGGTCAGAGTGAAAGTTGATTTATAAACATTGTTATACTAGCTGGGGATCTTTCCCTGCGTTTTCCTTTCGCCCTGATTTAAAGTACTTTCGAATTGAATTTCCCCAAAATATGTTTTTTTTTTTTTAATCCCAAACCCCTAAAAATATGACCTCTTCCATAATTCGAAACCTCGTGGAAAAGTGGCCATTCAATAATTTTGATGGCGCAACTTGTGCCACATCACCACCACCTTCTGGGCACCCCCACGTAAGGGAATATCATACAGTTAATATTTTGTGGTCTAATATATAATATAACTACTCTAACAGTTAATATAACTAGGTCTAAAATAATATTATAGTAGTGGAACTGTCCAATTTTCGTTCCGACTGATTTCTCCCTGAGAATAAATATGTTTCGGACACAGTAATGACATGAAAGAAATATATAAATACATGATATGAAGGAATGATAATATTAAAATTCTTATCATATTAAAGGTTATAACAATCTTCTTCCGATCACTAGCGGATCCAGAATTTCATTTTTTTTGGGGGGGGGATGCTTCAGCCCGAACGCTTTTTTTTCATAAAAATAACGATAATTACTTTGGAAAAAAAAAACTAACTTCCTACATGAAATGGTGTTCAAATGATTCCTAAAGTCCTTTCAAATGTAATTACACGAACAATAATACTTTAAGAGATGATTTTTTTCCTTAAAACATGGTTATATTTTACCATTTGGGGGAGCGGGGCTTCAGCCCGAAAGACAATAAAACTAGAGAAAAGAAAACAAATTAGTAATGCAAGTGAATTTCAAAGAAACCCGAAAGGTTGATCATACTGTTATCAAACCAAATTTGGTGTTAAGTTTTTTAGGTAATTTTTTCTAGAGAAAATTAACTATACATTTTCGTCTATCAAGAGTGGAATAGCTTTTAAAATTAATTAGTTTGGATTGCCAGTTTTTTTTTTTAGCCATCTATGAATACTGATAATAATAAGAATCTAACCTTATTCGATCCGCCCCCACACTCTGCGTATGTACGTCTTGGAATTATAAGTTTCGCTACTCCAGGCTTTAATTTTGACATTATTTAAAAAAAATAAACTTGTTTGAGTGATTATACTAAATAAATGTTACTGATAATTTTGAAGAGCTTTCATTTATATTAAAGTATGATCTGTTTGTATTTTTTTTAGATTTTAATACCGTAGATTGAATAAAATGTTGCAGCTGTTCACATGATAACTTATTGAAAAAAGAAATAGTATTTTGTTTATATAAGGATCGCGCATTATAGTTTAATCTCGAAGATTCAATTTTTATTTTTAAATTGTGAATTTTTTGTATTGTAGATTGTAATTTAAAAAGCTCAAAACTATAGTCAATTGCATATGCGTAATAATTTGTTGAGTTATTTTATCAAGTCGGCCAAGTGATATGTCAAAAGATATTTCGGAAAATGTTGAAAATATTTTGGTTGACACAATGTTACACGAGGACGTTATGGTCATTAAACATTTGCGGCGTGGGTACCTGAGCGATCGGTTCTGAATGTTGTGGGTTAGATTCCCACCTGGGTCGGGTAATATTCATTTCTTAGCGGCCCCGGAGAACGAATCTAGACAATTTTCCCCCTGGTAAGTACTCAGCGGGAACTTGATGGCATCAAGGTAGCCGTCAGGGATTGGCAAAAGGGACAGCGAGGTCCACTTGCTCGACTTGTTCCCCCCACCAGAACCAGAAATGTTACGGTTTGTATTTATATTTATGTTGCCTTACAGAGGCTTGCGAGGAAAAAGTATGCTAATGTCAGATAAAAAAGTGATTCGTTTGAATTGAAGTTATTTACAAATTACATCTGGATTGGAGAAATAATCATAGTCAAGGTATTTAGAAGAACATCTGTTATTATAAGTTAAAAGCGGTCGACCATATAGCGGTTGGGCACTAGACCATACCGATCATACAGTAAATTGGATTCCGAAAGTAGGTAGGGGTATCGACAAAAGAAAAACACAGAAAAAAAAACACGGTTACAGTCAATGGTTTATCTATTCCACCTTACCTGAAGTATTAAAAACTTAACAATAAACACAGTGCCGGCCTCAGGGTAGGACAACCAGGGCAATCCCCCCCCTTTAAAGGTCCCCGTTGGTGACGCCGGCAGATCTTCAGGGGTGCTCACCACTTGTTAGAAATTAAAAAAATCTGGTGCGCGCAACACACAACTTTCACTTACTCTTTGAACTTTGCCCAACTTAATAAAAGTCTAATTTATTCTTAAGTGAAAGTAAAAATACAAAATTTATTAAAATAATTAATTTTAGCCTATCTATAAAGCAACTATATTAGAGAAATGTTGGACGAAATAAAATTCAAATATTACATAATACAAAACAGTTTAAGAAATAAATTAAAATTGTTTAGAGAGGCGAGATGACACCATTGCCGGAGGGTGCCGAATGTCTAAGGCCGGCAATGAATAAAAGTTAAGAAAATAAATATAAGTATAAATATAATAAAATATAATATAATAAATATAATATAATAAAACGTAATTCTCAGAAGAATCTACGGGCTTAGGAGAACACCTGAAGGATACAGGTTGAGGTCAAATGAGGAAATATATAAGGAAACAACTGATCTAGAAACTGACGCTAGAGTGGGAAGGCTGAGGTTCCATGGCCATATGATAAGGATGAATCCTGAAAGACAACCATAAAATCTATCAGCGCATCCACAGTCATAAGAATGTAAGCGGGTATTTTAAGCAGATTAAGGATGATATGGACCAAGTGGGGCTAAGAGACCAAGATTGTTTAGACAGAGATGAGTACAGGAAGGCGCTCAAGAGAATAACGGTTCTTGCGGGCAAGAAGCGCTCCAAAAAGGGTGTTGCGTAGTCTGAGGAGAGAAAACGTCAGCATGCGGAGCTCATGAGGGGCATATGGGAGAAGAGGAGGCAGATGAAGAGGAAGCATTAACTTCATGGTATTCGCGTGATCTTTAAGGCCTGTTCGTGGGAAAAAAAATAATAATAAAACGTAAAAATATAAATATAATATAATAAAATAAAAATAAAATGCATTTTCTTGCATAAAACCGTTGTAACTAATTACCACCTATTGATATTATTAACTTTGTTTTATGTTCGTTAGATTCAGCATCACACACAAATTACATATAAAATGACACCTCGTTTACCTAGATAGCTGAGTTGAAATTTTCTCTTCTCCCCAACTTCATCGCCCCATGAGTGAAGAGTATATGACGTATAAATAACGAGCATTTATCAGTTACCATTTAGAATGATATAAGAAACATTTCTGTGAAAAAAAACTTTGAAATTATTCCAAAGAAAAGCTCCTTTTTGAGATAAAGGTATTGTACTAAAACCAAATACTTCAACATTTCTGATTAATTACTAATATTTTCTCGGATATATTCTTTGAAAACGGACTTGATCCCCGCAGAAAATCCACGATGAGTCACATTCAGCAGTAGAAGGAATGTTAATACACTCCTCGCCACCATTTTAAATGGGTCGCTCCTCTCTTGTATAGACATTGTTAAGTTTCTTGGTCTTTATCTTGGGGAAGTCATAACGGAAGTTAACATACGTCGTGAAGTTATAACGTCAAAACGCATATTGACATGGTCATTCCACAAAAATCAACTTAAAAAAATTACATAAATAAGATGAAGCTACTAAAATAATTAATAATTAACCTAATAAAATAAAGGGAGCGGGGTAGCTCAGTGGTAGGGCACTAAGCTTCCAATGTTTGAGGTCCCAGGATCGAATTCCGGCTCATGGCAGACAACTTATTTATTCTGTTTCGTTGGCCATGGTGCGACCTTTGGCTAAGAAGACCCTCTTTGGGCACATCCAGCATCTATAAAGTGGGTACCCGTAATTAAATAATTGATTAAGAGGGAAAACCTAGTGGTTGAGCTTGATCCTGGCCTGATCCCCTTCCTGCACAACCTAATTTCCTTTAAACAATACTTTCCCTAAATAGTACTTAACCCAAGACCCTTCATAGGTTTTAATGATACTGCGTTTTTTTACTAAAATAATTGGAGTTCCGACAGGGAAATCCTACTGAGGATATATTAGGCGCTGATTCTGGAATTTCAATCTGGGAAAAAATGGTCGGTCCTTCTAAGCGCCCTCCGATGTATCAATAATCCCAAATCGGAAATAAACATTTCATCAGAGAAATCCTGAGGATATATCAATATCTCTGAAAACATCGAACAGGATGGTAGTTTTTGTATAAATACCAAGCCATTTTGGCATAACGGCGAATAATATAGTTATAGAGTCGCGGCATTTGATAGATAAGGTTCATGTTCCTTCCTTCGAGCATAGAAGGTTTTAATCCTTTGAGAGAAGTCATATGGATCGAATGGCAAACTTCATGGGACTAACAAATTTCAAATAAACCTCTATTGGTTATACTAATCGTAAGGTAGTAGACTTGTTCCAGACCGTCAAGGAGTGTGAAAGCTGTCATCACTCGTTTCATAAGAGGTATCTGCCGCTTCACCAACAGCTATCCAATGACCTAAGAGTCAGCACGAATATTTCAGGATTTCCAAACAGTACTAACAGTGCGGCATATATTCGAGGGCTATCCTTACCGTCACAAAAGTGAAAACGATTCACCATAGACCGTTTAAATATGACGTGTTACAAGGATGAAAAATAGTAATAAAATGAAATTGATTCTATTTACCTTCAACTGGTATTGGTACTGATGCTGGTAGGGGGAACTAGTCCGGCAAGTGGACCACACGGTCGTTTTTGCTAACACCTGACGATTACCTTGAGATCACCGCCACTTACTTTACCAGAGTGGGATTGTCAAGATTCATTTCTCGGGGCCGTTGAGAAATTAAAATTAATCGACCAACTTAGGAGGCGAACTCACAACGTTCAGAACCGGGCAATCCAGGAACCCCCACGTGCATGGCCATCCCAACCTCTCCTTACCTCTACTAACTTCATAAGCTATTGTTGCCAATTTATTATTACTATCGGGCTCGATTTAAAATATATTTAAAGATTTAACATAAATAAATAGAAAATAGTAGAATAATACAGTAGAATAGCACATGTCTGGTAACCAAGGGTCAATCTACCTGGATGACCTTAGCGATCCCCTCAGGGAGAATAAACACTGTTTAGGGAACACATCAAAATTCATATTTAAATTTAATTTGAATTAAATCAAGAAACCACATCACAGCTGTTATCTCGAACATACTGGATATATACCTCAGTTGTCAGTGTGACGCCGCCATTATTGAAGCGTAGACGCTCACGTAGCGTGAGAGATTGACTAGACTGGCTAGTTGAAAAATTTGTAATTCCACTGATTTACTAAACATGGAGTAAAAAACTTCAACGGGCGGCAAGCGGCCAAGAAAGGAAGAGAGAGAAGATGAACAAGAAGACTAGCAACTAGAAAAAAAGAGAAAATGCAAGTATCCCAACCCACCTATATTTAACCTCCGTATAAAATTACATGTAATAAAATATAGCAATCAATTTTAGATATTCACTTCTTTAATCCATTAACTCCTCTAATTTTACAGTCCACAGCAATAAATTATCACCAACTCTTAAAGCAGAATTATTATAACAATATCTCTGACAGCCTTGGAAGGGATTGGCATAATAAATTAAACAAACACTAAAGGATAGACTCCGGCACAACATGCACACCTGCAAAACCCTAAAGCATGTTTACATAAGGGAAATGGTCGATACAGAGAAGGGATCATAAGAAACCTACACAAAAACAATTTCGAGAAGGATGAAATGGCCGAAATTTACACCTTAAGGCGTGGTCATCCCTTCTGCTACGTAAACTCCAGCCAATGGGAAGAAACTTGGAAAATGAGGTAAATGACAAAGGTCTGGGACAACAGGGAATTGGAGACCAGTCAGCTCGGAGTCAAGAAGAGAGACAATCAGTCTGGGAAAAGAGAGCGAGTCTGGCACAACATTCAACTTGGAGTCAGTTTTGGAGACCGGAGAGACAACCCCAGATACCTGCGGCACTCCACACTGCTATGTTTTCTAAAGACCACCTGTGAAGTTGACTTAATTATTTTAAATGTATAAATAAATAAATATCCTCGCGCGGGCTCATTACCGCGTATGGGGAGCGTCCCACGGGTGGCGGATGTGGGGATGGTCGGTGGAAATTTCTTGGAAGTTCCTCCCGGCTAAGTCCGATGGACTCGCTGACCCACAATGAGAGGGGCCCTCCAGACTTGCTGGAGGGAGGGGACCTCCAGACTTGCTGGAGGTAGGGGCCCACCAGACTTGCTGGAGGGTGTGACGTAGGATTGAACGCCCTACTCACATATCTTTAGTTCACCAAACACCACAAAAAGTCATGGATCTTCCTAAGGTAAAACGCTCATTATCCGGAAGTAAACTAGTCCCCCGTTCGGGTCTCCGGGTGGGGACTGCTTTAGGGGATTCATGGCGCAAGTTGAAATATAGGGATTTAAATATTGGTACGTGGAACGTAAGGAGTTTAAACACAGCAGGGGGGCTAAAATCGGTCGCGAATGAGGTAAATGGGTACAATTTGGATGTCGTGGCTCTGCAAGAGATTCGCTGGCCAGGGGAGGGCTCGATGAGGGAAGGGAAGTACACTATTTGGTACGGAGGAAGCGAGAATCATTGTTTAGGTACCGGGTTTCTAATTAGGCGTAGATTACTATCCGCTTTGAGGGACGTACAATTCTTTAGTGATAGAATTTCGGTAGCTACATTTCAGGGACGTTGGTTTAAAATCGCATTAATAAACATACATTGTCC